TCTGAAAGACTGCGGCTCTTATAGACCAGATTTGGCTCACCTACTCTTGACCGCTCGATGCGGCTTGGGAGCTGCACAGGCAATGCAGCTTCATTACGTACGATTCAATAAGCGTATATTCTCTTCATGCGGTGCAGCGTTCCCACATTTGGATGTGGTGTCCTAATCTCAGGCTCGTCCAACGGTTTCAGCAATCATTTTCCCTCGAAAGACTTCTACGGTGCCTGTTCCGGGTAGTCAGGCTTGCGCGTTAATCCCCAGATGAGAACTTGAGCCCACCCGAAAAACGACGGACATGATCTTGTCGTAAGTGACCATGGGATCAGTCTCCGAGCCGGAGACTCTGACAGATTCCATCCAAAATGACATGTTTGGGTCAGCACCTTACCGTTCGGATTGCCTTGCTCGTAGAAGTCCTTCAGCAGATCAATCGCCTCCGCTGCGAAGAGTCCCCCTACGCTCTCGTAAGTATGGCCTAACGAACCCCCGTCGTCTTCGTCTTCACCCCTGCGCCGCAGCAGAAAGCATAAAGACCCGGCGGCTCTGGCACTTGCTACTCCAAGTCTCATTCAAAGATGTGGAATACTGCAGCTTCTTTGCAGCTTTGCTTTGACGAGCAAACCGTACGCGCCAAGCAGCGCGTCAAGACTCGGCGGTCTGGCACTTGCTACTCCAAACTTCATAAAAAAATGTGGAGTACTGCAGCTCCTTTGCAGCTTTGCTTTCACGAGCAAACCGTACGCGCCAAGCAGCGCGCCCTGATACACTGGCCAACTCGATTGTTGTGAGCGATTGCTCCAAGGGAGTTGAAAGGCGCTCTATTGGAGTAAGAAGAGGACACTTAACCAGAGACGATGGCAGTGAGAAACCAAAGATGTGCGGGAAGTAAGGCACAAGAACGGCACCGGTCCATACTTCGTCCGATATGTATCAACGGAGGACCAGGACTTGAATTGCAGGCCGGCCAACATTGGAAGCTCCCTTTGACCTGAACTTGAGACTCGTATCCGAGTGACGGAAGAAACGCTTCGTCAAGCAGGCGGTGTGTCTGAAGAGATTGAGGTGAGGTAATGGAAAGCAAGACGCACCCACCGCAGGGCAGGCACCCGTCGGTGTGAAGCGACAGCACGGATCCGCAGCCCCCAAAGCGCGGATTGGCACAGCCATAATACACCATTCGTATTCCTGAAAGCGCCAGGTCGCAGTTAGCGAAGCAGGGAAGCAGATACTTTTTTGTTATGCAACGCAGACATCAGCAGATGGGTACGCAGAGGTGTTGGAACGTGTCGGCTAGGGTGGATTGAGATCTCCACTGCGCTGAAAAAAGAACGATTTCCTTTGCATTAAGAAGAACACCGGTGTCACCTCTTGCAGGATTCGAATCTCGGCAATGACAGTGATCCCCTAGTATCTACGTCCTTCAAGCATTCTGAGACTGGGGGCCGAGGCAGGCTAAAGCAGGACTCGAAGATCTCAGACGGGTAAGTCTTCTGCCAAGGTGTTGCTGAACAACTAGACATGAGACATGTGGACAACTGCCCATCCGTTCAAGTGCAGCTTCCAGATTTTCAAATGTCTATTTGACGAGCATTCCTCAGCCGTTCACTGAAAACTTGAAAATGCTTGCAAAGCCGAAAAGGGACGCCTCAATCTTCGTCTTGCTAAACCTTGCTGGATCCACATGAGTTTCTTCACATTGGAACAGGGATCAAGAAAGGCGAAGTCCGCATCACCGAAGGCTTACCTAAGAGAGACAGCGCAGCTCCGCACATGATGCAGGGCTCGCAAGTGACGTATAGGTCGCACTCTCGAAACCGTGCGCTGATGTCATCCTCGCGGCACCCACAGCTACTCTCGTGTGTCTCGTCCTGGAAGCGCCACATGTCAAGCATCGCATCGATGGCTTCCATCTCAGCATGTCGGGTACCCTGCACAGAAGAGTCTGTATCGACTATTGTTTCATAATTGCACACAAGTTAAGGCAGTTGGAAGGATTCACAGACTCTCTAGAAACAATGTGCCTGAGATCTAGGTACGGCTCACGGCAAAGTCTACTGCAAACATGATTGCCCCCCAGATAAGTTGATACTTCATTAACGAATCCCTTGTAGATCGAAATTCAGCGTTCATCTGCAGTGCCAAACCCAAACTCTGTTCAGCAAGTATGCTCTTCTAAGACTATGGCTTCGTATGGTATGCTATCTCCATTAAGTGGAGAACTTGTGCAGAAATCATTAGAAGGGCATAAGAAGACTTACATTTCTACTCTCATTTGTCCGGTTGCTCCCCGGCATCACGATCTCGCCCCTCCGGACAAACACGCACCTAGAATAATTAAAAGTTGAGCAGGATTTCAAACGCTCCAAATGAGATCAACGAGCCACAAAACTTTCCTGTGTCATATAGGCAGGCAAGGTGGACACATACAGCACCAGGACAACACTTCACTTTCCTTTCACTTGCTTTTTCCAGCATTTGTTTATCCTTTTACACCACCACTCAGTCGTTTATTAATTCTTTCATCAGCATTTCGTTGTGTATTTGCACCACCAATCAGAAAGCCATCGGTGTTGCTCCCAGATCATCAATGGAACTTTGGGAAAGCAAGCTGGCTGCTCTGCGAAAACTGTTTGAAGGTCAGGAAGCCCAAACTGCTAAGAGCCAAGGAACTTGAAGGAGGCCAAACTCACCCTACAGGCACCTCCTCTCTTTCAAGAGCGATTTGGGCCTGTCAAGAGAGGCATCCAAGAACTGTGACTTTCAGATTTCATCAGCATTGCACAACAATGAATCATAGAGGTCTGCGCTGCATTCTCTGCAATTGAATCAGTGGAAAGAGCAAGTGAGTGATGTGCAGCTGAATCATGGCAAGATTGCAACACGGTATCAGCTCGACGCGTGTCACTGCTCCTCTCAACTTCGCTTGGGCATGAATGCTAGTCTCTGCTTTCACAAGGAGCGTAGATAGGACTCTGAGAAAAAAGGAGCAGCAATTTCCCAGCGCCCATGAATGCAGTTAACAACTGTTCAGCTGACCTCAAGCAGAGCTTGCCGCATGAAATATTCGTCCATTTCCGAGAAAGTTGTGCTCGAGGACCCGTTTTCTGCCGCCATTGCCACCTTTGAATGCGCCTGCAGCTGTACGTACGTCCGATCATCTCCCAAGCTGCAACCGTCTTGCTTGTCTTCTGCTGGCTATAGGGTTTGCCCCTAAAACCAGTCTAAAACCCTCGCTAGAGTGGCCGGGCCGCCGGCCAGTCGAACCGGCCGTGACATTTCGTGCGCACTGTCACTGCGCGCGGCCGGCTTTTAAAACCCGCGGCCGTGCCCGGCCGGTTTCGCGGCCCACTGCCAGCTTCTGGCCTGTCCGGCTGCATCATATGCCACGTAGACACGCATTATGCTGTCTCAAACTTCTGCTGATATGCATCTACACACCTGAAATCTATGCAATAAACAGTGGCAGCTAGAGCGGCAGTAAGTGACGGTAGGCGCACTGCGGTATCCAGAAGAATACAGGCGCTGGAGTATATATGTGCAAGCTCTTAGGGGTCATCGTTGTCTGGCTTCGATCCTCCTTCGAAGTTCGAAGATTCTTCTTCCAAATATTAACTTGCTGTTTCCGTGCTAGGCATCCGGTGTCCGTTGTGTCCACTAGCTGACCATTGCAGTCAACGAGTGCTTGACGACGTTGTGTCACACTGAACAACAAGAAACTAGAATATAGCTATTTACCGATGTTCGATAACATGAGTCTTAACGTCATGTAGCGTCCTTTACATGACATCCATCCGCTTCAAAGAGAGACTGCGACCAATGCTTTCACAAGCTCCGATTGCGTTAGACACGTAGAGAGCGGGGGCAAAACGGCTATGTTGAGGACATCTTTGCAAATGAATTGAAGACCAGCTCGCTGGAGACAAGTATTTGGTTGTACCGCAAGCCATCAGCAACCACGTAACTTTCTAAAGATACTGCCCTCGCACTATTTTGTTCGTAATGTACTGACCGAGGTCATTGTTGCCTTGAGCATATAAAGCCTCAATTTCGGCTCTCATTCCGCCAGCCTCCATGTTCTCGAACTCCTCCAGATAAGCAGGATTGTTCTGCATGCGAGAGATTGCGTGGATTTCTCGCCTGGCCGATGAGGCATTCCAGCCACTTCGACTGCAGCAACGCTCGATAAGACACACAAAAACGTCCTATTGCAAGCAGAAAACTAGTTAGGGCGAGCAAATGTCAGAAAGTGCCCGTTCAATTCGGGCACGGTCAACGCAATAAGCCCCCTGGAGGCTAGCTAGACAACGAAGCGCAATTTTCTGCTGGCGATGCACGATGCTTGCAGGCTTTCCCATAGTACGAAAAAATAAGTTCTTGCAAGTCGTTATAGAAACGGTCTAAGATGCGAGTCTTTTACCTGAGCGTTCTCAGAAGACACGTCTTCTTGGTATGAGACTAGATACTTCTTCACAGAACGTGCATGACACAAGATGATGGTCCAGAGAACAAATAGTCATTGGTAATGCACTGCTCACTCGGATGTGAGGCGCCAGCTTCATGTTGGCGATCAGTGCTCGATCTCTCGCAGTCAACGGCTGGAGGCCCCGTGCTGCGATTTGTGGCACGTCTTCCGACCGAAGGCCGAGCCACTTGACGTCGCACACTGCAACAATCCAAGCAAGACTTCGGAGATTGTCGCTTCGTGGTGAAATAGCCCCAAGTAATAACACAGCCGAAGGCAAAATATCAGAAACAAGCATCTCAGTCTGCCTCCCACTCCAGCAAGATTGATCAGGGGATGCATCAAGCAAGGTGACTGGTAGATTACACTTTCTTCCATTCAGCTGAAAACCTTAACATCCGGGAGCTTTACTCCATGACTTTCCTCTATTACGAAGATGACACCTTTTGCGACTCAAACGGTTGAGATCTCACCGTATCGAGAGCCTTCGAGGGCCATGCGGATGCTTCCAAAACGGTAGACACAGAGGATGCCAAGCCCCGAGGGGTTCCTGTCCCGTAAACAGAATCAAGGTCACACCGTAATTCCCAAGCACTTGCGGTTGGATACATCCTGGCCCAGAAATACATGGCAAAGATGTACAAATCAAGCGGATCCGATAAGCGGGATCAGTGTCGGCGTCCAAAGCGACTTCAAGCTCAAGGTGGCTACAGGGGCTGATTACGTCAAGAAGGCCACACTTACCAGTCCACGAGGACGAAGATCGGTACTTGCGGAAAGCTCGTGTGAAGAAGCCGCAAAAATGCCCTGAAAGCGAAGCACCAAAGTACGTGCGGCTTTATTCAGACCCTGAGTCACGAAGCACTTTCTTGAGGATGAGTAATGTGTGCAAACGTGTGATGTTTGCATACCTCAGCAATGAAAACGAAGGAGCTTGTCTGGAAGACTTTGATCTACTTTGTTTTGAGGAATGTTCACCTAGTTGCGAGGTCCGGGAAGCCCTTCGCCGTGACGAGGATGCTCGGAACCGCCATAAAGAAACGGTCCTCTGACAGTCGCTGAAAGACCGCGTCCTTTTCCACAACAAGAATGTATCTAGCATCGGACTGGAAAGTGTAGGCTTCCAGGCTGCGGATGTCGCCCGTTATCTGCATGCCGTTCGTTCCGAGCTGTGTGCAATCGATCCAGCGGCTGGTGGGACGCTCTTTGATCATCAGACGCCCAACCACTGCGCCCCTGCTGGCTGCCACGATGCCAAGGCTCTGGCGAGTGCATCGGAGCAGGGAGACGCAATCTGCAGAAACGCCAAGGCCAATCGTTTCGCGAGGGGCATACTTTGTATCCAACCTTGAATGAATATGGAGAGTTACAGAAAATTCACAACATTGGTCTGTAGCTTCCGAATACGAAGACCGATGATCAGCAATCATTTTTCCGTTCGAGAGGAAAGGACTGGTTCGAAGATAGAAGGCAAACATTAGTATTAGTATTTTAGTGAACAGAGGGAAAAGGAAGTGCTTCCATAAGTAGACACTGTGGATATAACATTGTCAGAGGTGTCAATCGTGCTGCATGTCTGCCATGAGTAGAAGCCTCACCTTGAATAGCCTCGTTGACTTGCGACTGGTTCGAAAAGTACTCAGACGCTTGCGACACCAGAACGTAATAGAGCTGCAAGGTTGCACTAAACCTTCAGCCATGCACATTCACCGGACAATCTATGCAGCTCTGGTGTGCTTCGATGTGAATTTAGTTGATAAAAGGGATCCAGAATCCAGAAAAGTATGCAGTTCAATCACCAAATCAAAGCACAATGATTGTATCGAGGATATTCGGTAAGTTTACGGTAAAGAAGGCTCACCTCTCGCAAGGTACACGATTTCCGCGCTAAAAGGAGCTTGTAGGACTGTTCTAGGACCTTCCAAACTGTCGAAAAGATTGTCATTCGTCAGATGCTGAAAGAAGTTCGACAAGAATCCATGATTGATTGACCACCGCTTGTCAACGTTCGTTCATTTTGTCTTCGTTCTTCGTACAATCTGGCTATGGCACTAATCTGAAGCTGACCTACATGATTGAAGAAACTGCAAGAGAGGAGAGTCCATATCTTTTAAATTATCTCGAAAGAAGGAGTATGGGCATTGAGGCGGACCCCGCAAATAGCTCCTGGTGTTTCCGCTGCGTAACGAGATGGTCCTCGTCCCTCCCACCAGGTATAGAGCCGCGTTTGCACCATTCTGCTCGTCCCTACCATCGAAGTAGACCCCGTTCCTTGTATTTCGGTCTACCTGGAGGCACAGAAAGCATGCGCGGAGTTCAGCTAAGCACTTTGCGATATCTTACACGTGCTCCGCATGTAGCACTTGTCAGTGTGTCTCTTTAACACCATCGATCTTGGAAGCCGAGAATTATCAGCAGCTCACCATGTCGAAGTCGAGCACCGTAGGATCCTCGTCATCAGACGCTGCCAAGAGGAAGCGTACCACGAGCTGCTCAATGCGAGCGCATACCTGCTCGAAAGGCCGCGAGATTAAGATGTATTCCAGGTCTTGGCATAGCTGAGGTTCAAGATGGTTCCCTTTGATCAGCGATAGGGGTGTTTGGTTGGGAGTATGGCAGGGCTTCAGATTCGCTGTGCCTGAGTGGTCGTCCTCATCTCGAGACAAAGTCTAGAGGTCCAGAGGTTTGAGGCCAACGATGAGATTGTTCTTTGGTCAAATTTGGCTGCCGAACGCACTGTTAGAGCCGCATTCCTGGCGCGTCTTCCGTTCAGATCAATATTTGATAAGAATGTACATTACCTCCGCAGCAGGTGCAATGTCGGCTACCAGGAATTCTTCCATCTCCTCGCTAGATGCATCTCTTGCCATGTTGAGGCTGCAGCACTGGAACCTCCAGGGAATGGCTTTAATTTGGCTACTAACTGATCAACAGCCGCCTCATCAGAGACAGGTAATCACTTCTGATGTATTCAACTTGGGGGAGAGAACTCTCAGCTGCTGAACGGGCAGACCTTCAGAGCTAGAAGACGAGCACGGCTGAACTCATCATTGTTTTGTCCTCAGTAGTCGTCAGATGTTCACCCAATCTTAGCATGAACCTTTCTTCGATAGACGCGTGACAATGACTTGCACAAGTGCATATCTAAGCAATGGAAAGCGAGTCTGCTCCCGAATTCGGCAATCAGTTACTATAGCGGCCCTCTTCGGATGTCATCGACTGCTGCAAAAGTCAGCTTTTTGGTGGAAGGACTTCTCGAGCGGCGCACCTAAATCAGCCTTGTTCTTGCGTTTGTGCAGCGTGGGATCAGTAATGGCGAGAATAGCGTTGTGGCATCAGCATACTTTCCGGCGAGCTCCTCAGAATCATACAGTCACAGGAGGGACGGCCCGGAGCGACTCCGGTACAGTATCTAGGTGCTACACGTGGCACTTCGGGATTTGGAGAACATGCGCCAGGCCACAGACTGGAAGAACAAGTTACTCAAGAGATTCCATAAATCGTCGATCATAGCCCTGATGACATGCTGCATTCACGGGCAGAGTCAGGAGGTCTATTCCTAAGCCACTAAGCATCTGCTTGTCAAGCTGGGCATAAGGTGCATTGCCGATTGGTGGGAGGTTGCCAATGGTAGCGGCAGGCTTGCATGATCGCGCGCACGAAGCACAAAGGCCGCTCAGCTCATTGAGCTACCTTATCCGCATGAGCTGCCCGCGCACTAAAACGTGATCGTAACTTAATGATAGTCAACCTGGCGGCAGGCCCTGATCGGATTAATTGTGCCTCAGTTTCAATCAAGCAGCTGAAAACCTGAGCATTAGCATGTGCAGCTTTAGGCTATAACGGCTCTTAATGACTCTTTTGGCTCCGCTGCCTCCGAGTACGGTCCTGGTGCACATCGCAAATTTGCGCGTCTCAGAATCGAAGGAAAGCTAAGTTTTATGCAAAGCGAGAATTGTAAAGGTGCTAGGACTTTGTGACTTGTGCGGCTGACTTGCCCGGAGAGGCATGGAAGGCCCGATGCCCGCATGCAGCCGCCAGCTCAGTGGCAGGCATTGACTCCTTGGACCTCCGAAATGATTTGAGTCAAGGGCCGTGCGCAACAGGCGATTGTTCAATGCGCCGCCCCATGGGCTTTTCTGCTTCAAATCCTTAAACCAATGCCCGGCGCACCATGCAGCTTATGCGCGGCTTTGAACCATGCAACGTGGTGGCCGCCCCGCGGCTGCAGCCAGGCATCCGCTCTATCATATTGCCTGGCACAACATGAAACTGGACCGAGTATATTTAGGCGAGCAGCAACATTACGTATGTACGCGCTCCGTATATGCGCTGAAAACTTTGCAAGCTAGCTAGTTCGCTGCATAGCTCATTCTGTGTCCGATCGCGGCCCGGATACTCATTGCATGACGTATCATGTCGCAGCTTAGCGACCCAATCAAAGCACACATGTTAGTCTACCCCGACTGTTGCCGCGAGTACAGCTCAGGCGGGCAGCCAGAGCATCAGTATCGGCGTAATGTTGCTTCCAAAGAATCTGGAGACATGAAATAGTGCAATCTCGATCTTACTTTACCTCACTTTATCGTACTTTATCTTACCTTACTCTACATTACTTTATTTTTTGTTTTTTCACCTATGTTACATTGGCAAACATTATCATGATCCTCGCAAAGAGCTTGCAAAACGCTCAACTCTTGCCCTCTCGCCTTGCAACATTGACCGGCGGGCACCTCTTTAGAGGATCTACAGGTACGACCTATTTGACCCCTCGCGACAAAACGCATCACCATCTTAACGCCGCTGCGCGCGCATCCTACCGGCCCTGACTCAGCATGGACATCTGATACGCTATGCTCATCTGATGCCCCTCGCTCCTGCTGACGCCACTCATCTCGCTCCACGTGGAATGGCTCGGGACGCTCGACTGCGCCGTACTCCCTGACTGCATCCCAAGGCTCCCAGTCCGCACCGGCCCGAACCAGTCACCCGAGCCGTCGTCCGCCGGCTCGGTCTGGGGGATCCGGAACCCGGGCCCAGGCTCCCCCCTGGAAAGACTCTCCAGCTCGTACAGGACGTCGGCCATGTCGGGCCGGCGGGAGTCCTCACTCGCGCAGCACGCGAGAGCCAGCGTGATCATGCGGAGCGCCGCGGAAGTGGAGAACTGCTTTTCCAGCCGGGGGTCCATTATTACCAGCGGCTGCTGGCGCCCCGGCGTCTTGTGGGCGGTTCGCGTCACCTGAGCGGAGGGGGGTGGGTAAGCCTAGTGTGTGCTTTGGAAGTACTGCCTTTTCATTTGGTCTACTACAGAGAGGATTCTGACCGGATTCATGGTCAAGATTTGGGGGTGAGGAGAATGGAGACCGCAGCCCAGAAGGCGAGCGCCCATGCTCTGCTCATGGCCCAACGGGGTCAAAGCTTAAAGTCAATAGGAATTCGGAAGTAGCAAGCAGTGAAATGACGGGTGGTTCTCGCCCGATCGCTCGAGCTTTTGAAATTGACGAAGCCCCTAGGATTTCGTCAGCTGCATTTTGTTCACAGCTGCATGAGAGACTGTGTTCTGCAGTCGTTGCTCCAGGTCGTAATGCATCTATACAGACTGGAAGCTCGACCCAGTGCCACTTTGAGAAAGCTTTTGTCTGAATAACATCTGAATCAAATCCGAATCGAAGTAAGGTTCAGATCGAGTTCAGATTGTTTCAGACCTGATTCAGACGTGTTTCGGACTGAGCGTACAAATGGGCGGACAGGCGCCAAACGAGATTCAGATGCTCTGGCGTTACAGGAGGACCAAGAAGCGAAACACGATCAAAAAAGTAACCCACTGATGACTATTGGATTTCGAAGGTTAGACCATCTCAATCTCCGACTGTCCACATCCGCTCCTAAAAGCAGGTCGGTGAGGACACTTGTTTGCATAATCCTTACGGCGTCCACTAGGTTCTTGCGGTTGCCCTCGGGCGTCAGCTCGAGCGCCCGGTAGCCCGTCAGAATCTCCAGCAGCACCACGCCGAAGCTGTACACGTCACTCCGCTTCGTCACCTGCCGGGGGGAAGTGACGTCAGCAGGGCGGCAGGAGGACAACGGTGAAGGATGAAATACAATCGAGTGGGTTCGTCTCCGGGGGGCCGAGTCCTGTGACGCGTGATCGAAGTTAGAGAAGGTCACAACGGACCGCATACGAGTTCTATGCAGCAAGTCCGTGAATTGACGGGGTACGTTCTGCAACAGCGTCGACTCCGAGAATAGGAAGAAACCGAATACAGCCGTATGGCAGCCCTTCTAAGCAGATCGCGCTTGAGAAGTAATGCCCTCCCGTCTGATGCGCTGCAAACCCCTGCAGTCTCTTTCTTAATTGCGTCCTCTGCAATCGGAGCACTGATACCGGCCAGCCGAGCTCGTCTTCTGCCTTTGCAGAATGCAGGATGCGAATTTCGCCTCCTGTTCTTTGTCCCTCGGAAGCAGCGGTGTTCGTTGCAATGAGAAATCCTCGATAGGACCAACATAAACCGAGGCACCAAAGCTTGAAACAGCGCACCTGCCCGTTGAGCGCGTACTCTGGTGCGACGTAGCCGTATGTGCCGCGCAGGTGCGTGCTGAGGTGGCTGTCGCCCTCCTCCAGCAGCTTCGCCAGCCCAAAGTCGGCGACCTGAGGGACAAAATCGGGCGGTCAGCTGCAAACAGTTTATGCAAAGGATTTCAGAATTCCTCGAGTCCTTAGTCAGGTGCTCATATTTGTCCTTAAATTTGCAAGAAGATTTGCGAACCAGGGAGATGGTGGTGCGGAATGACGACGAAGGCCAATCCTTGCAGGGCACAGGTCCAATTCAGCACAAGGAGCGACTGATATGTTGATCGGAATACGGGAATGTGAGCGCGTTCGTCCGGAAATGCAATTTTTAGGCGGCGCTTTGACCTGCCCGGATAGAGGCTATAGACGGATGGTGGTTCGATAAAGAAATACCCTCCTTTCAGAAACAAAGCGCCCACTTCGCGGCACTTGATAAAAATTGTGACCTTCACTCCTTGAACCGCAAGATTCACATGCTTGCGCCGTGCTCTCTCCTTACTAGGTAGCCACCCCCAGATCTTGCAAAGAAGCACGAACCCTCACCTCTCGTAAATCACGACGTCGTCCCGCAAGAAGTTCCTGTTCGAATTTGCACTTCCGTTTCCGGGCGTCTTTCCGTTCCTGGAGCAGAATTCCGGCCTCACCTGCGCCTGCATCTTGGCGTCCAGCAGGATGTTGGCGGGCTTGATGTCGCGGTGCAGAATCGACGGCTCCGTGTCGTTGTGTAAATACGACAGCCCGCGCGCCGCGCCCCACGCGATGTTGACACGTGTCTCCCAGTCCAGGGGGGGCGAAGAAGCTGGACAGAGATACACGGCGTCAGTTGAGTAAAGCTTTCCTCCGCAAACTTTTAAGCTAGTCTGCTCGCCAACGCCAAACCGTGACTGATGGTCGTTGCGATCTGCTGATTTTGGTATTTAAAACGTCAGCACAAAAGTCGCGGACACGCTTTAGAAGCTGCGAAGCAGAACAAGGCAAGAACAGCGGGACTGCACGTACGAAGGGCCGATAGGCGAGGAACAGAAGCGAAGCCTCTAAGCTTCTCAAGGAAGGGAAGTAGATGGAGAAAAGGGCGCTCAAACTTCGGACACAAGGAAGAGGCGAACGTAGGCGACGGCTCGATCCATGCAAGCCAAGCAACAGAATTAAGAGCGATACAAAAGGTTCGGAGCAAAGTCTGGGGAATCTCAGGGGAACACAAGTGGGGGAAAGGGGTCCAGTAAAGGGAGCGCAACTCAATCAGGGAATTGAGAACCAAATCTACTGTTACACGGCGCACAATGAGCCACATCAAGGTGTGAGATCAGAATTGAGATTGCAGATTCGGACAGGAAAGCAGGGCGCCAATGAGCCCCGTTCAACGTAAATTGGAGGGAACAGCAAGTTCGAACAGGAACACGTAATCCCAGCCTCACTGCTGCGCAGCCCGGCATCCAGGTTTGCATTGGAGGCGTAGTCCAGGGCAACAGGAGAAGGAACAAGCTTTCCTGGTTTCCAGAGCGCTAATGAGCCACATCAAATGGTAACCCTGGGAGGGATAGCAAGCTCAACCCAAAAAGTGACGCATGGACTCACTGATGCGCAGCGCGGCATCCAGGTTCCCGTTAGAGCCCAACTAACGAGCCACATCAAGCTGTAAACATGGGAGGAGATAGCAAGTTCGACTAACAAGCAGACGCACAGACTCACTGCTGCGCAGCGCGGCATCGAGGTTCCCGTTGGGAGCGTAGTCGAGGACGAGGAAGCACGCGTCAGGCGTGATGCAGTAGCCACGCAGCGCAACCAGATTGCGGTGACGCACGCGGCCCAGCGTGCCCAGCTCGCCTAGAAACTCGCGCTCGCCCAGGCCCTGCAGGAATGCGCGAAAGCTTGCATTGAGATGAAGACGCACAGAAAGACTGCAAGGTTTTAGAGTTTTGGGGTTCAGAGGTTTTTGAGGTTAGGACCAGATTGCGGTGCCGCACGTGCCTTAGCGTGCCCAGCTCGCCTAGGAATTCGCGCTCGCCCAGGCCCTACAGAAAGGCGCGAAAGCGGGCTTAACGACGGAGAAACTCTGTTAGTAATCACTGATTTCCAAGAATCTAGGGAGCGACCAAGTTGCGGTGGCGCACATGGCCCAGCCCAACTCCTTCAAAAACTCGTGCTCGCCCAGGCCCTCCGTCAAAATCGCGCAACACCGTGCATTAAGATGGAGAAGCGCGGAGATCTCTTAGGGTTTCAAGGTTCAGGGCTTAAGGCTTAGGGCTTTGCAGTTTTCGGTATTGAGTCCGACCAGGTTGCGGTGCGCGCGCGGCCGAGCGTGCCCAGCTCGCCCAGGCACTGCGAGCACAGAAGCGTTCAGGGTTTTAAGTTTAAAGATTGGGTTTAGGGCTTTGCAGTTTTCGGTTTTGAGTCCGACCAGGTTGCGGTGCGCGCGCGGCCCAGCGTGCCCAGTCGCTTAGAAACTTGCCCTCGCCCCAGGCCCTGTGAAGAATCGTGCGAAAGCTTGCGTTAGGATGGAGACGCACGAAATAGAAATGGAGGGTTTTGAGGTTCTCGAATCTCAGGTCGTGACCAGATCGCAGCAGCGCGCGCGGCTTAGAGTGCCCAGCGCGCCCATAACCCCAAGCTCGCCCAGGCCTTGCGCAAGTTACGCGCGACCCCGTGTATTTGAGTGGAGGGGCGCAACCAAGTGTGTGGATACGCCGAAGACGTGCATTCTCCATGGCGAAGCGCGGCATAGCGTTGGTCAGGATGGGGGAGCGCAGATGAACGTGCGGCTCGGAAAAATTGGCAGAATGATGTGCGTTACGAAGGGTAGGCATTGTTGAAGAGAGCCGATCTGTGCTATAGTCGTTGGAGGAATGGATATGTTCCGTTCCAAAAGGCGTTCTTCTCGAAGCTACAGTTCGCGGTACTCTCCTGACAAGACACTCGCCAAGCATCGCCAGACCTAAGGTTCGTTACACCCTGAAACCGTATGCCAAAGTAGAACGGTTGTGTTGTGGCATATTCACACGCTATGAAAGAAGACATAAGCGCGCACACCGACAATCCCGTAAGCCGCACCTTGGTTCCCGGATTTGAGCTGCTTGACTGCCACCTGCGAGCCATTAGCCAGGGTTGCCACGTAAACCTTCCCGTAGGCGCCCTCCCCCAGAAGTGCGCTCGGGGCGAAACCCCCGGTCGCCTCCTTGAGCTCCGAGTAAGTGAAGCGCCGCCACGAAGACCCAAGCGCCTCGTCTGCGTCCGCCTCCGCAGCTGGAAACGAGCGATTCTCTTTTAGGTTTTCTGGCTTTGAGTTTGTTAACCATTTAGGCTGGGGCGAGGGACGGAAAACAAGACTTGATGTTTCTGCAGAAAGGTGCTTCGGAATTGGCTTCGGAGATATAGCCAGACCCTACCTTTTGTGAGGTAGGGTCCGACTCCGCAGCTGGAACCGAGCGTTTCGCAATTCAGGGTTTCTGGCGCTGGGAATGTTAACCTTCTAGGCCGTGGCGATGAGCGGGAAGCTGGCTTGGGGGGCTTTTGCAGAAGGGTGCTTTGAAGACGAAGTGAGGACCGATCAAGCGGAACACGGTTTTAGGTAGGGGCTTGAGCAGAAACTGGCTATCAGAATAGGGTGCCCGGAACGCAAAGCGGGTTGATCAATCTAGGGCTTGCAGAACAGAAGAGACCAGCTCTCTGCGCCGAAACAGACTTTAGGTGCGCTTTACGATCTGTAAGTCGTGCCAACACAACTGTGTATGGGTCATGGGCCAGCCCGCTTCCAGAAGTCAAGCCACGTTTGAACGTCAAAGAGACACTCACAAAGATACACAAGATTCGACCAGAGCAAACCTCGGCGGAACCAACGAACTTCCCAAACCAAACACCCTCCGGATCTCCTCACTCGACACTGTGCTCGCAGTTCTGTCCACGGCGCTCTTGTCGGCGCTCATCTTGGCCCCTCCGTCGTCCACGTCACCCTTGACCACCGGCAAATGGTGCGCGCGCTTCTTTTTTCGGTACACGAGACACCCGACTATCACCCCGAGCAAGACCACCGCCCCGACTCCCGCCCCGGCGAGCCCGGCAATCAGCCCGGTCGACGAGCTTTCTTCAGCCGCGGCAACGGCGGCGGCGGGGGAAGTGGTTCCGGCCGGGGGGGGTCCGCTCACGGTCACGGCGTATTGGGAGGGTGAAGCTCCGGAGCCTGCAGGAGAGATTGCGCTGCTTTGTTTGTTGTCGGCGGATATGCAGAACGCGGGCAGCACGACACTGCAAATGGACACCGTTTCGATTGGGGGCAGCTGTAAGTATGCTCGGACGGGGAACGCAGAACCAATAAGATCGCTCGGAAAAAGAGGGGCTCGCTTCTGCACCTAGGCGTGCCTTTGCTTCACGGGATTTTGCTCCTCTGCCAAGAAATGTGTCAATCATAGCAGCAGTTCCCCATTCTGTGCGCTCGTGACGTCAGATTGCAGAGTCTGCTCGACTTACAGCCAGGACACCAGCTCTTTCGACGCTCCGCGAGCATACTAATTTTAATAAATCCATGCAGTAACCTGTCTGGTCCACTCGTAAGCGGCTTTAGCGCTCCCGAACAGGACCCAAACCTGGGGGCTTTTCCAATGCTCGACCGGCAGCCGTCAGAACGAAGGCAAGACAATCCTTGTAGTATGATTGACTTCGGACACTGACAGGCCAAACAGGAGCTAAGATTGATCCTAACCCACAAAGAGGGGGCGATTTTCACAGGCAAGTTAAAGGGTAGCAGAACTTTGACCTTACTCCCGAAACAAGGGCGTTTCTTACTGGCAAATAAACGGTAACCGAGGTTGACCTTAACTCCGGAACAGGGGCCGTTTCTTCCTGGCAGCCAGGCTGGCAAAAAAAGTGGACAGGGGGCAATTCTAGTGGCAGCCAGGGCTGACAAGTAACTAGACGGGCGGCGTTTCTAGCTGGCGGCCAGGGCTGAAAAGTAAGTTGACAGGGGGCGTTCCCCACTGGCAGCCCAGGCTGACAAGATAACTAGACAGGAGGCATTTCTCACCAGCAGTCAGGTTGACAAATGGCGGGACAGTGAAATTGTTGCTGGCGCCGACCGCAAGCAGGCCGGCGTCCCGGTTCTCGCACAGCCAGCCGCTGCCGCTGACGCCAGCAGGGCACGTGCAGACGGGAACTCCCCCGGAAAGAGTACACGTGGCAGTGGGGTCGCACGGGTTGTTCGCGCCGCAATTGGCGAAGGCGCAGCCTGCAGCAACAAGAAGAAACGTGGAGTCAGGGCTTTTTAGGGGAGAAGTAAGTTAAGAAAAATCCTTGACACACTGTACTTTTCCGCTTGCGGACATCACTGCTTCAGAAGACATCTTAACGTGGCGCGTTTGCGCAACCTATTGTTAGAAGAATGGAATCATGTGTGTAGGAAGCTGAAGAAGCAGGCTTCAGTGATGGCACGTCAGAGGCGTCAGCAGAGCTGTAAGACTTTCTCAATTTTCCTTAACGCTGCACAACCAACCCCTCAGTATGCAACAGGCGAAGGAACTGCTTCACATTTGCAAGTCGACTTCCAGGAAACACTCACCCGAATTCACCACCCCCCCAAACAGGACTGTGACTATCCCGACGGGCTCGCTTGGGCAAAAATTGGTCGTCCCATAAGATAACCTGATTCCAGGCCCCTGAGGCACAGAGTCTGCGCTGTTGCGGATGAACACGTTGGGGCTGGCAAAAATCGCATAGCTGTCATATAAAGATACAGCGCCCCCATCCGGCGCGTAGTTCTGGATGAAGCTGTTGCCGCTGAGGAGCGTCAAGTAACCGCCAGCGTCGTTCACGGCCCCGCCGTTCGACTGCAAAAGGCGGGTAAAGGTAAAGACGCCTAAATAACAAGTAGGGAATTGAAGTAGGAAACTTCGCTTCAGCTCATTGACTATCAGAAGTCGGGCCGCCGCCAATGGCGAGTACTTGAATGCCTACCCGCGACAGATTTGCTCCTGCGAACCGACTGCAAGCGTTGTTTCCTGTTGTTTCCTGTTGTTTCTGTTGACTGGACGCAACAATGGCAGCACCCTTGCAAAGCAAGCTCGTACTTGTCCGTTTCAGGCGTTGATGATCGGTGCAGAAATACAACAATTTCTTCAACGAAAGCCTGTCTAGTGTTTCAACTGCTCCGCTCAGCCAGCGTCTCTCATAAAGGAGGAGGTCTCTATGGGGATGCCCGGCAGTGCGGTTGCCGCATGCCTACTAGCAGGCGGCCTTGAGTCGTAACCTAGCTGCCATAAGAACATACCTTCTAGAGCGCAGAGAAACCCTTGCTCGACACCCCACCAGCTTTTATGTGCAATCAACAAGACACAGGAAAGGACAAGAAGCTGGCGGGTTCTCCTCACGTAGGCCGTGTTGTTGGCGAAGGTGTTGCCGGCAATAGTGACGTTGTTCGTTCCCGAACTCACGTAGACCGCCCTGCAAGCACAGCCGTACCTGCTTCTCACGGTACGCCCTTTGCTCTTACAGAAAAAGCCCGTCCGGAACCGAGGCAAGCCTTGCAATCGTCTGATTAAGCGCTGTGCGGTCGTAAACGCAATGCTGAAGCTTGGATGGTTCCTGAACGCTTTGCTTATGATGACTAGGAAGCGGCGGCAAAGTACAATCAGGATGACTGACCGCACGCCTTAGAGAAGGGCTAGCTTTACTTTTTTTCATCTTGACATAAGGGTACAATCTTACCAGACCACAGCGGACATCACAGTCAGCCAACAACGTGACAGTTAAAGTACGTTACTCGACCGCCGACCTAATTGCCAAACGAGCTGATGATTCGACGGGCCCATTGTTTGTCGTCGCAAGGCCTGATGAAATAAGACCTTAGTCTCGACTCGCCAAGACGTTGCGACGAATGACTTGAAAGCTGGTTCTACAGTGATGAAGTGGGGCCAAAACTGTAACGAGGTAGCACCAAACGGTTACAAAAAGTCCGAATCAATCTTCTTGAATGGATCCAACGACGCACCCGCCGTATGACGCATGGTTGTACAGGAAGAGGGACCCGCGGATGGCGTTCTTGACAATGAAGGGGCCGGAGGAGTCGTACGGGGAATACACCCTGATAGCCCCGCCATACTGCAGCGAGAGCAAACAAATTTCTTGCTCAGGTTGAGTAAGAGCATCTTAGCTAAACTACTGCTTGCGACTACGAACGAACCTGAGGACCTTACCCGCTCTCGACCCATCCTAACTATCCAAACCAAAAACGCGTTTTCCGGGCACTTTGGTTAGTCAACATGGCCCTTAGTCAATGTGAGAACCAGCGCAAACAACACAGCGTTCCGAGCAGTTCCGGAAACAATAGAGGCTAACCAGAGAAGAGGACGAAGGGAAGGCGGGCAAAGCTTGCTGTATAACAAGGAGGAATCATGGGACGTGGGCCAAAGAATTCGAGGCGATGCGCGTGTTCGCTTATGTGAAGGCCGGAACGTCGCTCTCAGACCCTTCGGTGCCGAGTGGTTCAAAGGATAGTGCCACTACGAAAGTGTCGGGTGACGACCGTCTATCCAGACTTGTGAAGAAAAGTCTGAGTAGATTTAACAAGCGGGTGTGGAATAAAAGGCACTTTTGCCGGTGCACTTTCTCGAGGTCCTCTAAAGCATACACTTGCGGCAAACACTGGGTCCGACAACAAGTACATTTAAGGTCACTCGAGGATGCGATTCACACCTGTCCTGGCAAAAGAGCGGATAAACGAGCAATCAATCTCGATCAGGGCCAAAATTAAGGTGGCTCTTATGCTTGACATTAATTAATCAAAAACGATAGATGTGAGCTCAGAAGCGGTTTATTGGTCGGAGGCCTTGTCTTACGACCGCGCTGTTCTGCGTGAAGTTGGAATTCCTGACTTCCATTGCTGTCCCTTCGGCGTACAGGGCTCCTCCGGAGTAGATTGCGCTGTTGTTCACAAAGGTACATGAGTTGATGGTAGCGTTTCCCAGGTAGTAGATCGCACCTGCAACACCAAAGTCCGACAATCACGAGACCAGTCTTCAAGGCATTTGCGGCTTGCTTCTGCATGGTCGCCGTAAGAAGCAATGACAAGGGTCACTAGTAAGATTAGAACGTTAGGCCGGTCGACAGATTGAAGAAGAAGAGTCAGAGGGTTTCGAACAGCAACGTGATAGAAAGATTGAGGAGTGTAGCTATTCGTTCTGCAAGAAGCTGGAGCAGTAGCTCCGTGCACCCTTCGGGTTTGGTACAAGATCGTGAAAGGCTTCGCGTTTCGGACACTCTGCCTCGTGCTCCTGCGGAGGCAAGCTCTATAATTATTTCTTCTGGCATGTCCCTTTTGCCAACGGTCTGGGCGAATGCAGAGTGACTGCAGATGGGCCAAAAGAAGAAAATCTCTCCGTTTCAGCCAAGAGACTCTCATCTCTTTTGCCAATAAACCTTCATCCTCAACTGTCCATGTTCGAGGATCTGATACATCCGCGGCTGGTTTCAGCACTCTTTTTCCTTTCTCCTGCAAGCAATCCTTCGGAGATTTCTCTTCACGTTGCTCCCGCTCCATCGAAAAGGGTGGCCTCACCTCCGGACGACTCACGGTTGTTGGTGAATAGCACGGTATCGGCCACCAGGTATGTGGACGTCCGCGCGTTGATCGCGCCGCCGTATGCATGGGTGGCCAAGTTGGAGATCTGCAAAACCAACCAATTTGTAAGCCCGGAAATTGTGGCAATGCATGGGTGTCTTACATGGACTCTCAACTGTGTGCTGAAGCATCTTCATAAGGGAAAAGGAGGATTGATATCGCAAAGAAGCTGAGGCTAAGGCTTTCTGGACACTAGTGAATCACCGTCGGATCCGATTGAGCAGTTCAGAGTCTCAAGAACCGCAGTCGAACAGCCTCGAATTGGACGGCTCGAGCGTTCAAATGAGCTTTCACTGACGTTGGAAGATGTACCACCGTTTCTAAACAGGCCCTAGCCTCTGATTCTTCTCAGCACCGACTCTCCTTTCCCTCGCTCTACCAGTACACGCATCAAGCAGCAAGGAAACGCTTCTTCCTGTCCAAGGACGGTTGCAGGCACCAGAAGAGCGGTCAAGCAATTTTGGCCCGTAATCCCCTTCATGCTGACCCTTCCTGATCCTCAAGCGGCGAGCCATAAATCAGCTCAAGACAAAGTGTTTGAAGATACATGTGCCCTCTCAGAAACGACCCTGGCAATCACAGAGTTTACGGTAACATGACTTGAGTGGTGGCCAAAGCGAGCAGCTTAGGAATCTAAGCTGAGGAGCAGCTTTCGGCGGAAGGTCGGGTGCGGAGGTCTTTCAGAGTTGGGGCACTTACATCGCCTTTGTCCAGCCACAGATTTCGGAATGTAACAGTCCCGTTAGCATTAGCGTCAAAGAGTCGGAACTGGAAGGAGAGTGATTGAGAGGGTTGGGAAGGAGCAATTGCAGTTGCACCCTGCTTACAGACATTGTCTTTGTATGAATGAGTTCGCTAACCTTTTTCCGGCATCCGAGACATGGGTATTTTCGAGTCGAGTCTTTTGGGAAGCCGGAAAGCAAGCCATGAATCACAACGAAGTGCTAGAAATGCACTTTGACCGCCAAGCTTCAACTTTACACTTGAAGGATGTTTTTGCAGCTACAGTAGAATACTGAAACCGGGAATCTGTGTACGTTTGGCAATGAGCCAGACAAGCATCAAGTGCATTTCAGCATAGAAGAACCAATGCACTCTCAAGAAAAGCTGGACCCTGTTGTATGCTCAAAGCCAGACTTGTGAACAAACAATCAGTGAGCAATGTGTCGGCCATGCTAGATCAGAGCACTAAGTGATAATTTCATTTTTGTTCTCGACATAGGCGCAGAGAGGAGAACCATAGCTTACCCTGGTGCTACTGGAGGATGGTGCGGGGTAGATGCGGCAGCCAGGGGAAGGGCATTGCCCCACCAGCGTGATGGGCCGCGCAATTGAGATGGTGGCAGAAAGTGCAATGTCGCTGTAGGGGGACAGATGAAGCACTTTTGTTCAGTCAAGAAGCATGAAGTGGACAAGAGCTGGAGTTGAGGCATGTTGCTTTGTAAGTCCTGGGGAAGTGGAAAGTGTCAATTTGGTACCAGAGCCAATTGCAATTCTCTCAGCTAATGCCCTTAACAGAAAGTCGCAAATCTGGATCGCAGTCAGCTGTTCAAGCGGAGCGGGGGTAAAGATACACCGTGTATACTGATACAAAAGGCGACCTGAAGTTGTGTATACCTGATAATCTAACATCATCGAGACGCGCTCCACAACTGAGCATTCAGGGGGAAAGGCAGAGTGACACAGTAAATATTCAGAGAGCCAAACTCAGCAACCAGCCCTCGGGCACACAAATCCCTTCTTTGTTGCTGTCAAAAGTGCTCACTTGCAAATGTTAACAACTGCATCCCCTGCCAGGTTGCTAGCGGCGCTTTGCAGCCCTAGAGCGTCCTGCACGCCGACGCACGCCTGGCCCGCAACTGCACCGAAATTGGAATCACTCCATTTGCAGGAGTACAGAATCTGGTCAAGATTGTTGTCAGAATTGTCTGGTCTTGTGATCGGAAATGTAAAAGCTTCTTCTATCCTCTTCTTTCTTGGCGAGTACCATGTTTGGGACATGCCACGGCGAGCTTGATCTTAGAAGATGGTATTTCTTCGATTTGTAAGGACCAGCTTCTGTCCTCTTGCCTGCCGTGACAAAGCCGCTCATTGTGCCGTCCCAGAAACACCACAATTGGCATGGGAAACGAATGGTGCGACCTTAGAAGGGGAAACAGGGGTTTCTTTGTGACCATGCTGTTTCACAGCCTTTCCTTCTCAAAAACCAAGAATTTTATACTCAGAAAACCTGGCCCTTACGCCCATGCACGTTCTCAAAGCGCAATTGGTCAATGTCCAAAAAGGCAGTACACCAAGTTCTTGGTATGCCAACAAGAATGCTTTTACATCAGCCCCTCCTACCTGTGGATAGCCTGATTCCCTTTGGACAGCCTTCCAGATTCACAATCTTGGCAGGCGCGAGCTAAGTTATCACCTCATAAACCTTCTGAGTCAATGTGCCCAAAATGTAGTGATCTCCAGCAATCTCCATGTTTGACTATAACATCCAAATGAATCCTCAGAGTTGGTGCACCTCAATCCCAAAGCATCGTCAAGCTTCTCGCAATCCCCTGTGAGGATTGCCTGAAAGCCCCCAGAAACTCTCCCTCATCACCACGCCCTCCACTTTGTGTCATCGCAAGGGTCTACGAGTCCCTTAATACTGAAGATTTCAATGGAGAAAGCTTGCAATGCCAGAATTCCTTGGCTGTGACTCACCTCTACTCGTCCAGCTAGCGCTGAGACCTGCCGTCAGCCAAAAGGTGGCCCATGCCGCTACCTTTGGGGGCAACATTGGGAAATCATGTACAGTGAAGTCACCGTTCTGCTGATGTCTTGAATGGAATTACAGGCTGACTATATTTCAGCAGATCTCTGAACGTAGGTCAGAAGTTACTACAGGTCGCCATACGAAATCGGCCTTCTGCAGAGGTACTATGGAGGGGCAATGAGCTCTCTGCGTCCCCAGAAGCTTTCAACTTCAAACTGAGATCGCAGCTGCAGGAAAGAATGAAAGAAGCGATCGTAGAGCTGAGGTGCGCGATCGGAATGCTAGCTCAGGCTGCATGTGTGCACAGCTGGACCGGTGCTCCCAAGCGCTCCCTCTCCGACCCGAAAGAAACCGTCCCTCGACGATGTCCGACTCCGAGTCCAAGGTCTGGAGTCTGGACTCTGGCGTGACACCAAGAAGAGCGGAAAAGGGTCTTCGTATCCTCGGTGTAAACTCGCGTGAGAGTTGTTCATGTTGTACGCGCGGCTCGCTGTTTGCATGAACGTATTCACATGTTCATTTGTGACCAAGGTGTGAATTTTGATCTTGTGGGTTCGAGAGAATCTGGAAATTGTCAAATCGGCTAACGGGGCGTATTTTCATTGGTTCAATCATTGCACAGTTACCTCTGCCTGACGAATCACGATTCCGTACTGTTGACAGACACCTGGCCTGATCAGTTCGACACGAGCCGTCACACCAGGCAAACGTCAGCCGACGGAATAGCCTCTCGGCCGACTGAACCGAGGGGCGGCGGCCGAAAAGCCGACAGAACCGGGGTCTTTCTGAGGTGTTTGGGTGAGGGAAGCCGACCGGTTCAAGTCTCCAGCCGACTGACCGGAGAACAGTCGGCCTGGGAGCCGACGAAAGTCCGTGTCGAACGCTGGGCCTGATGTCAACTTGATGACGACACGCCGGGACTGCCGCCGTGCAGGACTCGGCGCGGCGAGAAGGTTAAACTTCAGCATACAGGTATGCAGAGAAGCATCGAGTCGTGCAAAAAACTGAGTCTCCAGGAACTGCAGGGAGGTTCAGGAAGGTCCGTTTTAATGACGAAATTTGCTGGAGCTTCTGATTTGAACGTCCTGAGAGTCTCGATTCTAATGCCTGGTCCAGTTGTATGCTTCTAGGTATGCTGGAGAGTAAAATCATGACGTCGATGTCTTGCAACACATCGTTGAGTCGACAATTGGCTGACTTGAAATTATCCGACATGGTCGAGCGTGTGACAGGTGAACGCACATCGTGCGCGGCTCATGAAACATGTTGGCCATGGGTATAACATGCTTGCTTATTAAGCCTTTACAATTGAGTTTTTTGTACGTGTTTGGTACCACTTGCTCGACATTGATTTGGCGCGCACTACCATGTGCCAACCAATGCATCCTCAATCTGCAATTGCAGCATGTCATTGGCATGCACTGCCTTCTGACCCTATCGTTACATGCTGTACAGGACCGTATTGTACATCATTTGCTCAAGTCAGAAAGCTATAGCCTTTCATGAAAGTCAAAATGCTAATTTGTCGACAAACACACTGCACACAACAGCAGTCAAGGTCCGGTGCGATTGTCTTACCATGTTCGTTACCTATGTTTAATCTCCAAGACATATGCATGTATTATAAGCACGGCTCTATACGTCGCACTTCTGCCGTCTGCTGCATTCATATGAAGATCTGCATGCTAACTAGAGGCTATATGAGAAGCTGGTACATCACGTTCAAGGCGCCAGCGCGGCACGTTTGTGCTTTGCGAGCCACCAAATCGGCTGCGTAAACCCTTTTGCAGATTGTTCTACTGGTAGCAGCGAAGTGAGAGAGGTAGAACATGACGACTCTATCAAAAACGACTCAAACTAGCCGCTGTAGTCGCCAGAATGGAACTTCTCTTCTCTATAGTACGTAGCAACGACGGCGTTGCCACCAAACTTCCGCCCATGAAGGGCTTGCTTGGCTTTTGCTGATGACGTGGTATCGGCATACTCCACAAAAACCTGCAAGAATGAGAGACTGAGCTTAAAGACCGTCTCGCAGTCCAGTAGGGCACTTTGCGGCAGACCGCCCTGAATGATGCTGCAGAAAACGGAAGGCTTCAATCCCAAACCTGCGGTTAACGGCGAAGAAAACAGCCTCTCGTGACCAGTAACCAAAAGTCACCACAGTCGGGTATCAACATTGATGTGAGGCCCAGGTTCCTCACCTTGCCGACCCCTGGCCGAGGCGCCCCCGAAGGATCGGGGCGTGGGATGACGACCTTGACAAGGCTGCCATACTTAGCGCACTCCTCCTTCATGTCCTCAAAGATCTCCTCATAGTCCTGATCGTTGACCAGCTCGTCAGGGGTAACAACCTGGACAGACAGCGGTGTTGGATGATCAGCACCTCTTGAAAACCAGTTCAAGCTTACCACAACGGCTCTGCATGCGGCCAGATCCGTTTGACAGTCGTTCTGAAGTACTGACCAGCGAAGTGACCAGCGCAACGACCTTGCATAACTAGTTGAGCTGACAGCGTGACATCTCAAATCGTCCACAATTCATCTTAGAAGATATTCAGAACAAGAGAGCTTTCAGTATGATCTCAACTGAAGCAAAAACGAAAAAGAGATTAGAGAGGAGATATGCGAGTCAACTCACCGAGAGCAGCACGAGCACCTTGGTTGGCACCTCTGCGGGCATGCCAAGAGGAATGTTGTTGGCTCCCGTGCCAGCAAGGCCAGGGCTGACAAGACCTCCCAGCTGCAATCGCGATTGGAGCACACCAGTCAATCGACCTGCTGTAGAAATAAGCCTTACCTTGATTCATTTGATCTAAAACGTGGAGTTATCGACGCTGGCCTGTTATTGTTGACTCTCAAACTTACTGACCAGAAGGATACTTTGACAAACCAGCGTCTGTAACTCGACTCGACTGTCCATAGCAAGCAACGATCTACAGTCCGGAGCACCAGCCAGATGAGCCAGCCGTTTACATGATTGCTAGGGGAGGCCCAAGAGTTCCCTTGCTCACCTGCATTGCAATCTGCTGTTGAGCTTGCTGAAGGACCGCAGTCTGATCAGGCTTCGCTTGGCCACTGCAGAGAAGCGAATAGTCAGCATTGGTCGCTTGATATTCAAGACCGGAAAAGGGCCAGGAAATGCTCAAGAGTACAGTTAAGCACTGCAAAGACTTGCTTACTATTCTTTCTCCTGTTCTCTAAAAGAGCAACGCCTGCAACCGCAGGACTTGAAAAGTGGAGCACTCAAAGGAGCAGCGTCCGAATCAAGATTGACCCCTTTCGGCGCTAAAAGCCTTTGGGTCGCACCGTTGTTGACCAGAAGGACCACAATGGCGCTTGCAGCAATTTGAATGATGGAACAATACCGGACTTTTCCAACTTCAGGTCTTGGTACGTAAAGCTTGACACAAAGAACGCCTCCTCTTCCATGAAACAGCCCCATCGGGTGATACAACTTCATAATGTTCTCGAAACAGCTGCCAGAAAATCCTAACCGCAGAGGGATAGGAACACTCAATTGACAAACAGAGGCAGCGAAAAGGCGGACCTTGCTGTTGCCCGCCGCACAGTCAGCGTCTTGTCCCCCATTTTCATGCCATTAAGCCCCGCACAGGCAATGTCCACTACAGATGAATCCTGCACAGTTGGGGCGTTTGCAACACACACTAAATCAGCCCCTTACCCACGGAAAGTCCTTGCACGCTGGAGACTTACCTGGACGTGGCCCGCCGCACAGTGAGAGTCTTGTCACCGAGCTTCATGCCATTCAGAGCCGCACAAGCAATGTCCGTCACTGCCGGGTTCTGTCGTGGCCAAGAGAATCGGGTCAGATTGGGAAGCGCAATCTGTCATGGCTTAACGAAACGACATGGACCCTGACAACACCTCCTGCTGAACTACAGAAAGCCGTTCATGACCTGACAACTCTTCAACGCCTGACATTGAAATGTGTACCGCAAACGAGCAGAGGACACTAAAATTTGGCATGACACAGCTAAGCAGCGTAGGCAGATGACATTCACGATGACCACTAGGGAAGTTCACCTGGTACACGCAGAAGCCATAGCCCTTGGAGTTGCCAGTGTCACGATCCTTGACCAGCTCAAAGCCCCGCAGAGGCCTGGAAAACCGACAGAGGACATCAGGCTAAGATACGAGGCCCACCTGCCACACACAGAAGCCGTAACCCTTGTTGCTCCCGGTCTCCCGGTCCTTGATGAGATCGAAGCCCTTGAGAGGCCTGCACGGACGGTGCCAGGAGCATCTGAGTGGCTTGCTGAGGCCTCAGGGAGCCATCTGCCTACGATTCGATTCCAAGATCTCGTCTGCTGTTTGTCGAGCGTGAGAAATCGAGGCGACCTTCTAGTGAACTTCTAACTTGCTCTTGCAAAAATCTAACAGAAACTGCCGAGCTCAGCCCTACAAACCCTCCTCGGCTTCACCAATCCCAGGAATCAAGAAATGGTCCTTTTCTGAGACACGTCCAGGAACAAGAAGCGGCCAACGTACTTTCAACCCAAACGTACGCAGCCTTGACATTTCCTTACCCGAAAGATGACAGCAGTTCCTTGATCATCCTCAGAAGTCAATGAAGGACCCTTTTCTGAGACACGTCCAGGAAACGAGAACTGGCCAACGTACTTTCAACCCGAAAGGACGCAGCATGTTGACATTCCCTTACCCGAAAGATGACAACAGTTCCTTGATCTGTTCCTCAGTAAGATAGTACGGCAGGCCTCCCACAAAGACCCGATCAGGTCCGTCTGCTCCGCCAGCCCCGCTTCTGCAGAATTCAATTACCGGGTCAGTCAAGCAAGACCACTGGAGTCTCTCTGCCGACGCACACTGTCATAGCACGGCACTCCCAGTATCTCGGACGTAAGGCAAACCACATTCGTAAATCATATGTCCAAGATCCATCAGACGCTCCAATTTAGACAAATATTAGCAGTGAGTAGCAGCAGATTGCAGCAGTTCGACAAACTCACCCTGGCGTAAGCCCCACCGCAGCTAAGTTGAGATTGGGATTCGGCTGGCTAGGCCCAAGGGTCGCTGCCATTGACGGGTTGTAGTCACTTGGCCTCCGTACCCTCACCGCAACCCCCTGCAGAGAAAAAGCAAACATCAGATGTGCCTCCTCAAGAAGAGCATCAAGGCGTTACATATGGCGCCACATGAATTGCAATGTATCAATCCAGGCAGCCCGTAAGTACAGCTAAGCACGCAGCAACCGGATCAGCCCTACTTTGATTCAAAGCAACCTGCTCTAACAGAGAGGAGTTACAGTCCAGTAAGAGATCAGAATGCCCCGGCGACAAGCATGCTCAACGCAGGCAAGTTTGCGGTGAAACTTCGATCTTGATCTCCAGAGACTCTCCGACACTTCTCAGCTCGAAATCAGACAAGCCACTCTGCTTGCAATAACTATTCAAGAAGAGCACCCACGTCAAAGTTGACTCCATCCAGCGCCATCGCATTGCTGGTTTCTTCCACAGTCCTGAGCTCCACAAATGCGAACTTCTTCTCCTGGTTGATGTAGACGTTCACCACACAGTCACCTGCAGACAAATCGCCTCAATCAGCATTCCCGAAAGTCATTGACTACTATGTATGCATCACAGACACCTTGATTATTGCAGCATCAATGGCGTAACCGGTGTACAGCAAAGCAGACTGGGGAACAATCTAAATTACATGCACTTAGCAAGGAAAATGCATCAAGAAGATACAAGCGATGCGTTTCAGGAAGACAAAAAGTCACGTCGCGGAAGAGAGACCAGAAACGAAAGTGCCACCACGTACCTGGGCCAGCAGTGTTGCCCCCGATCAGATGCATAGCCTGGCTGAAGAAGGTCGCCACACTCTGCGAGACGCAGTATTCGAAGTTAAGGTTTTAGAGAGTGTTTGGGTCAGAGGAACAAAGCCCGGTGTGATGTGCAGGCCCAATGAATATCCGTGTGCCAAAGTATCAAAGCATAATAATCAGAATCTGTTTGAGGTATGACAAACAGGTCTGAAGCGGGGTTGTCGGCCAAATCAATGCAAGTATTGTCTGAGATATTCCTCTCTTACCTGCTCATTGGCCATCGGCGGAAGCCCCCCAACATACACCCGGCGTGCGTGACGGGTGGCTTGCTGCGTCATTGCAGCGACAGGGATCTGGGGGAATCCTGGGAACTGCAAGCAGACATTGGGGGTGAGCATGCCTGCCGGCAAGCTGACTATTGCTCCAGCAAACCACCAATTTTCGCAGGATGAAGTAAGACTAGTACTGCAAATCCCAAAATGACCTTCCTCGTCCACTAGTCACAATTATATGCCAGGTATACCTCAAGAACAAGACATGCTGGAAAGGTTTACCTGTCCAAAGGGGTACACAGCACCACCAGCGTCTGCGCCTGCATGACAAGGTGATTTTGAACATATCAGTAAGATGGACAGCTGAGCACAAGAACAGGCAATTCGGGCGCAGCTCGAGAGTGCCAAACGTGTTCGTTCATGCAGTATGCTGAGACAGATGCTCAAAAACCGTGATAATCTACACCCATGCCTGACTCTCCGATTGCCCTAGCATCTATCAACTGCTTATCTTGCTGTGTATGCCGCACAACAAGGACGACGGCAGCTCAAGAAGGTGGAGCAGGCTGCCTTGCCATGCCAATGCTCCGAAGGCGCCTTTCAAGTTCGTTGGTGGCCAGGGCAGGCTTTCCCACTCTAACACATGACTATATAGAGCAACACACACAACAACAAACGACACAGCACAGACAAACAACAGGTAAACAGTTTCAGTAGGGGGTTTGAGATGAGAGGAAAGCAACTAAAGTACAGCTTGTTTCTTTCAACAGTTGACAAAAGTGTTCCGCATTGGCAATTGACCAGGTTTCGAGTCATCAAACCGAGGTCAGTGCTTTCACAAGCACCGAACTGTCTGTATCAATGCTAGCAATGGGGGATTCCTACAGGAGGTTATGGCTACATCACCAATATAAGCCAGTAACTCGAACTAGATGCCATGCAACTATGGCGTGCAATCTCTGCAAAATGGACGACGTGTCTCACCAGCGGTTGGAGGTGCAGCTACTGCCGGAGGTGCCATATCAAACCCACTCCCCTTTCGCCTGCACAAAGAACACAAAGGCACGATCGTTTCAGTCCTTGCAGGACACAGAAGGAGGAGACGAACAGAGGTGCTCAAACATGATCTGCTGCAAACACACAAGAATCAACCTTGAAAATAATCAGGCAATGGGACCTGCTTCATCAGGAAAAGGATTTGAAGACAAGGACCTCAGGTAATCTGTTGAGAAAAGAGAACAAAGCAAAGCAGCTGCTATTTTACCCTCTGCGATCGCGCGAGCGGGAGCGGGACCGCGAGCGGCTGCGACCTCTGGAATGGCGGCCCCTATAAACAGACGGAGTTAATGCTCGTCAATGCATCTCAACGAGATTATTTCCTTTGAGGGCAGGGCAGTTTAAGAAAATCTTCTGAGCGCTACTGCAAGAAACAGATCTTTTAAGTACCAGACGAACCATCAACATTTTTCTGCATTTGCATATAAAAGCAAATCTCGCAAGTCACTACCAACTTGTTAGTATCGGAGCATAATATGGTAATGGTGGTTGATCCTGTCTCCCGACTAATGAACCGGCTGCGTGACCTTCGACAAAGCAATGCAAAAGTGATAATACAATGGGTAATTGCATCTTCTTGCGCACAGTGCTAATACTGCATGAGTCCTCTGCGCAAGTTCACTGCGCATGCAAAAGATTTATTGATAGAGCTCACTTGTGCCGATCGTCATAATCATCCCTGTGCCTGCGCCTGTCGTCATAGTCTTCCCTGCTCCGGTGCCTGTCCCTGCCACTGCCACGATCACGCTCCCGGCGATCATAATCTTTTCGATCATCATCATACCTCTGCAAGCATAAAGAACAAAACATTGACATTGTTTCAAGCAACAGCACCTACAAACCTCAAGACACAGGAAAAGAGATGGCTGCAAAAGATGCGGGCATGTTGGAACTGATGCAGATTACCAAGAGGCTTCAAATGAACAAAGACCAGACGGCTTACATCTCTGCGTCTATCGTGATCGTCATCTCGAGGAGCTGATCGCCCATCCCGACCATCATCCCGGGGAGGGCGATCATCCACATCTGCCATTCTTTCAATGCAACCGACCTTAGGGAGCTAGAATCAACTTGGCAAGATGTTGGCAACTTTGACTAGTACTCAGGATGGCTCGCTGCTGGACCTTGGCGGAGTCCCTGGATCGACAAAGAGAGCTCTGCCGCACTCGCGCCCCTCGAAATGCAAGCTGCGCCACCTGGAGACGAAGGGGATGCGACTCCGAGCTGACGGTCCGCGAAACCTCTTCCCCTCTGAGGCCTATATAGTATAGGCTATACTATTACCGGTGCATGTGTGCATCAGCAGCTACAAAACCCTCTCGACTAGTCAGATACTCGCCGTGAGTCGCTTAGCCTACCGAGAACGCTCTTCGACACACGTGAAGCATATATTAGTACATCATACTGCGCAACTTTATGGTTCTCAATGGCCACCTTCGTCGAACATTTTGAGAATTGTTGTATTACATATTACCTAGGATATGGTTCCAAATCCTGATTTTGCAGAGCATCTTCCGACACCTCAATTCCTGATTTATTGCACTCCCCTTGAAGTGGGCAACAGAAGGCATCATGCAGCACTCCAGCAGTCTAGCTATATATGGCACTGCCAGCAGAATATGGTACCTAGAACATGGCGCCTGTGCATGTAGCTGGAAAGGTTTAGTTGACTGTGCCAGGGCATACAACAGGAATGTAGGCTATGCACCATAGTGCATAGCCTCAATGGGGCCCTTCAAGACATTGGCTGGACTCTGAAGCGGAGTAAGGATTGCAATTTGGAAACGTTGGTAACCTTGTCCTGGCCACATATACATTACAATTGCAGCTGCAATGGGGCTGCCTGATAAGTTCGTTGTGCAGACCGTGAGGCACCTCAGACGTGCGCAAATGCTGCAGGGCTGCAATGATGCATCACTGGCTGGGGCGCTCAGAAGCATGCCGGGATTGCAAGCCTTTTTGAATGAGTCCCTGCCTTCTGCAGGCACCTCAGCCCCTTCATATAACCCTCCACCTAATGTAACCCCTTCCGCTTGTTCCAATGTTGCCGCTGGCGAAAGTCCGCTTGGTGCCCTGGCGGTGGGTCTGGGCCTGGGTTTAGTCCTGGGCTTTGGTTTCGGCGCTGCCTCATGTGATGCAGCTCAGGTTAGTGAGACGCTTGAGCATGAGCACCACCATCCCCACCTGCACAAGGCAGCCGACCAGGGTGGAGAAGAAAGAGCTGAGGTTTGTTAGTCCCATGACCTGCACATTACTGGCTTGGACTGGTGTGCCTTCTTCAGATAGGACTAGTAGTGTTTAATGATAGTTGTGAGCTGCCGCTGATGATGAAATTGAACAAAAGAAGGCGTGATTTTCAAAGCATGTGCAAGTGCAATTGCAACCCAAGGTCTTCAGTTGGGTCTGGCCCTCACAAAAGCTGAAGGCCATACATCTGCATAGAAGGCAAGGACAATCCTTGTGGCAGCAATTTTCAGCCTTCCGTGGCGTACTTGGAGTATTTGCGCGTTCCTAATGCTCAGTCCAACACTTTTGCTCATTGCCTTCTACAATTTTGGAATTGTAGTTTCTCAGCCCTCAAGCCCTCCTGCTTCACTGGATGCAGTCACAGATGCATCTTGTGTAGGGCAACACATACAGGTACTTAAAAGGAACCTTCTTCGGCAACTGACCAGGAAAGGCTGCTACTTACGCTCTACTCTGCTGCAGGGAGACCAGCCGACTAGACCAGAGCCCCCCGGCGAGTCGCCTGTCGCCAAACCGCAGAGCCAGTGGGGCTTTTCCCTGATGGGCCAGTCGGTGCGGCGACGCATCTTCTTCTACTACGAGAAGCGCATCCGGACACGCTCACCGCCAGAGAAGGTGACCTATGCTTCCGGTCCAGTCACACTTAACTCTCCTTGTTTCTGCAATGTTTTTTGAAAGTCCCGTGCTCTTAGAGTTGTGTAAGAGTAAAGCAGGACATACCTCGAAGTCAGAAACGAACAGAGCATGATAGACTACGACCATTTCAGCAATGAGGACGGGCTGCGAGTGCTGTAGTTTCGTGCTGAAAGTGACTCTACTTTCGCATTTCTTCTTCTGCAAAGTGCCAGAAACGGCCTCGTTTGGATGCAGGTGTTTGAGTACTTTGCTTCAATCAAGGACCAAGGAGAGACTTTGATGACACCAGCGGACCTCATGAGGGCCGTCGTTCCGGTCTTCCCTCCATCAGGTGGGCGTCTAGAGCCGCTCTCAGCTATGTATGAAGACTCATACTCCAACCTAGATACCTCAGCCTTCGTGCCCCTCAATCAGCTCTCTGTCATTTTCGTGAGTAACACAGTTCCCAGCTTATGCTAGGAGTTACGATCTGAGCGAGGCGGCCTTGACTTAGTAGCACCAAGTTGCTCTTCTTGGTACTGCTGTTTACGTCAAACTTGGCACCCGAGCTCGGATAAAAACCGCGTGGGTCTGAAATCTGCTTTCCAACACCGTTGATAGACATAGCTCCCGAAATTCCATTCGTACTGCGACCAATCGAAGTCCCTGATTGGTGACCTGAAACTATGTGTGGAGTCCTTTGGGGGGAAGTTGCTTGTAGACATCAAGAACCGAACTCGGTCTCGACCGCGCGTTGCGATCCGACCTCGGGTGCCAAACTTGACGGAAAGAGCAGGATCCAGTTCGGATTTACGCAGGCACCTTAAACTCCGTCTTCAATGTTATCAAGTCGTTTCTATAAAATCAGCTCACACTGGAGAAAGCATGGCAGATGGAAGTCAGCATTTGCATCTTCTTCCGCAGACTCTCCGTATGCACGCACGGGCAGCCTGTCTGGAGAGCCGTCGCAGGGAGGGCTGCGCTGTCCAGAGTCGAAGCTGTTCAAGCTCTTTGATACGGTGAGCATATTTCCTCACGCGCAGGACTGATGTCATATGGAACGACCGTGCTTGTTTGGCCACTCAGAAGAAAGCCCCGTTGCCAAAGTTGTATCACGGAATTGATTGGAATCAACAAAGGGGCTGAACGAAATGAATGAAGACCATACCTTTTCCGGCCATTGGGACGTCCTCTGGCAAGTGCGCTATAGAGCGGGCAACAAATATACCTGATTGGGAAGGGGTCGCCAGTGCTGCAGCCTCGTTTCGGGCCCCTTATAAAAATGGCTGACTGAATTGAAGGCCAGTGTCTTGTTCCCAACGCATAAGTCGACCTTTAGGCATGTCTTCGACGAGTACAATCACTTTTTCGTCGTGACTGATTTGGACTTGACGTCGAGCGTCCTATCGTAGCACTTCTTTAAAAAACCCTTCCTCGTCGTGTCCCATTCTGAGTTGACGTCGAGCATCCTATTGTAGCACTCCTTTCGAATATCCAGCTTCTAGCTTCATTTCATTTAGAATTCACCTCCATCGTGAATGAACGTTTTACCAGGGTGAGGGGTGCCTAGCTTCTACTTTGATAGAAGCTTTTTAGGGTTTTAGGGTTAAGGGTTTTTTGGGTGCGAAATGGTGTTGTTAGAATCGTTGACCATGGCGCTAAAGCAGTAATCCTCTTCCTGCCAGAACGGCGACGGCTTCATCTCCTTCCCCGAGTACATCTTCTTCGTAACGCTGCTGAGCATCCCCCCCTGGGAGGTGGAGCAGGCGTTCCACACCTTCGACCTGGACCAGAGCGGAATGGTCGACAAGGACGAATTCAAATCGGTGCGCCAGTCTCCTCCACTCTGGTAACCAACGAGTGACTTAACAGCCGAGTGACTTAAGATAGGCGCCCGGGGGACGGGTGGGGTTAGCAGGGTGGCTAGGGTGGGTTCGGGTGCAGAGCGGGTGATCAATTGTGTAGGTGTTTCAGTTTGTTTGGTCGGGCTTCGTGAATCTTAGGTCACTCACTCGTTAAGTCACTCCGGACTTACCCGTATGTGTCCTCCATAACCACACGCGGTTTGAGTAACTTCTGTTGAAAACTTCGGAGTCAAAATAAGTTTTGCACAGTTACAGGCTTGCTCTTGTGCCCTTATGCGTGTCTGGTGATTCTCCTGTCTCCTCTGTTCCACCTTGTGGAATGCGTTCTTGCAGCAATTTTTTTTGTTCTTCTCGTTGTGTTTACCACGTTCACTTTCAAATAGTGCTCCAGTAACGCTAGGTTTAGCACAGACCGTCAGAAGACCGTCAGATGGCGCAGACCGTTTTGATGCTCTAATATTCTGCCATTCAAGGTCTGTACGTGATCTAGTCCAGTTTATCAACCTATTTAGACCGCAACGCTTGGAAAATAGTGCGGTATATGCACTTTCGATTGGCGAGTTGGACCAGCCTTACTCAAGAATCGGCCTTAAACTCAACTCTACCGCTCGTGGGCTAGTCGAAGCTTTATCATCTTGGTTCGAGATCTGACATTGATCTAACTCGAAGCTGGCTGCGCTCGTGAAAGTATCCAATTGTTCCCCGTAGGTGATGGCCGTGCTTCGGAAGCAGAGCAAGGCCGGGCAGCGCAACCGGGGGGGCCTCCGGTTCCTCTCGGGGAAGAGCCCGCCCCGCCTCGGCACGAGCGTCGACGAGGGGGGCGTGGTGGAGTACTTCTTCGGGAAGGACGGCAAGCAGTGCCTCACCTTAGAGGCGTTCCAGAAGTTCATGGCGGAACTGCAGGAGGAGGTGAGCGGAATGGATAGCACGACCGTAGTGAAAAGTTGCCGTTGTGCGAGTAGTTTTTGGTGGAGATGCTGGAGGCGGTCAGCGGAATAAAGGGCACAATCGTAGTGAAGGAATGATTGCAAGCGGAGTGTGGCCTGTTAGTGTATTCGCAAGGCGCTCCCTCATTCCAGGCGCTCACTTCCCACGTTCGGATTTGAAGACGGTTCTGCCTTGTCGGCAGACCCCGCAGTGTTGCTCTTCACACGTTCTCTGCAGATTACGCGCTTGGAGTTTGCGCACTATGACTGGCGCAACGAGGGCACCGTTTCGGCGAAGGACTTTGCGCTGTCCATGGTTGCTGCGGCGGACATGGAGCACCTGGCGCCGCTCATGGCACGTGTGGACAAGCTGGCCGCCGAGGAGGCGTTCAAGGTGAGAAGGATCTGATCTGGGGTTTAGAGTGCCAGGGTTTCGGATTTTCGGAGGTTTGAAGGGTTTTGGGGTATGAAGCTGTGTCGTTTTCAATTGTGCGAACTCTTGTGCAAAGCAAAGTTGGAGCAAAAGGTGCTTAAGGCATTCTTCAACTTGTTAGCCCAATTCCTGACCCGAGTGGAAGAGAACAAATGTTCACCGTTTTCCCTACGCTCACGCGGCGTATCAATGAAGATAGTGCTCGAGAGCCGACAAGGTATCCACACGGGTCTTGAACAGTTTCTAATCTACTGCTGGCTTCAGAATAATGGCCGAAACTTCTCCGAACCTTTATCATGCTTCATAAGCCATCGTTTCTTGACCTTGCAGAGTGTCCGCATCTCGTATGAGGACTTTTGGGCGTTTGCCCACTGCCGCTGGGTGGTTCCGCGGCTCGATGACGCCCTCGACCAGTTTCTCGCCCACAGCCCCGAGGGCGTCGACGGGCTGACACGTGGCGAGTTCCGGGAGGCCGTCCACGACGTGTGCGGCGTCAGCTTTGATGACATCACCCTCGACATTATCTTCTATATCTTCGACATTGACGGGGACGGCCGGATCAGCTGCGAGGAGTTTCTGACGGCCGCCGATTCGAAGGACGGCAAGAACGCGAGCTGGGGGCCCGTGATGTGGGCGCACGCCTTGAAAGGCATGTGGTAGGCAGGGCTCTCATTTTGACGGCCAATGCATCTGCGGATTTAGCAAGTCTTGGCACTCCGAAAACCTGTTTGAGAGTTGATTGGGAGCTGTGAAAGACAAACGGACGGAAGTTAAGATTGTGGTGAGTTTGGGTCAAAGTTTTATTCACATTTATTCCAATGCGGAAAGCCGCCTCTGAAAGGTAACCTTGTGTTTGAGACTGTTTGTGTTAGCCAGAGTGTCTCCTTTGAAGGTGCTGAAGGTCACCACGCTTTCTATCATCAGCTCACAAGCTACTAAGCGGCATGATGCGCGCATGAATACGAATCATGCTGCGCCGGCGACTGTACGTGTGCCCGGGGGCCTCATGCATGGCTTGTTCTCGGCCCTCAAGTGACTGACGCGGTCTCGGCCCGCGCAGCATAAGATGTGGCTCATCGATCAGACGGCCACGGAACTGGCATGCGACTAGGATGCTGCGCAGCTACTAGCTTGCTAGCAATGATGCTAGTAGCAGATAGATGCCGTCACTGCATATTATAATAAGTACGCGCCTATGTTTCATGCAGGGCCAATGATGCATGATGCATTAGACGACGTCTGCCACACATTGTGGTATTACATCACGAATTGCAGTTTCAAGTACCCGCGAGCCTGTAAATACTCAGGGGTACGGTTGCTCTAGTTGATCTTACAACGGACCCGAGAAAGTTCAAAAGTAGTTATATGACTTTTCATTCCAGCCTGGCTCAGTCGGTTCGCGACTGCATGCCTTATATCGACATGCCATGCCCGGGCCGGCCGCCCGGCATCATGTGAGCCTGATCGTCTGTTCGGAGCAAGTCAACTGCAACTTGATTTGTGCATAGTAAATCGTGAATTGAACTAGGTAGCACCGGAGACCACGCGTTCATTGGCCGGCAGGCTCGTAACCAACCCTATTTGTACTGTACGTTTTCTATTAAGAGAAGTTTGAACCTGTATCTAGAGCTTTCTTCAGTGCCGGCATCATTTGTACAGTGCAACATCTAACCTAGAGCTATCTGCAGCAGATTGCGCTAGCAATCAGCGTACGTTTCGACCTGATCACAGTCCAGTTTGACTCGCTCTCCTTTGACTTTCTAATCAGTCTATCCTCGTTCAAGAACTATCTACTATATCATTTTCAATTAGGTCAGTCATGTTTCACAATCTCCTACGCTTTGCATAACCCGTCTCCTCTACTCCCTGATGGGAGGCACGCTCGAGGGGCCCCGCACGAGCGGCACTCCCGTGGGGGATCCCCCGAAGTCCGAACCGGGCGAGCCGGGGCCGCTAGACCCCGGTTGGCTGCTCGACGATGACGACACCCGGCGGCTGGCGTGGCGCGGGGACAGGGCTTGGATGTGCCCGGAGATCGTACGGATTAAGCGGACCCCGCGGTTGCGGAGCGTCTCCTCCAACATGGTGCGGTCCGCCATGAGCCTGCGGTCGGAACAAGAAGCCGCTTCAGTGGTGGCGATAAGGGCTAAGAAGGTCTCTGTATTCTACCTAAGCGCAGTATAACAACGACACGGACGGGATTTGACTTGATAGGGGGATGCGGAAAACTGCATCCGATGTTTGGGCCGCAATTCCTGCTGCTGCCAGCGGAAATAACCGTTTGCATCCTTGGCAGGCGCGCAGCAGACGACGTGAGCCGTCGCGCAGTACTATCCTTTACAATTGTCGTCACCGCTGGCGAGCTCTAACAAGCTGGGCCCCTTTTTCCAAGCATGGTCAGCATACACTGAGGAACACGATACGCAGCAAAGAGACACACTTCAGCCGTTTGATCCACAAGGGAATCGCTTGACAAAGCACTTTACGCTTCAGCAGAAGACCACCCAGAGTGCACCAGAAAGAGATTGAGTTTCTGAAACCAGCGACACCATCAGCAATGGGCGGTGAGGTTCTGGAAAGTTTAGGGTTGTCCGGTATGCGTTGGCGCCCTACCGGTGAATTTCCCTGGTCTTGGGCGTGTTGTATACGTTGACTCGCCACCGGGAATCCATTGTCAGCTCCAAAAAGAAGTGCTCATCAATCTGGAGAGAGAAAGGAAGATCTTGGTTTCTTCCGCGCGTTGGAGTTCCTCGATTTGGAATGACGATGAGAGGGCTTTGCGAGTCCAAAACCAGTGCGCGTTTCACATAAGAACCGGGACTTCCTCCCTTATCTGTCCTCACAGGACGTCACTTTACTGAAGTAGTCGCATGGTGCTATCAACGAGAAGAGTACCAATGAGAGCACAGATTTCAAAGCGAGCGTTTGCGTCCTGAATTTGTGGGACGGCCAGGTTGGGTAAAAAGCTCGACCAACAATTCGGTGCGATTCAAAAGCCCATCCGCAGCTCAGCATGAAATGACCTGCGAATATTGGCGCTGCCACATACTTCGTCAACTACGCTTCTGCAAGCGACCATTGTTTCATCGACGCGTTTCTCGAAAGTGTAAACACGGACGGAATTATCACGCGCGGAGAAGCAGGAACCTTCTCCCGTGAAATCGCTTCTCCTTTACAATGCAAAACAACGGTTGCGAGGTAAGCGGCTGATGCGCCTAAATCCGACTTTGTATCCGTATTCCATTTTCGAAGTAAAGTAGACCAGCTCCCTTATAAAGTTTGAGCAAGTCTATACAAACAACTTCGAATATCCAGAACAGTGCGGCCATCTCTGACCGTGGTTTTGAGCATCCCGACCACGTGTCGCGAGGAGGCGGTACGTACCTCGCAGGTGGAGTGGTCGTCGCAGCGGAGCGCCCACATGTACCCCTTGGGCTGTGACAACACGTTCTGCTCGTTGACGAAGTCTCTGCGAGAAAGAGAATGGCAGACGTCAGCAGCAATTGAAGCCACGGACATGGACTGTGTTTTGCAGAGTCAATCAGCTTGACACGGTTTCCCTCCGTCGCAAAGAGTGTGGCAAGGTCGCGGTGGAGACCGATACCTCGGGAAAGGGCGTCTGATGCAGCTTGAAAGTGTGCGCATAAATCTCCATAAGCTGGGATGGTGTATTGAATTCAGAACTGTTCTGCTACATTAAGACTGCAAGTACAATCTTCCGCTCCAAGGGGCAACCTTTACTTCCCGAGACGTCTCAATAAGCTTCTGTTAACCCTGAGAACCTCAGCCTCGCTTCTGGGCCTCGCTTTTAAGCAAAGGTTCATCCGTCCACCCCAAGGGTTTAAAGAAAGCTGCTTTGTCGGCTAAGCCTGATTTTCCGTGTCCAGAGCACTTCAAAGGTGGACGAGAGATGGCCCCTTCTCACCTGAGCTTCTCCTTGGCAGTGTCGGGCCCACTAGCAGAGCGGGCAGCAGCCTCGTTCCCAGGGTATCGTTTAAGCAAGAGCTCTCCCGCCGTCCTCAAAAGGACTTTTATTCGTGAGCACAGTCTCCGTTCCCAGACACTTCTCTAGTGTTCCGCAAAAAGGCGCCTTCTCACCTGAGCTTCTCCTTGGCGGTGTCGGCCCACCAGCAGCGCAAACAGCAGCCTCGTTCCGAAGTCTTGTTTCAAGAAGACTTTTCCCCCCGTCCATTAAACGACTTTTGATTGTGAGCATTGTCTTTGGTCCAAACACTTCTGAGGTGGAAACAAAAAGACATATTCCCACCTGAGCTTCTAGCTCCTTGGCGGTGTCGGCCCACCAGCAGAGCAAACAGCAGCCTCGTTCCCGGGCCTTCAACTCTGGAAAAAAGTTCCTTCCGTTGTTTTCACAAAAAACTTCTGCCGTAAGCATTCCTTTCCCAAACACTCCTCAGGCGCCTTCTCACCTGAGCTTCTCCTTGGCGGTGTCGGCCCACCAGCAGAGCAGGCAACAGCCGCCAACCGGGCACAGCAGCCCGCCCAAGACCCACACCTCCAAAAAGGTCGGGGTGTACTTCCGGGCGATGATATTGGCCTCCGAAATGAAGTCTGCGCACGGGAGAGGAGTTGAGGTCAAGCTTACGTGAGACATCAGAGTGACGTCAGCATTGACAAGGCAGCTGGGAGGGCGAAGCGTTTGAGCTCCGTGCAACAAGCATGATGAAAAGGATGCCGGTTCACAGTAAGACTCATACAAGAAATTACTTCGCCAAGGCTTGCTCTAGGTTTAGGTCCAGAGTATTGCAAGTGGAAATGAAAAGTGGCAGCCCGAAAATTATTTATGGATTACCGATTGAAGAAAGAGTCGAGCACAGACTTGACCTTGGGAAGACTTTCAGCTGGTTAAGTTCTTGAGACGCGATCGAAGAGACTTTCCAGGCACGTTAGGACTTTTGGAACTCAGTCTTCATGGCTGTGCCCTTAAACGAGAAAGGTCCTTCTAATCGTTGTTCCTTTTCTCGAGACTTGAGCATCTTCAGATCTCACTTGAAACCCCTGCCTCTTTCAAGCAGCTAGCAGGAACAAGGTCTCACCATTAAATTCTGTCAGGCTGCAAAACTCCGCCACGCCCTCGGCCAGAAACACGTTCCCTGGATCGAACCCCCCTCCAGTGAACAGGAACGGGTGGCGAGGGACGAAGTGCACTTGGATCGTCTTTTTCACGAGCGGCTGGCTGGGCCCCCTACGTGTGATGACCGGAGGGAGGGGGGGCTGAGTGGCTGAGTCCTCGGAGGGGGGGGTTGGCGCGAGCTTCTCGTCCTGGACATCGGAGGAGGGTGCATCCGGGGCCTGCGACAGAGGCAAAACCACTAATTAGTCTTTGGAAAATCGTTTAGTTGGCCGGTGTAGAACAACTTCAGGGCAGAACTCTGCAAGACAGGTGATTCGGGACTTGGAGAAAGGGGCCCTCAAGAGCTCGGCCTGTCCATAAAACTCTGCATCCAAGAGCATGGGGTGCGCTCAGATTCACCGCACTTCAGCCGGTTCCTACATCTGTTGTTGAAGTGGGACTCTTTCATCAGACTTGGATACACTGCTGCGTCTCTTTACCCAAAGCTTGGTTTTTGCTGTCAATCAGAAGGCTAGATGCTCAATAGTTTGAGACAAGACTGGAAACGAAAGAAAGAGTGGAGCATCAAACACTCTTAAGGGAACAAAAAGAAGGAAAAAAAAGACAAGGTGGACACACACAAGTGGAGAAGGACAGGAAGGAACGATGGAAGAAGCAATCCAGGAGATGAAGCTCACAGTGTCTGGAGGAGCTGCAGTCGACTGCTGAACGCCTGCCTCGTTCAATCTCTTCTGAAGCTGCTTCTTCTTTTTGAACTCAAAGACGACGTGCCGCAGCGTGAAGGAGGGGATGACACCTGTGATGCGGAAGCGGCAGGTGGGGCAGATGGGCGACACCTGGACGCTCTTCAGCAGGCACTCCTGATATGTGGATAAGGATATGGATCAGCTGACAGGTGGCGGAACGTGGTGGCAAGTGAGAAAACGATCCAATCTGTGGTGGTGAAAGAAGGAGGAACGTTCTGGTATGTTGGTCACCAAGTGGCAGGCGGAGATTGACAGCTGGCATAACTGGCAGGCCGGGGTGACAGCTGGCAAGTGCCTGGGAGGGCATCTGGGTTCAAGCATCTTTTGTACTTTGTAATTTGCTAGCGACAAGCATACTGGACGGCTTTTCATATCCATTGAAGAGTGGGGGCTAAAAAGTTGCTGTCTTGCATGAGTGGGCCCGTCTTTTCAAACTCAACGATGATGCCTTTCAAGATCAGATTCCCTAGCCCAGTAACATAAGTTAGTGTAGGTCATCCTTGGGCGGCTCTGAGCTGTTGGACGCCCACTGAAGACGGAGTTAGGTATTTTCCTGGAGGGCAACAAGCGAGTCTTCTTCTACCGTTCCTCCTTTCCGCCCCATCAAGCAGAGTGCGATGAACTCCGTACGCCCTATTGATATGGCTCGGAGGTATGTGTCAGGCTATGAATCAAGTTTCAAGGTTGTTTGATCCTCGTTGCATTTACTTTTGGGGATAGAGGAGCTCCGTGCAAACATGTACCCGGATGTTGTTCACCACATGAATTATCTTTCAGCAAGGCCTTCCTCGGGCTCCCTTTGCACAGACCAGCCAACCACCGCCGTAAATAAACCAGACAGTTGGCTTTGTCACCGCCAGAATGTTACTTATGCAAGCAGACAATGGAAATCCATGGTTGCATGACCAGCGCCCTACGTGATGACCATCTGTGACTGTTCAACACCTGACCGAGTGCCTCTTCATAAGAGCTGCCGGTAAATCCCCTTCAATTCTGTTCAATTGCGGGCTCACATGCTGGCTGCTGGGCCCCGATTAGCGCCCAATGCTGACATCAGCACTTCGTTTTGGTCCTGAGGGGAAGGCGATGCCTCACCTCGCAGAATGCGTGCCCGCAATCCGTCTCCACAGGTTGATCAAGGATCTCCAGGCAGATGGGGCACTGCAAACTGGTGTACTCCATGGTCGCAAACCCTAATCTGAAACCCTAATCTGCAAGCCCAACCTTCAACATCCCGGCCCTCCTTCCGCAACCATTGGCGGCTGACACATCACGCACACCGCTGTCGAAGTTTCATCTGCCAATTCACTGCAGTAAAATTGCCATGGAAACTCTTTACTCTCTCCATGCTTTACGCATCCCTGCCGCTGGCATTGGGTTGTGCCACCTGCAACAATCTTTGCATATCCCCAAAAGAGAAGTCGTGTGCTGCTCAATGCATCCAACTTCCAAGTGCGCGTCTTCTTGATTTCACCGTCTCTTGAATCTTCCTTCATAGGATCTTCTCTGGCTAGGTAGTAGGTACCGTACCCCTGACTCTGAGGTGGTACCATGATACCTACGCTATCAAGCGCTGTAAGCGCTGTACACAGTTGGTCAACCGGGTCAAGCAGTGCTACAGACTCGGTACCTATCGGTACTACGGCACCTAGGTAGTGACACTTTTAAAGTCTCTGTCAATCTGTGATGTGTGCTGTGTCCACAGCGCAGTGTGCAATGCACGTCAAGTACCGGCAGGTATCCAAGTTGATGATGATTGTGTAAAGTTCATCTGACATCATTGATGATGGTTAGAACTTAGGTAGTTAGCCTAAGTTCATGTCCGTACTGAGAACATATCGGTCCGTTCGATGTTGCAGATCGACGACTCAAGTTCTCTGAGGCAGACCGTTGAGCGAATGTGTCCGTACCGTGCGTGCCCATGACGCCCGGTAAACGCGATGATTGGAGAGGGAGCACTTAGGAGCACCGGTTATTGAAGCCGTGGCCCGTGACGCGGCTGCTCAGGAAGCTGTGCAGTTAGTGTGCAGACAATGCAGAGCTCTATACTGATTGCTGAGCTGTACCTAGCTTCTTTCAATGTCATTCTTTCCTGCAGCTGCGACTCTAAGACTACAAAGCTGAAATTTTGTGAAAGCTTTTGGGGAAGCAGAGAGCTCACTTCCCCTCCATGGAACGCACACAAAGAGCCCGTATGGCGACCTGTAGCTGCTAAACTCCGCTAGCTGAGCTGCTGAGGAACAGTCAACTCGTAATTTTATTTGAATATCAGGCAGAACAGTAACCTCACTGCAAGGACGTCAAAAGGCAATGTTGCCCCCAAAGGCAGCGGCATTGGCCGCCTTTTGGCTGACGGTGGTCTTCTGCGCTAGCCGGATGAATGGAGGTGAGCCACAGCCAGAGAATTGTGGCAATGCGCGGTTTCTCCCTTGAAATTGTGAGCATTGAGGGACTCGTGGGCTTTTCTAACGATGGCGCAAAGTGGAGCCTCGTGACAAGGAAGGGTTTCTTGGGGCTTTCAGGCAATTCTCACAGGGAATTGTAATTGCGAGAAGCTTGGCAATGCTTGGGAAGTGAGGGGCACCCACTCTGAGGGTTTACCTGAAGTTTTGGTCAAGCGCGGACATGGCTGGAAATTACCACATTATGGGGCACATCGACACAGGAGGTGTTCGGGGTGTGTTACAGCTCGCGACTGCCAAGATTGTGAATCTGGACGGCTATTATAAGGAAACAGGCTATCCAATGGTAGGGTTGGTCCTGTTGAAAGTAATCTGTCGGTACTAAGAAGTTGGTGACGGCATATCTGGACAAAGAATGCTTTCAATTGGGCAATTGTTGTTGAAGAATGTGCGTGGGTATACGGGCCAGGTTTTTGAGCGGGACGTTCTTGTTTTCTGTAAATGGCAAGGCTTTGAAACAGCATTGTCACAAATTCGCCACAGCTTTTGCATTCTAAGGTCGCAATATTTGTTCCCGTGCCACTCACGGTGTTGCTTGGACGGCACATTGAGCAGCGTTGGACAGAAGCGGGCTCTTACAATTAAAGATACTACCACCTTGACCGAACAAGCTTGCTGTGGGATGGGCTGTTTTGGTATCTGCCTGCAGCATCTTCAATTGCCAAGACCTGCAAATTGGAACCAGAATCAAATGTCGAATGTGGGCTCACAGGGGGTGGCTGGGAAACTGCAATCGCACAAATGTGGGCAATTCGGGGGTGGCTGCTCAGGAGATTCTGAGGAGCTCTTCCGTACATCGCAGAGGGTCAAAATTCTGCCCCCAGAAAGCAACATTTGCTTGAGCAAGGGTTTGTACACCATCGGAGTGCTACTCATACGATACTTGCACGCCACTGCAAACGGACAAGAAAGTTGAGAATTCAACAAGACTTTATGGTTCCAGATGCAAGGCCGGGCAGTTCGGATGAGAACGATCGCCAAACCTTATACTCCTGTAAATCAAAGTCTTCGGATTCCTTTGCAGTTGCGGGGCAGGCGTGCGTCGGCGTGCAGGACGCTTTGGGGCTGCAAAGCGCCGCTAGCAACCTGGCGGGGGATGCGATCGTCAACATTTGCAAGTGAGCGCTGTTGGCTGCAACAGGGAAGGTTTTACATGTCCAGGGCCTGAAGTTTGTGACATTCCGTGCTATTTGACTTTGTCGTGTCTGCCTTCTACTCTTGAGTACTCAACCGAGGAGCCCGTCTCAATGACGTGGTAGATATGCAGTCTTCGCAATCTCAAGTCCCCTTTCATCGGCCTACACAGTCCTGTCTAATACGCCCCCAACAGATCAGCTGCATGGCTGCGCTTCAGATTCATAACAAACTGTTGACGCAGTTAGCTGACCCAAATCTCCCCGTTGCACACCTCCAGCTCTCACTCTGTCCATGTGTATTAATCTCCTAGCTAAACAAAAGGTTTTTTGGGTGCCCCCCTGCAGCGACATTGCGCTTTCTGCCACCATTGGGATCCAGCGGTCCATCACCCTAGTTGGGCAATGCCCTTCTCCCGGCTGCCGCATCTACGCTGCGCCATCCACGAGTACCACCAGCGTAAGCTATCGTCCTCCTCTGTGCCCTTATATTGGCGACTCACCGCTCAATGCTCTGGAGCAGCAGGCTGACAGAGCGGGGATCAGGAGAATCGGTACCAGGAAGAAGCTGAGGCTGGGGCCAGTTGGAAATCGGGTTATGTCAATCGAAACGTAGACTCCTCCGGTTCTGAAGCGTCGGAACTCAATAAGCTGCTATTGGACCTCTGCTGTGCACAAGACTCAGCAACCCAAGAATCGGGTTTCAAACTTCGTTCACGCCGTCAGATGTTGTGGTGCCGACAATCGGACGGCGTCAATGAGAAATGCAGACAGGGGTGACGTCGCTATTGAGGTTCCAACAGGCCCCGGCCTTAATCTTCCGTCCGGTACCGATTCTCCTTGTCTCCGGTCTGACATGGCAGATTGTCCATTGCTTGTTTGTCTGGCTTCAACCAAGGGTTCGGGCTGTTTCTTGAGACTATATTCTTCATCTATTCTGAAATGCATGTAATGCTCGTCCGGCCTCTTGCTTAGCATACACGGATGTCGAATCCCAACTGCAGAGCCAAACATATGTGCCGCATTCTCTTGGCTGTGAGGGAGCACTTGATGCTTACAGAGACGATCATGCCTAGCCCTCTACATAGACTCCAACTCCAAACATTGCACCCAAGTCTGAGATGCCAATCAAATTCATGAAACCAAATCATAACAAGATCGTGTCTGTAAGCAGGGTGCGATTGTGTTACTATTTTGTAGAAGATAACTCTCCTTGCAGCTGCGACTCTTCGACGTCGCTGCAAACGCCGGGAACGTCATCTTCCGGAACCTGTGGCTGGACAAAGGCGATGTGAGTGCCCCTGCTTTCGAAACTCTCCACGTCGGATCTGTAGCCGAAAGCCGCTCCTCAGCTTAGATTCCTGAGCTTCTTACCTTGGCCACTGCTCAAATTCATCTCTCGTAGCACTGCCAGGGCCGCTCGTTAGAGGGCACGTGTATGTGGCGGATCGCTGTCATGCTGCGCTCAGGGATTAGGAGAAATCATGATCAAAAGGGTTTCGCTTTCTTGTAACTGCGCGTTGGAATTCCTGGTGCCTGCAATCGTCCTTGCAAAGGGAAGCGTTTTCTTGCTGCTTGATGTCGTGTCATGAAAGAGCGGAGAAAAGAGAGTCGGTACTGGAACGAAGCAAAGGCTGGGGCTGTCAAAATACAATTGACATCGTCCAATATTAGTGAGGGCTCCTTTCAACGCGCAAACCGTCCGATTGGAGGCTGTTCGACTGCGGTTCACGAAACTTGGAACCGCTCGATCGAATCCGACGGTGATTCACTAGGTTCCAGAAAGCCCTAGCATCAGCTTTCTCCTTGTCCCCATGAAGGTGCTTCAGCACACAATTGAGAGTCCATGTAAGACACCCATGCGCCGCAATTTCCGGCTTACGAAATGGTTCGTTTTGCAGACCTCCAGATCGAGCACCTCGAGCGGGACATACGGCGGCGCGATCTATGCGCGGTCGTCTACATACTTGGTGGCCGATACCGTGCTGTTCACCAACAACCGTGCGTCGTACGGAGGTGAGATTATATCTTGAAACGATGGAGCGGGAGAACACGTGTAGAGCAAACCGGGAAGGACTGCTTGCACGACCGAAGAGTGAGGAGAAAGGGGGCAATCACCAGTTGCGGAGATGGGAGAGGCTTGATCAGGGAAGATAAACGGGAGGGCGTTGCCAAGGGACACGGAAAAGCCTCTTGGCTGAAACGGGAAGAGGCGCTTCTCTCCGCCCATCTCTCTTCACTTTGCACTCGCCCACACCGTACTCAAAGGCAGTACTCAAAGACAGAACGGTCTGGGCACATCCCTGGGAGGAAATGAAATCGAGCTTGCCTGCGCAGAAGCACGAAGGGCAGAGGGTCCGAAAGCGTCCAGCCTTTCATGATTTGCACCCAACTGCACGGGGCTACTGCAGCTCTCTGCTGAACAGACAGCAGATTTACGCTCAAGGTCCTTTGTTGTGAGTGATGTCAAGTTGCTATATGATACCCTTCGACTCTTCCTCTTCGACCGTTCAACAAGGCTACAGGCTTCGATCCATACTAGTAATCCTTGTCATTGCTTCGAACGGCGTCTCACGTAGAAGCGGAGCCGCAGAATAATCTGAAGCCTGGTTTCATCATTCTTAAAGTAAGTCTGGTGGTGCAGGTGCGATCTACTACCAGGGAAACGCCACCATCACAGCTTGCCAGTTTGTGAACAACAGCGCATCTTCCGGCGGAGGGGCCCTGTACGCTGATGGGACAGCCATAGACGTCAGGAACTCTAACTTCACGCAGAACAGTGCGGACGTAAGACAAGGCCTCCGACCATTCTAGCTAACCCGCTTGCAAGGTCACGTCTATCGTATTCTCTTTCCTTCGCCGTCTAGCAGAAGAGCCACCTTTTGGCCCTGATCGATTTTGATGGCTCCTTTATTCGCTCTTCTGCGAGACCAGGTGTAAATGGCATCCTCTCAAACGATCCATCACTTACTTTGATGTCGAGAGTCCTAGATAATTGCCGCAAGTGTTCGTTTCCCAGGATCTCGAGAACGTGTGTCGCAGGAAAGATTTTGCAGATCCACACTCGCTTGTGTAAAACTTGAACTTGGGTTCGCAATTCCGGATAGACGGTCGTGACCCGACAATTCCGCACCGGCAATAGCCACTCGGAACCAGCTGTCTGAGACAGACGATCCGGCATATAAGCAAACGCGCAGCCTCTTGATGTACGTGGTGCACGTTCCATGCGTCTTCTTGCTATCCTGCAACCTTTGCCCGCCACCTCTTCGTGCTTTCGCTCCCTCGCCTCTATTTTCCGAGACTGCCCAGAACGCTGGGTTGTTTGCGCTAATTCCCCCAATCTCACGTTGACTAAGGACCATGTTGACTAACCAAACTGCCCGGCAAAACGCGTTTTGATCTGGGTAGTTAAACTGGGTTCTAGAGCGGGTTAGGTTCTGGATTTCGTTCGTAGTCCCAAGCAGAACCTTTAGTTAACAAGCTCTCAGTCAACCTAACCCAGAAGTTTGTGTACGCTGCCGCAGGAAGGCGGGGCCATCAACGTGTATTCTCTGTACGACTCCTTCGGCCCCACGGTTGCCACGAACTCCATCCGCGGGTCCCTCTTTCTGTACAACAATGCGACGTCGAAAGGCGGGTGCGTGATTGGACCCATTCAAGAAGAGTTTCTGTACCCGTTTGGGGCAGCCTCATTACGAACTTTGGCCCCACTTCATCACTGTGATTTCAGCATCGAGGTCATCCGCCGAAAGGTCTCGGCGTTTCGAGACACAGGTATTAAGTAATTAGGCCTTGCGACGACAGATGATGGCCCGTCAAATCTGAGCATCTTATTTTGATCAGGTGGGCGGTCAAGTAACGTGTTGCAATCTGGTTGCCGCATTGTTTGCTGACTGTTATGTCCCCTGTGGTCTGGCAAGACAGTACTCTTGATTCAGGATGTCGAAAGCATAAGCTAACCCTATCTTTAAGGCGTGCGTTCGGTCATCCAGATTGTTTTCTGTAGCTACGGCCGCTTCTAGGCATTCGAAGCAAAGATTTCAGGGCATTTTGCGTATCAGCATTGCCGGTCCGACCGCATAGTGCCTAGCCAGTTTTGACCAGTGTCCGAACGGGCCTTTTCTGAGAGCAAAGGACGGACCGTCTCTCGTGCTACAGACAAGATACGAACGTTTTCTGGCCCTAAACGTCGACAAGATCCAACCAAAGATGCAAAAAGAAACCATCACCTAACAGCCCCAACAAAATACCCGCAACTGCTGACATATGAGAAAAAGCCCTAGAAGTATTAGACTGCTCGTCTATCTTGGCCTCCCCCCAATCTTCGAGCTAGAGACAGACTTAAGAAGCACGTGCGGTTCTGCTTGCAGGGCGGTCTACGTGGACTCGGGTACGCGGAATATCACCATCGCTGGCAACACCTTTGCCAACAATACGGCCTACGTGAGGACACCCCGCCCGCTTTTTTTTCCGTGTCTTGTTGCATTGGATGTAATCGCATGATGATACGAAAGACGACGTCGAGCAAGGGGTTCTCTGCGCTTTAAAGCGTTTGTTTCGATGGCAGCTGAACTTCGAGTCAAGGCCGCCATGTGGCAACTGCAAAGCTGGTGCGTCAGGTTTCCTCTTTGAGATTGGGCAGGTCTTCTTACGTCCTCTTTGTAAGCTGGAGCTTTGAAAGATGCTGGTGGGGCGGGGCCATCGCCGCTCTAGACGGCTTTCGTCGAACCACTTCCACTTGCAGTTGTGCACAGCCACAAACGTATGGAACGGACAAGTACTGAGCTTGCTTGCAAGGGTGTTGCTTGTATCTCGTCTGTCCCGATGAGACGGTCGTTCGAGCCGCTCGCAGACGGGAACGCGGCAGCATTTCTGTCGCGAGTAGCGAATCATACACTCACCACTTGGCGGCGGCCCGACTTCTGTGCGCCAAGGAGTTGAAGCAAAGCTTCCTGCTCGAATCCCCCCTGCTAATATGGAGTCCTTGTCTTAGCTCGCACTTTGCAGGAGAACGGCGTTGCCGTCGCTTCTGTGTACCATAGAGCTGAGGCGAAGTTTTCTGCTTACTCACCCCCCCTGCTAAGGAGTCCTTATCTCAGCCCGCAGTTTGCAGGAGAGCGGCTTTGCCGTCGCTTCTGTGCACCATAGAGCTGAGGCGAAGTTTTCTGCTTACTCCCCCCTGCTAAGAAGGACTCCTTACCTTAGCCCACCGTTTGCAGGAGAGCGGCGGGGCCGTGTTCGACGAGAGCAGCTACTTCACGCTCCTCAGCGGGAACAACTTCATCCAGAACTATGCGCCGTTAGGGGGTGCAATGTCTTTAGACGACAGCTATGCAACTGTTGCTAGCCCCAACGTCTTTACGCGCAACAGCGCAGACTCTGTGCTGGGGGGGGCCGGAATCAGGGTGGCGAACAGCCCCTCGGACGGGACGACCAACTTTTGCCCGAGCCAACCGGTGGGGATAGTCGTGCCGGGGGCTGGCGGGGTCGTCAACTCAAGTGAGTGTTGCCCGGACGTCGACTTGCGAACTGAGAAGCAGTTTCTTCGCCTGTTGCAATACAGCGGGTTTGGTTGTGAAGCGGCAGGAAACATCGCAAAAGTTTAGGGGTCCGCTAACGTCTCCAAACGTGTCGAGACTGGATCCTGCTTCTTCAGCTTGCTGCACAGGTTTTTCCCCCGTCTATCAAGAATCCCTACAAACGCCCACGTCAGTTCTCCTTTAAAAGCAGCGGCATTCCGTTGCAACGGAAAGGCAAACTCGCCAAACATTCCTCTAATTTCCTCTCCCTCGACATCCCTCACTTCACCATTCTTCTCGTTGCGGCAGGCTGCGCCTTCGCCAACTGCGGCGTGAACAACCCGTGCGACCCCATTGCCACGTGTACTCTTTCTGGGGGAGTTCCCGTCTGCGCGTGCCCTGCTGGCGTCAGCGGGAGCGGCTGGCTGTGCGACAACCGGGACGCGGGCCTGCTGGCAGTGGGCGCCAGCAACAACTTTACCGTCCCGCCCTTTGTCAGCCTGGCTGCCAGTGAGAGACGCCCCCTGTCTAGTTATTTTGGCGTCTGTTTAGCCTGTCATCTTTTTGACAGGCTATCCAAAGTCCTGCATGCTAGAAGTCATTGCAGGTACTGTGCAGCCCGTCGGTTTCCACAATCATGCATGCTACGAGGCTTTGCTCCTGCCTTCTTTCTGACGGCTGCTGGGCGCCGGTCGAGCAATGTGAAGGACCTCTGATGTTTTAGACTTGTTCTCTCCGTACGATTTGTGAGCCACAAAGGCCACGCTTTTTAGAATGATTAAGCTCACGGAACCCCAAAAGAGCTGGTGTCCTGGGCTTCATGTTGAGGAGACTTTGCAACTTGACGTGAGCGGCGCACGAAAGGGCTGGGAGAGATGCATCGTGCAGAGGAGCAAAACTCCGTGAAGCAAAGGCACGCCTAGGCGCAAAAGCGAGCCCGTAATATTTCAACGACTGGTCTGTCTCGCGTTCCCACGCGTATCCACAGCAGCCCAAGTCGCAACGGTGTTCATTTGCAGGGTCATTTTGCAAATTCGCCGACAAGAAACAAAGTAGCACAATCTTTGTGCAGGCCCCGTTGCCCTCCCCCCCTCCTCACTGTCTGCCACCCCCGCCCCCACTAAAACTACAACAATCCCCGGAGCTTCCGCCCCCCAGTCCGCCGGAACCGTGACCGGAACCCCCCCGGCCGGAACCACATCCCCCTTTCCTGCTGTCGCCCCGTCCAAAGAAAGCTCGTCGAAGACCGGGCTGATTGCCGGGCTGGCGGGGGCGGGCGTCGGAGCGGTGGTTTTGCTCGGGGTGATTGTCGGGTGTCTCGCGGTCCGCAAAAAGAAGCGCGCGCACCATCTGCCGGTGGTCAAGGGTGACGTGGACGACGGAGGGGCCAAGATGAGCGTTGACGGGAGTGCGGTGGACAAAACCGCGAGCACTGTGTCGAGTGAGGAGAACGCCGTGTTTGCTTGGTTTGGCTGAGCTGAGATTTGCTCTGGTCGCAGGCTCTCAAATCTTCTGCGTCTTTGTGTGTGTTTTTCTGGGTTTGAGTCGTAACTTGACTTCTAACAACAGGTTGGCCCTTGAAGCACCAGATGATTTGCGTTGGTGCAACTCTCATTTTAAGACTAACACCTGAAGATGGATTCAAGAGACGAACAAGCGCGGAAACCTGGTCGCTTTGCTGTTCAAGCTCTTGTTAGATTGATCATATCTCATGCTTCGATTCGATTGATCATATCTTCATGCTCCGAGCCCCTGACCTCGATCCCCAGTTCTCCCCAAGCACTTTCCTCACAAAACTACGTTCCGTCAAGGGTCCCCAACTCTCACATCAACTAGTCTAAAAGCACCTCTTTGTCAAAAACCCCCGAGTCCTCGCCCCAGCCCAAACGGGTGATATTTTCGAAAGCAAGAAACCCTTACACACGAACATTCGGTTTCCAGCTGCGGAGGCGGACGCAGACGAGGCGCTCGGGTCTTCGTGGCGGCGCTTCACTTACTCGGAGCTCAAGCAGGCGACCGGGAGTTTCGCCCCGAGCGCACTGCTGGGGGAGGGCGCTTACGGGAAGGTTTACGTGGCAACTCTGGCCAACGGCTCGCAGGTGGCCGTCAAGCAGCTCAAATCCGGAAACAAGGTGCGGCGCCGGCGGTTCACGCTTTTAGTATTACGCGAAAGTATCCTGTTCCTGGAACGAGGATAGCCGTGACTTGCAGGGTGAGAAGTCAAGGAGAAAAGCTCTTTGGAGTGGCGGACCTTGTTCCCCTTGCTCTCCGCGAAAGAAAGGGAGAAATGAAGTCCTGCGAAAAGAGGGAAGCTCCTGCAGACTTGTTCGCGTTCGTTGGCTTTCACTCTTCGCCACTTCTCCGACCTGACTCACCGTTGTTGGGCACTTTCTGTGCGGGGCTTGGGCGAGCGCGAGTTCCTAGGCGAGCTGGGAACGCTAGGCCGCGTGCGGTATCGCAGCTCGGTCACAATTCAAAAGCCCTAAAACCTCAATATTCTCGAACCATGGAACTTCTCCGTGCGTCAACATCTCAACGTGCGCTCTCGCGCCATTCTGTGCAGGGCCCGGGCGAGCGGGCATTATTGGGCGCACAAGGCGTGCTGGGCATATGAGTCTTTGTACGAGAAATCTGATTTCTGGCGACCTTTTTCCGCTCCTCCGCTTTTGCACTGGCGCGTCTCAATCCTGAACCACGGTTTCTCACCTGTTTGCGCAGGGCCTGGGTGAGCGCGAGTTCCTAGGCGAGCTTGGCACCCTGGGCCGCGTGCGGCACCGCAACCTGGTCGCGCTGCGCGGGCACTGCGTCACGCCAGACGCGTGCTTCCTCGTCCTCGATTACGCCGCCAATGGGAACCTGGATGCGGCGCTGCGCAGCAGTGAGTATGTCCGTCTGTTTGCTTGTCGCAATTGCTATTTCGTCCCCTTTTTATGTGGCTCTGCAGCGCCCTGTGGAACAGCAAACCGTATTCTCCGTTTCCTCGTGCCCGATTACGCTGCCAACGGAAACCCGGACGCCGCGCTGCGCAGCAGTGAGTGGGACTTCCTTTCTTGTCCGTCGCTTTGGTCTGCTGCTCCCTCAATGAACTGCGGTTTGCAGTGATCGCACCCTACAAAGCAGTGTATCCGTGCAAGGAATGTCTTCTCTCGAGTTTCAGGGTTCATACGTGTCGGAGGGAGGTCTCCTGTCCCGTTCTGAGTGCTTTCGCGTGGCTCTGCTACCAGTGGGGCTCTGCTTTGATTTTGTCTCTGTGTTTGAGGATCAGGTGGCGCCCCTGGCTGCTCTCCTTTGCAGATTCCTTAGGCATCTATGACAGCCTTTCAGTCCATAAGCTGGTCAAAGGACGCGCATATCCTTTTAAGAGAATGTGTGTGTGCCCGTGGGCCTTAATTTTTTCAACTGCGGCCTGACGTGGCCTTGTTTTCGCTTGTCACCCTTCCAAGCTGAGTCCTTGGAGCGTGCAAAGAAAGCCAAGCTGATATTGTAGCTTCCCCGAAACCGAGCTGCGTGTGCGAGTGCGACCTAACTTAATCCTCAGCTAACCACCCTTGATACTTCCTAACAAAGGCAGGAGCTTGCGTTAAACGCTGTTGACGGGTTGCGACCAACGTGCGGTAGCGGCGTTTGCTCTCGAATGGCCTGCGATAACGCCACATGACTGACGCCGAGCCTTTCCTAATCTCAGCTTCCCAGCCCCCCCTGGACTGGGAGACACGTGTCAACATCGCAGTGGGCGCGGCACGCGGACTGTCGTATCTACACAACGACACGGAGCCGCCAATTTTGCACCGCGACATCAAGCCCGCCAACATTCTCCTGGACGCCAAGATGCAGGCGGAGGTGAGGCCGGATTCCGCTCCAAGAACGGAAAGACGCCGGACATGGCAGTACGCAAGTGCAACTAGTGACACAAACGGAACGATGCCGCAATCGCAGTGTGCAAGTCGGTAACGGGACTTCTTGTTGATGGTCGTCGATCAAAGGGACTCAAAGGTTCCGGTGTTGCGCTTTCCGCAAACTGTGGGAGCGGCCACTTATAGTGAAAAGGAGCCAGGAATTTGCAGTAGGAAAAAGCGGAATCAGGCGAAGTTGCGACCCAAGGCGCGGAGTCTTCCTTTTCATGAAGTGCCGCGGAGTGGGCGCTCTTTTTTTGAGATGGAAGGTATCCGTTTCGATCTGAACCACCATCCGTTCAAATAGCCTTTACCGGAACACGTCAAAGCGCCGCCTGACTAACGCATCTCCTACAACAATCCGCTCCTTTCTCCAATGCGCTCCTTGCTTCAACGCTGGCTTTGTTTTGCAAACTTTAGCCTGCCTTATCACTCCTCGCCACGATCCTGAAGCTGCCAAACATTCCCGCACATACCAGAAGTCAGACCGGGGCACCAGACTCAGCACGCAGAGCAAGTTTTCGAAGCAGTTGCGAAAACTTACAGACCGCCCGCTTTTGCGCGTCAGGTCGCCGACTTCGGGCTGGCGAAGCTGCTGGAGGAGGGCGACAGCCACCAGAGCACGCGCGTGCGCGGCACCTACGGCTACGTCGCACCAGAGTACGCGCTCAATGGACAGGTGCGCTGATCCAGATTTCGGTGCCTCGTCTTGTCTTGCTTCTGTCGAAGCGTTTTCGTTGCGACGAACACCGCTGCTTTCGATATGAACTGCCGCTTGCGAGGAGGAGAGTTTCGAATTCTTGCGTTCTGGAAGACCGGAAGACGAGCACGGCTGGTCAGTGTCAGTGCTCTGATCGCAGAAGGACACAAGTGAGGAAACTGAATGCAAGAACTGCGCTTCAGACGAGAGGCTTGATGAACGGAGGGCAACACTATCCGAGGCTCTGGTCGATCCGCTTAGAAGGGCGCCCTACGGCTGCATATTCCGTTCCTTTTCTCTCGGAGTCGACGTCGTTACAAAAGTATCGCGTCACTTTACGGAAATATCAAAAGGTCACTTGCAGTTCGTTGTGATCTTCTCTAATCCCATTTACAATGTCATAGGAATCTTGCCTCGCAAAGACGAACGAACCCACTCCACTATCTTTGATTCCCCACCGTTGTCCCCCTGCCGCCCTGCTGACGTCATCCCCCCACCGGCAGGTGACGAAGCGGAGTGACGTGTACAGCTTCGGCGTGGTGCTGCTCGAGATTCTGACGGGCTACCGGGCGCTCGAGCTGACGCCCGAGGGCGGCCGCAAGAACCTGGTGGACGCCGTAAGGATTAGACAAACAATAGTTTTCTGCTTTTCGTTGAGAAAGGCTATGTTGACCCAAGTCCTGGGCTGAAGTCTGTGTGGGTTAGGTATCGGGGTTAAGGTGGGGTACGGACGCGGAGCAAGTTGAATCTGGGGGGTTCAGGTTTGTGGTCCCCGGAAATTGGCCTCACTCAAAGCAAAATGAGACGTGTGAAGATTGTCCGTCGGATTGTGTTCTTGCCCTCCTCTAGACCTTTGGCAGGCCAGCACTTCCAGTCCTCTTTCGGTGTTTCGGTCGCAATCGTCGCTCTGCAGAGATTCCTCTCGTCAAGGTGAATTGGCAGGTAACGGCGAGGTATCTCCTGTGCGGGCCCTTGATCCTTTTCCTTCCTTCTATCTCGGCGGTTCCAGCAAACGAAAAGCTTCGTATGTGGATCCTTACGACCTGCTTTCAGTAGCAGATCTGAGCATCCGAGGACTAAGGCGTTTAAGGTCTAGTACTTTTTAGGGGGCCACGTTTTCAAACCGTGTTTCTGCTTCTTGGTCTACCTGCGACGCCAGAGCACTCTGTCGAGCTTCCAGTCTGTTCAAACGCTTTTAGAAGTGGCGACGACGAACGTAAAGCACAGTTTCCCAGGCAGCTGGCAAAGAGGCGTAGCTGAGCAAGGTTCTAGGGGCTCCGTCCCGTTCAGAAGTTTGAGAACTGGCCGAGAATCACAGGTCGTCTAATCCGTAACTAACTCCAAACTCCTACCGATCTTGAGCCTTAACGCTTTGGGTCACGAAAAAAGGGCAAGTTTGCCCGCAGTCCGAAGTGCGATCCTCATTCTCCTCAACCTCCAACCCTGACGGGGAGTCTGAACATCGCTGTCAGAATCCCTGGCGTCTCATTCTGTCGACCAAATGGGAAGCAGTGCTCCAAAATATACACTAGAAGTCCTTCCCCTCCCGCCCAGGTGATGCGCACTGCCCACTCAATGCTGGGCCGTCAACAGCCGCTTGTCATCATGGACCCCCGCCTGGACAACCAGTTCTCCCCCTCTGCGGCGCTCCGCATGATCACGCTCGCGCTCGCGTGCTGCGCCACCGACGAATCCCGCCGGCCCGACATGGCCGACGTCCTGCGCGAGCTGGAGAGTCTTTCCAGGGGGGAGCCCGGGCCCGGGTTCCGGACCCCCCAGAACGAGCCGGCGGACGACGGATCCGGCGACTGGTTCGGACCGGTGCGGACCGGGAGCATCGGGATGCAGACCGGGAGTACGGCGCAGTCGAGCGTCCCGAGCCATTCCACGTGGAGCGAGATGAGTGGCGTTAGTGGCAGCGAGGCGCACCAGATGAGCATGGCGTATCAGATGTCCATGCTAACCCAGGGCCGGTAGGAAGCACGCGCGGCGGCAATTAGAAGGCGTAGCTTTTCGTCGGGGTTGAGGTGTCAGAAGTGGTATTCGTTCGATTAATTTTTTTATTGAGAGGTGCCCGCCGGTCCAAATTTGCGAGGCGAAGCTAGGGCGGGAGTCGAAAATATATTGCGAGCTCTTGCAAGGGGAGAATTATATGTTGGTTTACTTTCCTAGTAGTAAGATTGTCTTTGCTGAGGTGGGCAACTCCCAGCGGTTGGAACTAGCGTTATTGCGTCGACTTTTAGTCGGCGACACCTGGTCAACAGTTTTTGGCAGACTCGAGCTGTTCCTATAAGGTATCTCTTACTTTTATGAGTTGTCAAGTGACTTGAGCGCTTATGAAGAGCCAGCAGTCTTGCTTTTGTGAAGTAGCTCGATCTACACTCCAGACGCAGTCAGTAAAACTCTTAGTTTTAGGATTGAGGACTACATATAGACATGACCTGCCCTGATAATTCTTGCGAAGTATGCATGCTAGAGCAGGCACATTTTTCTAGCACAAGATGCATCAGAGAAGCTCCATAACGAGCACGTTTAGAACTTGACATTGGAAATATTTCAGTTTGATCGATATGCGTGGCGGCTTGTCATTTTGCTCTCGTCAGCGATGCAACTCAACACTTGTAATGGAAGGGAAGAAAGTCGAAGCTATACTCAGGAAGGTAAAGTGGAAGTATCATGCCATACTTCTACTTTACTTATGATGGCATTCAACCGCATTCAGAACTTACCGTCCCTGGGTCCACTTTTGGGTCACCGTGACGAAACGGTCCAAACTCAGAAGTCGCGTCGAGCTTTGTGCATTGAGTTCGAGAAGTCAAGCTAGGGGATCTCTATACCGTATGCCCAAACTGAAGTGCCCTTGACCCCTGGTTGCCATGCTTCCGAGCAAGGGTGCTGCTGTTGGGGGTACCGGTAGGTATGATTGGGGATGATGATCATACCGGTATTCCACAGGTTTTATGTTGTCATATGTCGTCATATGTTGTCATATGTCGTCATATGTTGTCATATGTTTTCAGCAACAGTCTCCTAAAAAACGGACTCAAGAAGAAATGCCAATGGCCACATTCTGATTACCGGTATTCTGAACCACATCCTTTCATGGCTGCACGCGTTTTATGGACTCTGATGGCATAGCCTTAGGCCGGAGCTGCCGTTTGATCTCAAATTTCCAAGTCCCGTCACTTTTCATGTCACGTTGACAAACAGAGACATGCGATGCGGATAGGTATGCGACCATATCCCACAAGTCCAGTTGAAGTAAAAGTGAGGACCCAAGTCCCTCCGATGGCTCTTCCTGTGCTCCTGACAGTGCTTCTGATCTTTTGCGCTTTGGGGGAGGGCTCCGGTATGCTTGAGCAGGGTAAGAGATCATGCGTGGGGGCTATCCCATGTGCTCTGCCCTGAGGTGCAGATTACCGTAGTGTTCATGAATTCTGTGTTGCATTCTCTCCCTTGCTTTGTCTGCAACCATTGCCAGTCTCCTTATCTCTGGAGGCCATTGTTTTGAGGAGGGAAAGGCTTATACTGTCAGATTGAAGTTCTATGTAGCAGACTGACAGCCCGTTCTTACTTCTCATGCAGGGACCTGTGATCCTGCAGGAGATAAACCAAACAGGTGTTATAATGCGGATGGAAGTCAATTTATCTGTTGTGGTGTTGAGAGCTGTATTGCTACACCTGGACCCACCCCAGCATGTGCATTGGCCGCCTCCCCAGGTCCTTGTGACCCGAGTAGCGGCTTTCCTAACCAGTGCTTTGACTCTTCTGGAAAAGTCTCTGTTTGTTGTGCTGGACAGTGTGGTGGGAATGAGCTAAACAACCCAACATGCGCACCCCTTTCAATCTCCGGGCCCTACTTTGAACCCCCTCTCTCAATCCCAGCTCCTCCCCTGAGCTCCACCGCCCAGCCAAGGCCCCCCTTCAACTCCAGCACCCCGCCAAGTTCCCCCCCAATTTCAACACCCAGCACGAGTACACTGCTTGTGAACAATATCAGCTACAGTGCAAGTCCTCGCTTTCTCTCAGATAATCAAGTGACAATCACAGTCGCTAGTGACGGGACCTCTGTACTAACAGTGGACTTTTTCACTGACAGTGCTACTGCTGACTTTACACTCCCCAACAGCACAAGACTACTGACTCTACCAATTCCGCAACTATTGGGTTCTGTAATCAGCCAATCTTTGGTCGATGCCATGGGCACGGCAGCAATATATTCAGCAACACAGATTGTTTTTGCCCTTACACTCTCAAGGGGTAGGAGGAAACTGTTGCGGGCTTTATTGGACGATCCTGGATGTGATTATTTCTTGGATACAGCCTGTACGATCCCTTGTTGCGCGGAACATGACATATGTTTCAAGGAGAATAACTGCACTCTCCTTTCGTGGTTGGGTTTTGAAAGTAGCAATTGTGACAGCTGCAATGGAGCAGTATTTTCTTGTCTTCTATCCTCCGCTTCACTTACGTGCGAACAATGCCGCGAGAATACTGCAGCTGGCACTTCTTGCTACGACAGAAGTTGTAACGTCCAGTACGACTGTCCTGGGGCTTGCCCCTGTTTGTCACTCTCAACCCCTCCTGAAGGATGTTGTAGCTGCGCACCACCCACCTGTGAAACCCCAACCCCTACTCCAACTCCGACCAAGGTAAGCAGTCCTAAGCCCAGCACAACAGCGGGCGTTTTCAGCATTTTGTATGAGCAGAATTAAGAAAGAACCATGGTTGTTGGTTGTTAGCCAACCAATCCACAAGTGTTGCAATTGAACTGATCATTTTTTTGAAATGCCCTAATTGTGGTCTGGTGTTCTGCAAGAGCAGTTACGAAAGTTGGTATTTGATGGTTCTTCCCTTAGAAATTCCTTCCTTTGTTGTCTAGAGCAGCAAAGCAAGACACGGTCTGTTCACTTCAGCTAGCAGTGCTGTCGACATCTCATCTGTGCATGCATTTTGCAGACGGAGTATCAGGATTGCAATTGCACCAAGGACTGTAGCAATTGTGTTGTCGGCTCTCAGTGCCCTCGCGCGCTGTGTAGAAGTGTGGAGTGTGGAATTGAATGTGGAGAGGGAATATTTGAGATCGTATTTGGAATATGATCTATTGAGAGATTGGAATAGTTAGATAGATACCTGCGCCCCATACTTCAGTGCCGCCTATTTTACCAAGGCGTGTCGCTGTCTAGCTTGATTTCGTACTAGAGCACACGATTTAGCCGGAGTGACAGGCCGTTGGGGTATAACGTGTGGCTCTCCCTCCTCCCACTTACATTGATTATGTTCATTTGGGTCCTTTGAATAGGACAGAGGACGAGGACCATCTCATTTTCGAGTGTCCAGTTCATAGGTTCATGCACACAAATCACTACCCTGGCCAGTCTTCACACAGTTTCCGTCATTTCTTAATTCATGCAAAGCAGCATAGAGTTGCTAACTTCATAAATAAATTGATTGATTAAGCAGCACAGAGTTGCTAACTTCATGATATAATGATTAATGAAGTGTTTCCAGAGAACCTTCCCTGGAAGATCAATCGTCTAATTCGATGCCCAGGTATTCCTCAAATTGAACTTGATCATATATTCTTCTAAATCTTTGTTCGTTGGAACATAACTGTCATCATCCCCAAAAATCCAATGTAGTTTCAGGTAATGCTTTATGAAAGTCGTCAACACTCGTCTTGAGAAAGTGCAATACATAACAAACAGTCCATGATTCTTCGTAAGTGGACCTTACCATGTAGTCCGATTAAGGTACGCAGGTACTTGCATCCTGCCAAATCAAGGTACTCCAAATGAGGGAAGGTTTCTCAAATGCACATCTCTTATATTCTCCGCTATCAGACGAAGGTTCATCTTCTGCGCAACGTTGGCAATGCTTAAGTAGCTCTTCATAGTAGAGAGTCAAAACATTGAACTTGCCAATTGTGTCGTCATATAATTCGTATGTGAAGTTCTCATAGACAGTCGGTGAACGCACTGACTTGCGTTTGCCATTGCCCGCAAGGATAGGCACAATCTCAACCAGACCGAGTTCGGAGTAATGCGAGTCACGACGCGCAGGGGGTCAGCGATTCCAGCTTTCCGGGCTCGATGGAGTAATTGCAGAAGGTCGCCGAGCAGGGGGATTCGCAATATAAGCTGTCGATCGTGTGATACACCCAAGGCAGGAGCGTGGACAAGGCCCTGGCGCGTGTGGTACACTAAGGCTGCCGTTCAGTGCCGGGAGGAGTTTCGAGAGCGAGCTGAGCAGGGAGACACGGAAGCACAGTGCAACCTGGGCCTGCTGCGACAGCGCGCTTCGGGTGCTGGCAAGAACCACAGGAAGGCCATCGAATGGTACCGGAAGGCCGCAGCGCGCGCATGCCAGTGTGGGGGCGTGTTACGAAGAAGGCACCAGTGTGGGCAAAGACGCGGGGAAGGCCGTCGAATGGTGCCGAAAGGCTGCAGCGTGGCTGCAGCGCAAGGGCATGCGGGGGCCCAAGCCAAGCTGGGGAAATGTTACGAAAGCAGAATCGGCGTGAAGAAGGACGAGAGAAGTGCGCTCGAGTGGTACCGGAAGGCCGCAGGCTGAGCAGGGGGATGCGGACGCGCAGTTCTCCGTGGGAAAAACTATCTCGCAGGCATCGGTGCCCCATCGGTGTGGGGAGGGACGCTGTGCGGGGTGCGAGATTGATTCGAAGGGTTGCCGAGCAGGGGCACGCAGGCGCGCAGTCCGGAATGGGAGCCTGCTACGATGAGGGGGCAGTGGTGTGGTCGTGGACGAGGGGAAGGCAGTAGAGTGGTTCCGAAAGGCTGCCGAACAAGGGGAAGCGAGCGCGCATTACTTTTCGCGGTTGTGTTACACCGGTGGCATCGGTGTGGACAGGGACGCGGTGAAGCTGGAGCGGAGTGGATTCGAAAAGCAGCCGAGCAGGAGCATGCAGCTGCGCGCAGAATGCCTGCGGGAGGTGCTGTGCTCAAAGGCGGAAGGGCGTCGTCGCGGAGAACGCGAGGAAGGCGGTCCAATGGTACCGGAAGGCTGCACGGCGCAGGGGGATGAGGGCGCTCAAGTGCAGTTGGGTCGCTGCTATCTTCGAGGCGATCGCGTGATGCGGGATGTTGCGCGTGGTGTGGACTGTTTCTGTAAGGCTGCCGAGCAGGGGGACAAGGACGCCCTATTCGAGATCGGCGCGTGTTACGAGCGAGGCGTGGGCGTTCGACAGGACAACGAACTGGCGTTGAAATGGTACAGAAATTCCGCCCGACTGGAACACGCATCTGCGTGCAAGCCCCGTGCAAGAAGGTGTGCAAATGGTACAAGAACGGGGTCGTGGAAAAGGACGCGAGGCGATGGCGATGGTGTGGTTTTGGAAGGCCGCTGAGAAGGGGGAGGCGGTCGCACAGTATGACATGGGGTTGTGTTACGTTCGCGGCAAAGATGTGCGGCGTAGGATGCGGCTCGCGGAGCGGAGTGGTTCCGGCGAGCCGCAGAGCAGGGGCACGCGGGCGCGCAGTTCAATCTCGGCGTCTGCCACGAGCGAGGTGCGGGTGTGAGCAAGGACGAAAAGAAGGCAACTGAGTGGTATCGAAAGGCCGCCAAAGGGGGATCAGCGCGGGCGCAGAACAGCCTGGGCGTCTGCTACGGAGCGGGCACGGGTGTGGGCCAGGATGTGGAATTTGCGGAGAAGTGGTTTGCGGGGGCTGCTCGGTCGGGCGATTCGATGCGATGTCCAATATGCGCAAGCTCTGGGCGAGAGGCCTCGGTGTGCTGTCGGACGAGGAACGCGCGCACTTAGAACCGACGGCGGTTCATTGTAAAACATGTACCCATTGTATGTTTAAGCTTAGCCTAGCGGAACCGTACGGTTCGTTTCAAACGCCTGATTTCTGCCACGCATGCTCTTGACTACGTCCAGCTGTAAATTTGATACCCGGTGATGCGGGGAGCAAACACAGGAAGGTTTTGCCCGAACCAAACCGGTTAACGGGTTTGGTTCAGCCAGCTGTCAACCGGTCTGGTCTGGTAGAACTTTAACCATGATGAACCCGGCTTGGTTAGGTGTGGTTCTCCGCTGTGCCGGGAGTTGGATCGAACCGTTCTGTGGGGGCCACGGTACTGCCTGCCGCGGATCGACCGGGTTGAGTCTTAGTGCTCAGCTCTACCATCAAAGTCGAAGCAGCCGATTTGACTGCTGATGATAATGGAGCAATTCTTTCAATATGTTCAGAACCTTGTCTGGAGGGCCACCCGTTCGATGAGAGGACCGCAAGCTCTCGTCAGAGTCTGTTTCAAACACATGGGACTGTCCCGCTTGAGTGTGGCAGCGTTTGATTGCTTGTATAACTTCAGAAGGCAAAGCAACCCTGTACTGGCATGGAGAAATGGCCGGCGTACGAATCTCCGGAATGGACGAAGTCCTGATCAGTCTTACAACGTGCGTTGCAGGCAAACGCTGACGTCACGGCGCACACGCCGTTCAACGTCACTTCGGGGGCGACTCCGAGGCTGGCCCTAACGAGCCGGCGGCTCCTTGCAATCCCGCGCTGACACTTTGTTCGACAACAATAATTGCGGAGTTTGTGACAACCAATGCTATAATATCGAATTGGGCCTGAGCTGTAATAATGGAGAGTGCCGTTTATGGGCACAAAGGGGGACGGCTCCGGACGTCACAAGAAGCCGCTTCAACGCCACGTCAAAGTTATACTAGTTTACTAACACCAGGTGGTCCTTCATCTTCAGTAGCTAATATTTAGGTTAAGGCTGATCGATGACTGTTGTACAGGCTTCGTTCTACGAGTTCGCTTGGCCTGGCATGTGCTTTTGGTACGCGCTAGAACTTGATTGCTTTTCTAGTCAAGACCAGTCAAGAGTTCGGAGCAGTCATTAAGCCAGTAGACCACAACAAATTGAACAACCAGCATCATGTACTGGAAGTAGAGTCTCAGCTCTATACACATCGGGACAAACTTTTCGTACAGAATCACTTGGTTATTACCCATGCTGAACTGTTCGATTTGGTTCGACATCGATAAACGATAATCTTTGATTCTTAAGTTGATTTCGTCCAATGAGTTTCGAGAGTTTTCCGAGCGCTTTCGTACGTACACCCTCGAGTCCCACGCACGCAGTGTGGATGTTTATGCACCGAGGGTGGGCTTCTGGGCTTCACTCCGCACGGGGCGCAATTGTACAGTACGTTGTCCCGATGGATCGAATCTGATGACGTCCCCATAGCTCCATTCGTAGCCTTGTACAAACTGAAGCCACGGCTCGTGAGATCGCCCCTAGCGGCGTTTGAATGAAATATACGTGACTTGAGTGCAAATGAATTTTAAATCACAACGCTTCTTCGTCAGAACCGAGACTCCCACCGCGGCGGGCCGGCCTAGCGCACACGACGCTGACGCTTTGCGGACAGCAGTGTAACCCAAGCGATGCGATCATCGCTTTCTGTACTTGTCCGCCCGATGTGCGTCACTGCCGACTCTAGGCGCGGGCTGCAGCCGGCACAGAGCAGATTAGAGCAACCGTGAGAATGAGCCTCATAAACGTGTCTCTAGGCTTTGGGGCTGTCAAAGGTCCTGGTTTGAAGTTGCAAGCAGTTCAGACTGGAATCAGATGTCGTCCGGACCGTTTCCGGATGATTTCAGACTGGCTGAACGGCGTCCGACGCATTCAGACTCGTTCCGGACGGGGATCGAAAAGCCGTCCAGACTAGAATCAGATCTAGTCCGGACAAAAGGATTTCTCACAGTGACGCCCGCGCGCGCAAGCCCCCTCATTCCGGTACAGCTCGTGCCACGTAGCAGTCTGACAATGCTGCCCCGACCCGAAAACTAACCTCCCGCACAACTTGCACCAGACCTGTCGCGCCCCTTCCGCACCTGCCCGGAGAACATCTACCTCGGCGCCGCTTCATTCCGCCGGAAGCCCAGCCCGGAAGCGTCCACCGGGCCCTCAACCTCGGCGGGCCAGCTCCCGGACTGGGTCCGAAATGCGGCCCGGCAACTGCTTCCGGCCGCTCACTTTCTACAATCAAAGAGAGCGCGTCGGGGGACCGTCAGCGCTCACGAAGCGCCCTGCGGATCCGCGGTCTCCGTCGTTTCGACGTGAGTGATCTCGCGTCATTCCGCCGTGATCTTCCGTCATTAATTCCGCCCCCACTCCGCCGTAACGTTCCCTGGCTGAGTAAGTCCGACGGGGCCCGCTCTCGTTTCTCTGTCGAGCGGCCCCCAAGCTCCTGGCCCGTGAAGCCACGTGGTCGCTGGCGAACCGGGACGCCTCTCAGATAACCACCCTTCGTAGACGAGGTCTGTGTCGTTCCGCAGAGCCGCCTGAGCCGCTCAGCCCATTCCGCTGATTCCGCCGCTCATTCCGCTGAGTGGGACCCCCGCCGGACTGCCGGCATCCTCAGCCGTCAACCCGGCGTCTTTGACTATCTGGGTTCAGGTGTGGAGGACTCAGAGCAAACCTCCCAGCCCACAGTGAGCCTTCGGCCGCTCGCCGAGACTCACCCTTTGTGCGGCAGCACTGTCGCTGACCGCATCCATCGACCATTCTCTTGCACCCCGGTTCGTCGACAGGAAGGTTTGGCTGCTAAGCAGGTTTGATAACCAAATTTTAGCCTGGTTCTCTGACCAATAACCCCGTTATGGCCATGTTAAAACCTGGCTACTGCTCGAGTCTGGTCATAATTGGACAGTTAACCAGCTTCGAACCAGCGTAACCGACTATGATTAACGGCCAGAAAACCCTGTGAGGGACGACGTCGTCCCTCCACCTTTCCCGGGCTTTATCCGACCTCGGACCGACCCCCCGGAGCTGTCTTGCTCGGCGTTCCCTTCTGCCCCCCTAAAATTTCAACCTCCCCCTTCCCCCCTGCGCCAGACTGCACGTTTTGAAGCGTCGTGTCGATAGCAAAGGGGACGTGCCTGATCTGCACTGAGAGGTGGTTTTGGAACTCTATTTCGTGGGGCAGATCGCCTTGAAGTTAGCTTTCGATTCGGGTTTGAGGAACCGTAAACGTAAGCAGCGCTCGGACCCCTCCATTTCGCCTTGTCAGTATTCCGCGTCCATTCAAACACAGGCTTGACGGCTTCCCGCAACCACTTGAGGACCGTCTGAGACGACTGGCAGGGATGACCTTAGTAGCTCCACCCAAGCGGGCAGCCGATTTTTGAAACTGCCAGCAAAAAGCTGCTGGTAGTCAGGACGACCTGCTCAGAGATCGAAGCTAAAAAAGGCCTAAAAAGGCCTTATCCGCCAATACTTGCTCGGGGCTGACGTCATACGTCAAACCGGCCACATCGTCCAGCACAGCTCAAACCCGATAGACGAATCGCCTTTGTCGAACGGGGCGTGAGAGCGAACTTTCAACCGAGCCAACAGCTCGTGCGTAACTGCAGCTTTTGATTCGAAGGATGCTGACGCCAGTGGATCGATCTCCGCGTCAATTTCTTCCACTTCGAACGGGGCGACTTCATCAACAAGAAGTCCGTATTCAGAATTCAGGCCCGGTTCCCCGGAGACATCGTCAGCACTACGCTTGACACCGGCAGCAATGCCCTCGGGTCATCGGCCGGGTGCTTCGCTCATTTGAACGCCACGACTTGGGGCAGGCTAATCCGACGCCGTCAGCCCCACGTCAGCTGAGGTACGCATGCGGATGGCAGCAAAACGCTGGGCAGCGCCGGAAGCGAGGCTGCTTGACGAGATCGGCCGGATCCGAGAATGGGCGGAAGCGGAACGCTCAGACGCGCGCTAAACGGAAGCCGGGCGGAAGCCTCGTCTGAGAACCTGATAAGTGGGATGCACCGTTGCTGGGCGGAAGCAGAACTTCTTGCCGAAAGAGACTGGAACCCAGAATGGCAAAGGCAGACCACCCGGACGCGCGCGTAACGGCTTTTCCCTCCGACATTTGTGTCCAGAGGCCGCGAGAAATTCGGTTCGGACTCTCTGATGCAGGATCTTTGACCGAGGCTATTTCTCGGGCAAACGAAGAGAAACATATCAAAGTAAACGTACGGTCGGCTGATCTCACTATCAGCGTGTGACATGTCGGATAAGCTGTGAGCTTCATTCAATCACAGGTTGTCGGCTTCCGTAGCACGGACGCCCTTCAGATCAGTCACGATCTCTTAACGAAGCCCTTCTGCACGAGCTTTGCACTTCGAAGCATGATGATCAATCACATAGAATCAACGTCCGGAACAAAGCAAGAAATTTGATCTGGGGCGAATAACGGATACACTATCATGGAAAAAACTCTGATTACGATCCAATCAGTTCCTTGACTGAATGTCCGGCAGAGGCTTTTACCATTTAAATCTTCTCTTTCCTCGTATACTGCAAGATTCCTGACTCTGCTCATAACTCAACCACTGCCTTGTGCCGCGAGTCTTATTACCTTGCTCCTTTTTCCTGACCCCCCGCTTTGGCATCATGCTCCTTATCCTTCCAAGGGCGCTTCCTACCCGAGCCTGTGTTACTACTCCCCTTCAATCCGCCCAGTGGTCTCCTTACCTACAGAAAGAGGTCACAACTCGTTACTTGGCCGCCCTCGAAGCTGCCCACTGAAACCCAGCGATTGGCATAATGAACAAGGCTTGAAGCGCCTTTCATCTGATCCCACCTGCTTTTGATGCGTACGGAGTTCAGAGGTGGCCGCTTCGTTTTGTTCAAACATGAACAAAATAGCCAGCAAAATCGCGGTAGAATCCAAATAGCTGACTACAGGTTCGGACCTCCGTTCTCTGCACCCTGCAAACGGTTTCCGTCCCGCATTGCGCTGAGCGGATTCCGCTCTCGCTGGCTCGCTCGCCGGGCGCTCTTCGACGGCGGACCAGTCCCGCCAAGACCCGACCACGTCGATTGCTTCGTCCGGATCCAACCCCAGCCGGACATACGGATCGGTCCACACAGACTCTTCCTTCTCTGGTGCCCTCATACCCAACCCATCCTCTGCCTTCTCTTCACTCCGATCTGTTAAAGCGCCCTTCCGTTTCCCCCCCCAGAATGGAGGCGCCTAATCCCCGGTCGGAACCCGCACCACTGAGGGAGAGAAGGATGCACTTGGTCCAACCCTGAGTAAGTGCATGACCCTGGTTAAGGCCCCCCACCCTCACTCGCCTCCCCAGATTTTCGACAACCGCTTTTTCACAGAACCGATCGTTTCGCGGCCCTCTCCCGATACATTCGCGAAGCCTCCACTTTAGCGGCACCCGAACCTGCGTCACCAACCCCGATCGCTTGTGGGTCCTTGGATTCAGAAAGTCCAACCGTGACGTCAGCGTCCGCTCCGGTTGCCGCCCCCTCGCCTACCCCTAAGTTCGCCCCGCACATCCGACATGCGCCCCCGCCATGTTCAGAAACGTACACGTGGCACAAACCATTTCTTCGACGTTGCGTAGCAAAGGCGTACTGCTCAGACAAGGTACGGCAAACGTACGGCGATCCGCATCTGATCAGACGTCCGCAACCGGTGGGCGAATCGGAAAGCTTGAAATCTAAACCTACTCGTTTCACACTTTGTTTGCATTTTTTCTTGAGACTCCTCACTTCGGTTTAGATGAAAGGCCCGCCCAAGTTTAGTTGTTCTTTGTCAACCGACCGGTCAACCCACCTTTCTAGGCTTCCTCAAATGCTACCCGCGCTTCTAACCCGTTTTCGTTTTGGACGCCTTCAGTTTCTGGGCCAGATGTACGCCCCGGGCGCTGTCGGCGATGGGCATGCTCGAGGGGCTGTACCACCGCGAGTACGTCGAGGGGGCCGATGACGACTACCAGACGTCAACACTGACGTCACCCGACTGCAACCTCAACCGCTTCGGACAGGTGCGGACAGTCAAATACGTTTTCTGATTAGGAGACAAAGTTTTCAGTACTGATGTGTTCACGGTCTTTTTTTGTCGAAGTGCACAGCCAAGCGTTTGCGAGGTATTTGATCATGCTTCGTCATCTATGACGTCCCTAGAGAGCAGCTTAAATTTGATTCGGGCAACTGCAAGACATTTCCCGATATATTGAAACTTAGGAGGATACCCCAGACTTTTTCTCGGAAGCAACGACCTCCACTTCTGGATGGCAACCTGAGGGAAGGCCTGAAGTCACTTGTCTGCAGCCTCGAAAGGGGCGAAGACCTGATCTGGTTGGAATGTGGGATTCTGGGGCGCTTTGATTCTTTGCCAAAGTAATTCGGGGCCCGGCCGCAGAAGCTGGTACAGAAGCATACAGAATGACGAGCGCCAGACTTACCATTCGCCCGTGAGAATTCCTGGCTTCCTTCGAACTTCGTGCTTTTGATTGGCCTCTGTCCTTTCTTTGGTTCTGAAGAAGCGCTGACTATACTTTTTGCGCTGCTTTTCAGGCATCAGACGATGGCGGGGACGCGTTCGCTCTTGGCGGCACCTCATCCAGTGTCGACAATAGGCGCTTACACAAGCTCGACTCGGTTCGCACAAAGTCCGTCGTCGGACCTGCTCAATACGGGTTCATACTTTGGATCTAGGCGTTCACTGTGGCCATCCGGAGCCAAGATGTTCTCGACAACAGCACGAGTATGTTGGAACGTGCACAACGTGGAACGTGGAACGTTCCGCAAACGTGGTGGGTAACTACGTACGCTCATGCTCGTGCCCAGCGTGTTCAACGTCAGAATGTTTGTAGCATGGTTAACGTTAGCGACGCTAACACTGTCGAGAGCTTGATTAGTACCCGCAAACCAATCTCATCTTGAAATGGTTAGCCGAGCTAACTACCCTCGAGGGCAGGAAGCACCATTCCATGACCATCTGTTGCTCCTGGTACCCAGACTAATAGGTGACGGAAGCCGCTCGACATTCGACTGGCGTCCTTTGAGCAGCTCCTGGGTGTCAGCATCGCGAGATTTTGGCAAGCCTAGGTTTGAGCGAGGCGATAGCCCTCTTTCTGATGAAGCTTAGCAGAGTTAAATGGTCAACCTCGCAAGTCCGTTTCTGCTGGGAAAGTTCGAGAGAAGCTCAGCAATATAGAGACTCACGGCGACCGAATTCTAACGTCCCTGCCTGCAGAGCGTTCTTAACGTCGAGTCCGGTAGCTTGTTTGCAGATGAATAGGCCCAAACAACTGCGGCGCAACAGGGGGGGAACGGAACGGGGCGCGTGGCAGCGAAAAAAGCCCGGTGCAAGATTCACCAGGAAGTGGCTTCAGCACGGGCGAGAAGAACGGAACAGAGGGGCTGGGCGACTCAACGGCGCGCCGCTGATCTAGACCGCGGTAGAGAGTCAGACCGAACGCGCAGCAGTGAGCGGAACGGAACGTTTCGCGCCCAGGAGCGGAATCAGTTGGCCGCACAGTGGTGCTACGAAACGGGGCCGGAATGGCGACCCACGCACCGGATGGGGTGTGAGAAGCAGCGGAGTCAAACCCCGCTGCAGCGGAACTGGTCCCGTGCGCGCGCCCGCAGAGCGGGGTCGTAGCCAGGGAAGGTAGCTGAGGCGCAAGAAAGTGGAACGCAAGAACCGGACGCGCTGCTGCCTTGCCGCTTCCGCAATGTTGCCTTCGGTAACACACTCGAAAGAAGAGACGTCCAAGACGCTAGGCCACCCGAACGGCTTGATTGCAAAGCGGGATGCTGCAATGGCTTTCTCGCGCCCGCGCTCGCATTCACAGAACGGAAGCAGAATCTTGAGGCCTCGGCACAACCTTGGAACGGGCAAGAGTAGCGGAACGGGCTGCCCAGAGAAGAGAGCAGTCGGGGATCCGGACCTGAAGTCGTAGAACGGTACCGTCGCGTGGCAGGAACAGTGGCGCTCTGGAGCGGAGCATCCTTGCTTCGGAGCGCGGCGACAAAATACAGGGCTCGCAGGCGCACGCACAAGTGGTAGAAGGTGGGCCGCTGCCAAAGAGACGGCCTGATTGGGGCACGCCGGAACAGATTACGGGAGCGTCCGCCACCTACCGGGCACCTAGCTAACAGCCGAAGCAAGCGGTCTCCAACAGGCCAGTATGCTTCGTACGTCCGGTAGTGTAGCGCGTTGGAAACGGAGCTCTAATACGCCAGTAGAACCTCTGGATACTGTGGAGCGCGACAGGAAGTGGAACAGTTTGTCCGCGGGCCGGGACGGTTCTTCAATGTTCCAAAAGGGCCGACGTGTGCTCAGTAGACGTGCAGAGAAAGACAGAAGTGGGGCTGCAGGGCGAGCGGGAAAGCCAGGCGGTCGAACTGCTGAAACTGACCGGGGGCCCTTGTTCTTAAGCAGCAGAACAACGGACCTTGAGCCTCCGCCAATCCGTCACGAGAGTGGTCGAAAAGGTTCGGGACTCGAATCAGTCACGAAATTACTTCAAATGAGTGTCTTAACATTTGAAGGACCATACGGAAACACCAGGTGCAGGCCTCCCAAGAGTTACTCTTGGGCCTCTCAACGGACCGGGAACGGATTGCTCAATGTCAGCGCTGAGGGCAGCGTTTGACTCTTAAGCGGACTCCAAAGCATACTGCTGCGCCCCTAAAATCCCTACTGATCCAGGACCTTTCGTAGCTTTCATCCTGTATAAGATGTCTGGAGGCCCTTCACGAAGAAGCCATTGACAGTCCCACTTTGCTTCTTACTCCTCATGCTGTCAATCGCTTTTTGCAAAGGCAGACCTTCAGGTCACCCATGTACGCTCACGGTGACTTGGGTATTGGGCTGCATTCCCGAATTCACATTCCCATTGCTCTTGCTCCTTGGCCTGGAATACTTTCCGTCTGCTTGTTATGTTTCGACCTCCTTCCAATCAACGAAAATGTGTGTTGTTGAAGGGCCAAGCGTCACCTTCTGACCCATGTAAAGAAGTAGTGACCACTGATACATTTGAGGGTAACATTGCAAAACGGGGTTGCTAAAAATTGCTCAGCCCGTGGGCTTAGACCTGCGAATGCAACGGCACATCTTGACGCAATCCATAGCATCACGACAACCGAAGTGTCTACCAAGCACGCAAAGAGGAGTCAAAACGCACACTTGAATGGCCCGATGAATTCACGTACCGTGAGCATGCTTGCGTCAGTAAGCTTTACGAACATTGGGTCTATCACTCTTGAAACTTGAGCGGATTTCCAGCTCAAACACGATTGCCATTTGAGTCAATGCTTTATATCAGGGATGTTCAAATTAGTCTCTCGCAATTTCGCATCACACATATAAGGTACTACATGTGGAAGAATGAGTGGCACAGTCATTGCTACGAGACTTGGACAAACTTCAGATCTGCTCCTGATGCAAGCTATCCCTTCCCAATCTGATTTAACACATGTTTCGCAATGTTTGCACATTGTGGGCCCCTCTACTCGCTTACATGATAGCAATTCGACTTCCCTAGAATCAGGCAAGTCCCATATCCTCAGCTCCGACCCTCCTACACTGTCAAAGCCGGTTTGCGCCAACATTCGCTGCGATCCTAAACCAAACCACGAATGTTGGCGCTGAATGGCTTCCCGTTGATGACATTCCTGTTGTCACTAAGCACGTCCCACAGCATGACTCCCCCGTAGTTGCTCGACTTCTGCAGCAGTGGCAGGAGGCCTGCCAGCGTTGCCGGATCCATGTAATCCTTCGATCCGGAACTTGCGCGAATGCCCAGATAGAGGCGCATCGCAGGGTTTGCGCTTGCCATCCAGCTGGACCAGTCGTTCCAGGACCTGAGGACAGCGGCCGTACCGCCCCCGCTATAGCCGTAGCCGCAATTGTTGCTGTAGAACTGCACGTTCAGCCAATCAAAAGACCCGGCAGCTTCACCCAGGGCGGTCCCTTCCTTAGGGCCAAGGAAATAGTCGGGCTTAATACATTGGGGGGCGCCTGTGATGTAATAGCGCTTGGAGGAGTCGCCGTTCATGAGGGTGCGCAGCTGCCTCACAAGCGCGGCGTAACCCGTCTGCGAATTCCCCCCCGATCTACTCTCAATGTCGAGGTCGATCCCATCCAGCTTGGCAGCCCCCAGTGGTCGCGCGCTACTGCTGCCCCCTAGGTACGTGTTCCAAAGGTAGCGTGCGACGCTCTGCCCATCCTCGTTCGACGCGAGTGAATAGTCGCCCAGGCCGCCGCCAATGGATAGAAGCACCCGAACGCCCAACTGCTGGCACGTGGTTATTTGAGAGGCCTGTTTCAGACAGCCGTTGATGCGGGGGTCGCAGTGGCCTGCAAGGTTCAGCGCTGGGGTGCGGCCAGACCCGAAGACGTTGAGAAAGGAGATGATGACGTTGTCGTAGTTGCCGCTCTGACACGTGGCAGCCAGGGAGGGCTCGTTGCCGCTCTGGCCCCAGTAGACAGTAATCTTGCCTTTGCGGACCGGAGTGCCTGCAGCAAGACATGACCAAGAATGGAGCTCAGAAGAGGGGAGTTTGCAGGCCTCGACCTTTCGAGCTGGTGGGCTCGCAGAAGCGAGAGAAGCTGGGGCATGCCTCAAAAAGCCCTTGACGTTGGTTTCTGTATCACTTCAACGTGCCTTCAATATGAAGCTTCGAGCAGTGGCAACCACACAGTCAGGTCACGTCATGGTTGATAGGATCTCTGACTTTCACAGTGCGTCTTGAATCATTTGAACCAGCACCTACTACGCTCCTACTACGTACCAGACCATGAACCATCATGTATGTAGCTTCTCGCTAGGTAGCGGGTCAATCAGCTGCTGAATCTCATAATCATGAAATTGCAAGGAAAGCAGTATAAGTAACGTAGTACATTTAACTGTACCTCTGCAAGAAAGTTGACCTTATATCTGCTCTTCAAGCGTACCTGAGGCTGGTGGAATAGCACTGGGAGTGCCAGTTCCGGGGCAGCATTGAAAGTTAACCGGGCCAGGGCAGCTCCCTTGGGTGGGTGCTCCGGTAGTGCATTGCGTGGTCCATTTGCATTGTCCCCCCCCTTGGCAGGTTGTTTTGTAGCAGCACTTGATGTTCTCAGGGTCATGGGGGCAGAAGGTAGAAGCGAAAGTGCCCCCGCTTGCCGTGCAATCTGTTGTTGCAATGCAGACCCCAGGATATAAGGACCCGCTCGTTGTGCTGACATTACAAGGTCCGTTCACTGCTGCTTTGGCTGGCGCAAGCAAACAGCTGGCAGCAAGAAGGAGCGCCACTATCCCCTGCAACTGAGCCAAACCCATTGTGAAGATCGAGGGGGTCGGCTGCAGTCACTGGAAAGCTTTCGTCGCTCTCAAAGGCCCGCTTCCAGCTTCAAAGTTGGCGGAAAGCAAATTCTGAGTCCTCCTCGCAACCATTCTGGTGTCATGTTTTGTGCCGGCGTCAGCAGATTAAGCAGTTGCTGCGGGGGGAGTGCTGTGTCGGAGTCAGTCTCAGGCTTGGCACTTGCCGAAATAACAGACGGGCCGTACTACAGACGGGTGGTAACTGTCCGATCTCGGAGCAGGTAGGTACAGCTAGGTATTACGGTAGGATCCTATAAGTTACCTAGCCAGGCGGATGCACGGATTTCGAGCAATTACGAAGTGTTAAACCACCACCCTCAACCTATAAATGCCGCCGGGATGCCGGCGCTCCTCAGAACTTGAACTTCTCAAGAGAAGTTCAAGTTCTCTCATGGGGCGCAAGCTTTTGGCACTGCAGAAATGGCTCTAGAGCACCTTCTGGACTGCCAGAATAATGCTTTTTGCTGGCGGTGCCAAGCTCAGTCGCCACATACAGGCCTCAAAAGAGGGCGCTACTTTTTCCAGCCCTCAAAACGAGCTAAAATAGCCTCTATAAGGTAATGCATCGTCCTTATGCTTCCAGGCCTCATTTTTGGTGGTTTTTGAAGCTGGAAAAAGGAGCGCGTCCCAGCGGGGCCTGTTCCTGGCGAACAAGCTTGACACCGCCAGGTTTGGTGAAATTTGATGCTAAAGTTGCAAGCGGAAGCGCCCATTTCAGTGTTCAAAATCAAGCGCCCCATGGTCGCAGTTTGAATTTTACGATCTCGACGACCGTTGGCAAATTATGCCACGTCAGCATTTTCAATTTGCCCGATTATATATCGCGGGTGGTGGTTTAACTAACTTCATTTGACACCAGTGTTCACAAGCATAGGCACCCGGGAAACGGTTGGGGTTAGCTTGGAGGTTATCGGACTACCAAGGTAGGATTCCGAATGCTCAAAATTCTTGTATTATTTTTCAGAATCCGACCCTAAATCCGATGAGCTCAAAGGTACCCAGGTACCCTGTTTTTCTGGCTTACCGGTATCAAGGGTGCCGGTACGTGCTTGGGTTCATATGGGCTTGATATCACTTTCTGAACAGGATTTAACAATTATTTTTCCTTTCCGAAAAAGCAAATTTTGACTGCTAATATCTGGAATTTCCAACTTTCCGAATGCAAATATTAAGGTAGTATACTACCTACCTAACTTACCTACCTATGTGCCCACGCCGGTACCTACGGTCGTCGGTAACATACCTAGGGTTCTACCAACTTCTACGGTACCAATGACGACATTAGACATTGGGCACTCCCTCCTCGACAGTACCGTACGGTAGCTACTACCTAGATAAACACTCCTAGATATCAGGACATCCGATGCTGTGAAAGCCGCGAGTTCGCCCGGCACTGCCAAATGGCGCAAAACTGAGACCCCCAGACTCTGGGCCAGGGCAAAGAGTACGTAATATGTACGATAGCCGAGCTTTTTCCGGACTTCATCGTCCGCGACTCTGCAGTACGGGAACGCACAAAATTCTGTACGTATGCTCAACGATGGTACCTAGATACTAGATAGTAGATGGTAATATGGTATACCGTAGTACGGTAGTAAGAGTACCATTCAATTGAACCGGACTTTATGCGGAAGAGATATTCCCCGGGGGGCTTTCTGACCTCCGGGGATGCAACTCGCGAGTCGCCCTCCTCCACCCTAACCCCCGACCTAACCCGACCAAAGTCACTCGGTAGTCTGCCCATTTTCGTGCCGCCGGCGAGATTCAACGACTAGTACCGGGTATTAGGTTGCCACCCTCATAGGCGAGTACAGGGTTCGATCGAGACGCCTGATCCGGCCGGGTTTGGGCGCATGCAGATCTCGGTCGCTCCGGGGCATATGTATTAAATGTCGGGTCCGGTCGGAAAGGAAATGTGGGCAACCCCTCAAACATTCCATGTCAGCCGGAGCCTGAGGGTCTCGAAACTTGGATTGGATCCGGTTCATAATCATCACCGGCCACTTCAAGTTCTACCTACTCTGTGGTGAAGGAGAGTTCAAGTTTCTCAAAGTCAGAGACGGATCCGGCTGGCAAACGCAAACTTTGCTCATTCTGTTGTTGACGGCCGCGACGCAGCTCCTGTCCCCATTCTGCCTTCGGTCTTTCGCCTGCTATGTGTTCCTTTGACACTTTCGTTAGCTCTGGCAGTATGTTCACCAGCTAGCTTCGCATCATAGGGGCATCATGCTGATCATGGCTATGAGCCCGGGGTACTAGCCGATCCGCTGTGTCTTTATATTGTGGCCGGGGTAGTCGTCAGGACGCTGGACAGACGAAGCTCCTTGTCTCCCTGCGAAAGCGCCAACTTCCAGCAGGATGAGAAGGACACAGAGCGTAGGCCTTCTTTGGCTGCTTACTGCAGTTGGGGTTGCGAGGGCTGTCGTTCTCCCGCTCGAAGCCTTTCAGGTCGACGGTACGCACCTGACATTGAAGGCGGGCGTCTCGCCGGGGAGCTTGCCCCCAGAGATCGGCACATGGAGCAACCTTACGCGCATTGAGCTCGTTGGAAGGGGCTTATTTGGAGCCATCCCTCCTGCGCTGGGTAACCTCACACAGCTTCAGTACCTGGACCTCTCACACAATAGTCTGATAGGCCCAATTCCAGCAGAGATTGGCAAGTTAGACAATCTTGTGTCCTTGAACCTTTCTTACAATGCCATTGCTGACCCTATTCCCCCTCAGCTAGGCACTCTGGGCGCCCTGGCCTGGCTGAACCTGTTTGCTAACCGCATTACGGGTGTCATTCCTTCTGAACTGGGAAACTTGACCAACCTTCAGTATCTAAGCCTGGCCACAAACAACCTGACCGGCCCTATCCCTGCTGAGCTTGGCAAACTCAGCAAGCTCAGCCAGCTGTTCCTTTATGAGAACCACCTCACAGGCTCAGTCATTACGGAGCTGGGTAATCTGCCCAACCTAGTCACTCTTTCCCTTAGCAACAACAGCCTCAGCGGCCTTATACCCTCCTCCCTTGGCAACTACAGGCTTTCCACTGTGCTGCTGTCAAACAACTCTCTGACTGGTGTCATCCCCTCAACCCTTGTCACAAGGCTCAAGAACAATGCAACTTACGTTTGTCTGTACATAAAGAGGGGAAACCCGGACCTGATTTTTGAACCGGCATCTGGGCTGCAGTGCCCTTCCACCCCACCACCGGTCACGTCTTCCAGCCCCCCTAGTAAGTGTCTAACCTTTTCTCAAAATGGTGCTTGCTTTGCGCAGGTTTAGTTAACCCCTTGAGTGCGGCTGCCCGGTTTACACCTTTCCTGCACCTTCTCGGACAGGGTGTCGCCCTCGCTTGAATACAGACTAGTCAAGGAAAGGTGCCTTTTCTACCCCGGAGAGTGTTCTCTCGCTTCGGTGTGTAGTTTCTAGGTTTCAAGGGAAGCTTTAAGCTCAGCGGAAACCACTTCTATCTGCTCTGTTCTCAACGTACCTGACGCCAACTTACTCTTTGCTTGTCCCGGCCAGCTGGCATCTTGTCTACCCCAGCTCCAAGTCCTGGTGTAAGCGGCCCACCGCCGTCGCTTGTACCAGGTCCTCCTCCGCCCAGTCCCACTCAAGGTGAGCGCACGCCTCAGGATCAGTTTGTGTAGCTGAAATTTTGTGCCAGGGCCTTGTCCGATAATTCCAGAGAGTGATTTCTGGCTCAGAAACAGCCAAAACAATACGCAAGATACCTGCACAAATATGCATTTTAGATTTGAGTGCTTTGCGCTGGTTCGGAACAGGCAGCTGGGTTCTGTTTGACGAAGGCCAATCACATATGTTTCTGGACATGTCAGAATGCACGTCACTTTAGTCTTGGAAGGGCATGCTTTCAACAGATTCTCTCATATTGTATTAACTTTGTCCTCTCAGAAATCCGGTTTAATTGACAGGCCTTGGCAACTAAAAACTGCCGCCCATGACATCCAGAAACACAAACATTGCTCAGCACTTCGCCTCGTTCCAGTTGGCTGAGAAGAGGTGTTGCTCACAAACTGATTGCTTTTTGTCAAACTGAATTCAAACTCCTTGGCAAAAGTTGATCACCAATGATTCCTCCAACTTCTTCCGTCGTTGACAATCTTACAAGCTCATGGGCCAAGACTTCCCCTCTTGCAGTCAATCCGCGCCAGCCGGAAGACTTGGGGAGACTCCTTGGACTGGCATTGGCCCTCCCAACAGGGCTCCTCAGTTTCGGACTCACGGTGGCGTTCTTTGTCGTGGAAGTGCGTAAGCACCGCAGAGCAAAACAGGCCATCGTGAGGAGCACTATCAGTCTCTGCCATACTGGGGCACGCCACACGTTGGCGTCGGGAACAACCCATGAGATCACGCAGCCACTCGATCGGCCGAAGAACATGGGAGACAGAGAATTCGACGAGGATTTGACAACAATCCTGAACCAAGTGCTGCAAACATTAGAAGCATGGCCACAGTGTTTGGGTTTTCGTGGCGACCCGACGGAAGCTGTGTGGAGCCCCAACTTCAAAAAGTTCGAGCACTATGTCCTCTTCCGGGCGTTGGTTGATGCCGACTCTCGGTACGGGCCGATGGGTTTGCTCGGAGTTTGGGACACGAACCGCGGAAGTCCTGAGGCTTTGGGAGAGATCGTAGGTACCATCCGCGAGTACCTTGATGCCCATCTGCACGAGACGTGGACGGGCAGCGTAGACAGACTTTGAAGACTCGTAGGAATCAGCAGTGAGATGATGGTGTCACTGTACTATCGTAATCAATCTGGATGGTGTAGGCTTGCAACAACGCTTATGACGCTACGTACTTCCTTATCTGAAGCCTAGGCATCCAATGTAAAAGACTGTATACGCCCAACAGTAGACGTTCCAGGAATCTGCAAACTTGAAAATCGAGGCCGCCGCGAAGAACTCAGAACGATTGACCATGTCAACTGGTTTGCGATCCTCGACGTTATTTGCATCAAATGGGACCGGCGTTTAACTTCACACAATCAAGTGGTGATTCACTTTGAGCTGAGTTTACTTTTAAAGTGCTTCAACGGCCAGGCATGATTCGATCGAGGGGACGGCAGTGAAAGCTGTCACTGTGGAATTGCATAAACTTCATGAAGTTTTGAACGCTTATCCAATTGTATCTTTCGTAATTTTGCCCGTCACGTTCCTTCGAATCGTTCTATGAGATTGTGACTCGATCATTCTTTCTGACGTTATATAGGCCCTAGGAGGCTGACCCCTAGGAGGCTGACTTTGAGCTTAAACGGTCATCTAACGGAGTCAATCAAAATGTCAACTTGTCGATGGCACTGCACACATGTGCCAGACATGCCAGACGTGTAAATTGAAACGGTTGGTGAGAAGCGGTACGCACCTAGCTCGACTCCAGCTTGCCACGTAATTGCTAATAACGCAGAGTTGCTGGTTTTCATGCTTGACGTGCCTTTCAAATTGCGCCTTTAATTTCGAATCGTGTATGTACATGTTGACGGCTATAGACGGTAGCTCGCATGACCTTATCGTTTTATCGCCGCAAAGTACGAACGCATGTAGTGACGTCGGATAGCTCGATCAATTCTGATTATATACACGATCATGATCTTGTCATTATGAAGTGCATAATTACTAATTTCGGCGACAGGCTAATTGTCCGATCGATTCAATGATTGACATCCACGGACGCTTTCAGATCCGGCAGCTAGCCTGATCGATGCCAGTGAATTCCACACATGTTCAAGGGCAGCGGCATGCCATGATGGTGAATCGCCTGGTCTGCCTTTGCCTTCCGTTCAGGCTGTCGATCGATCGCCCGGGCCGGCGGCCGAGCTAGTGCTGCACCGCCAGGATGCGCGATGTGACTGTGTCACTGAACAGTGTTCAATGATCCACACGGAGGGATTTTGAATGCGTACTAGTAGACATTCAATACATTCCGGATATAACATCTTGCACACAATAGTTTCTAGGCAGTACCCTTTACTATAATAGGCAGTACCCTTTGCTGTAATCACAAAGGTTGGCGGTGTTACCGCTGGCTTAAAAGACAAAAGCTAGCACTAAGAAAAGAACTGGGCCCTAGAATGGACGTGCCAATTCCTATATGAAAACGACGACAAAACCGCTTTACAGCCCTTGTCTAATTTAGCAAGTATACACGGCACGTACAGCCGCAATAGAATCAAGCTACCTGCGATGACGCTTTAGCCACTACGTACTGAGGCCGGTGTCTCGATCGCCCTCCCCCGACTAGGCCCTCCTCACATGCGCAGCCAATCAATCATTCAACCTAAGGTCTTCCCCAGTGCTTTCTAGCCCCCAATCATCGCCCATTCACTTCTCCGTCTTCTTCCCCGAAAACATCCCGGTAAACGCCTGCAGCTCCTCCACGATCCGACCCCCCAGCCCAGGCGCTTTCACCTTGCCCGTCTCGCTCGTATTCACACCGTGCGCCTCGGACGGCTCCTTGCCGGTGCCAACGCCCTTGACGCCGTGATCGTAATCCGTGTCGTCCTCTTCCTCCTTCCGGGCCTTGAAAACAGACCCCCCTGCCGCGGTAAGTCCGGTCGACTTCTTCGCGCCCGCCTCGAGAACCGTCTCTGCCGCCGCCTCTTCCTTCGCCAAATCCCCGGTGTCTCCCCCTCCCCTCAGGCGCATCATCCCGCCCTCAAAACCGCCGCCCGTCGTCCCTTCTTCGGGGGGGTCGAACTCGAGCTCCTCGTCGGAGTCGTAGCCACCCCCCCGGATGCGAATCACACCGTCGTCGTTGACCCCCTCCACGTCGTCCACCCCAGCTCCGCCAGACCCGAGGGCTGGGCCCCAGTGGTTGTCCGCCAGCTCCGGATTCGCGTGCTCGCCTCCGGCCGATGCCAAGTCAGCAGCTGACGTCACACCCTTGTTTGCTTTCGAGGCGTCCTGCGTCAGGGCGCCTGCACCGGTCCAGCCGGACCCGAGGTCGGCTGCCTTGGAGGTCTCGTCGGCTTCTGCGAAGTTCGAAAACGGAGAAACTCAGACACGGAAGCATGAGCCTCTAGCAGGAAAAGAAGCTCGCAAAGTCCAGAAAACAGCAAGAGAAACCTGCAAGCATGAGCAGGGCAACCATACAGATTTCTCGATGAGATTCCCGAGCCACATCGGAGACAGTGAACGGAAGCCCTCAACGCTAACAGCTGTACGGGCAGGGGATGTCAGGATGACAATTGTGAAAACATTGTGCATTTCCTGCAAACTCAGAGCTGAACAACTGACGGGGTGTTTCTTACCACCGCTGGCGGACTCCGAACCACTGCCCCTCCTCTCGCCCCCGCGCCCACCAAACAGCCCCGCAACTTTCTCTTTGATCTTCGCCCCCATTCCCTTCTTCTCCTGCCCCCCCGCAACGGCGGCCCGCCGCTCCTCCTCCTGTTCTGGAACAGGGTCTTTGTCGCCCACAATAGTTTCATGCACCTCCCCCCCCTCCGAGGGGGCAATCCCCGCCCTCTCAATGACCCCCTCCAGTTCGTCGTCGTCCTGGCTGGCCCCCCGGGGGAGCGCCCCGACCGCCTGGCCCTTGAGCACCAGCATCTCCTTCCTGCTCCGGTTGGAAGAAGACGACCGCGAGAGGGAGCGGGTGGAAGACCCGGACCGCGACCCAGGGTCCGATTCCAAGCTGGCGCTGCGCACGACCTCGGAGCCCCCTGCCGGGGGAGTGCTCTCCAGAGCTACCAGGCCATTCTCATTCTGGCGCTTGGCCTCCTCGAGGGCCGCGCGGCGCTCGCGCTCCTCGGCCGGCACGGGCTCCGGATCCCCCTCGATGACTGTACGGAACTCGGAAACCATGGTCTCGGTGGCCATGGCTCGAGGGGCTCGGTCTACCGGCTCCAAGAGCTTCGGGCCTTTTTGATGAGAGAAGGACCTCTTGTGACTTGGCTTTGCCAACCGCTCTGTAGCAGTTCCCTTCAAACGGCCTGAGTTATCTTCTGCTTTCTCCGCTTGTTTCACAAGTTCTCGTCTTGATTTCAACGGAATGTGCGCCTACGAGTCCCGTCTGTCAGCGCCTTTCCCCGTGCTTCGCAGAATGCTCTTCACTCCGTCCTTGACCACACTGCTCACCCGCTCGACCCCTCTCTGTGTCGATTCCGCAATTCCCTGGCTGGCGGCCGCAACTGCTTCAAGCAAGCCCCCTGACTTGTGATGCTCTTCCGTCTCTTGTTGAGGCCGTTCTTCTTTGTTGGTCGAGTTCTTTGCACGACCCGCAGCCTGGGAATTGAAACAGAGCATTCTTCAGACTCCTTGAATTGAGTTGGGTGATTGGACTGGCGAGAGCAGTAAAATAATTCCAAGGAAACTTATGTGTTTGGCTGCAAAAGTGAGAGGTGTGAAGGGCAAGTATAAGAAGTAATCAGCGCTTTCGATGGGGTTGTCAGCAATGAGGTGCGGTGAATCTCTCAAACTTCTTCGAAAACACTTTCCATGCACAGGTGCGTCCAGCTGTATGGCTGATCCAAAGGTGTTCCAAAGAAGGGGGGCATCAAGACATCAGGAGACATGTGCAAAGGGGAGATGGTATCAAGCTTCTTCCAATGTTTCAGGATGCTACCAATTGCTTAGACTGGAGCCTTACAGAGACCACTGTAATGCTGAAGGTAACGATTTCGGCACATCAAGGGGCGCCACTGTAAAGGGGTCCCATGGAATGATGTGTAGCAATTGATACTTCATGACAAGCTGAAACAGATGCCAAACACCCTGCTTGGTCGACGCAAGAAAGGGAGCATTCCAGAAACCAAACACCGATGTGGGGATGAGGTGCAGTCTTCAACAAGACAGGACAAGTCACGCTAAACCAATCGCGCCCAGAGTGGTTCAGAAGGAATTAGAGACTTGTAATGAGAAGAAGAAGCAGAAGACAGACACCAGAATGAAAGCTCAGACTCAATTAAACGCTCACCCGCCGAATGGTCTCGGCCTCGGTGGCGATCTTATCCTTCCCGATGTAAGTGGCTGCACTCTGGACCGTTGCAGGAGGACCCGGCTTGTCAGGTTCAAAAGGAGGGCCCTTGACTCGCGGCGGTATGATGAGGTCTGCGGCCGTCCGTTCTGACCCAGGTTTACTCATCAGTCAGCTCTGCAGAGGAAGTTGTTGACTGTCAGAACCATATCCTTTTGACTGGTCAACTGATTGGGCGATGTTGGGTACGGATCAGCTTGTCACCATCAGCTTTTCGCATTCAACAAGGACATCAGTGCTTCTGGTCTTCAAATCCTTGAAGCAAGAAACAACGAGAGCCCTCTTTGCAGACTACCGGCAGACTACATATCTGGCCAAACATGGACATTGAAAGCTGACAATCAATGTAATGTAGCAGCGCTGAGACAACCCGCAACTCGGGGGAGGGGGGGTAAGAAGAGTTTATACACATAGAGTGTGAAAGCAGGAGCAATCGGCACGGCATTGTAGTTCTTTCGATTTTAGGGGTGCTTTTCATAAGGAAAGCAACCTCTAACCTCTTTCTCCCTGCTTCTCTGCCTGATCCTGAGCTGAATGGTACATAGACCGGGAGCAGAACTTCATTCGGCACCATTCCAGAAGAGCTGTACATCCACTTGCCAAGCAGGACATCGATTCTTGCCCACATGTGATAAACTTCCGTGGAGCAATAAGATTGTGACCAGGACGCTTTGGACGAGATGGGGAATCTTAATACAAGTGAGTCGAAATCAATGGACATTGAGCAGCTTGTTTCAATTCTGCATTCCAATAGACACAAGATGAAAATCTTCAAAATCCAAATGCATGCATGCAACGATTTAACGAGGAATGCCCTGCTCATACTAACAATACCATCACAATCAAACCTACAAACTTGCAAAGTCATAACGTTTCTCAACACAGTTGAAAAACCCTTCCCAAGAACGGGCCCCTGTCGTCGTGTCAGGGGACACCGCAACGGGCGTCATGGCAACCTACACGAGATGAGAAGTGAAGAGGTAAGAGCACATACCTGCTGTCAATCAGCTTTCAAAGCGTGCTGTTGAGTGCTCCCGCGCCCCGCCTCTTCTCGCTGCTCGTCACTTTGTGTTGTGGCGCCAACGCTGAGCGCCCGAAGTTGGAAGTCGAATGCCCGCGAGGCGCTGCCTATGATACCTATGACAGCTGTCTTCTCTGTGGCCGGGCAGGTGTTGCGATTCCTTGGCCCATTCCTGATTCTTGTGAGAAGTTTCGACCGTCCGTCAGACTACTTTCAAATCGACGATTTCCTGAATCATGCTTACCGTACTTTGAAACCCTGCACCAGACAGCCAGGCTGAGACCAATGATAATAATTCCGAAGTTCGACTCATGAATCGTCGATCCGTTTGGCGGCCGCGTCCCGACCGGACTAGTACCTCATGGCAGTGCCTGCATGGCGGCCGCCCACTGAGCTAGCACCCGGCCGCGGCGGCCGCCAACCGTCATGCATAAGAGCATACAGTCACATCCTAACTGTGACGCGCGGGCCGCGCATGCACGCTCTTCATTGCACGTACAATTTAATTACCGTAAAGCGTTCACAAGTACGTGTAAAGTAGGTATTTAAGCTTGCAGCTTATATGAGCTGCCACTTCACAACATCGACTCTCAGGGCGCCCGAAGGGTACTAGCTGGGTTCTTTTATAAATGACTTCTGCAAAGTTCAACCTTGATCGAACATGTTAACAATTGAACAACAACATGTTCAATTGAAAACTTGCTATTAGAAACCATGATGCTATCGACATGACAGCAATTGTGTCTTTTTGCAATTCCCCTGCATATGAGTCCCCCTACCCTTACCTTCTGTGCGGATCGAAGTTCCATATATTCCGTTGCTTCGACGGCATGTAAACCGGTGGCAGGAGCTCCCCACGGCCGGCACTTCTATACCGAGCTAGGAGGTGCCATTCGGACTCTTTAAGTTGTGCCACGGCAGTGACCCTGATCACAACACATTAGCGGAAGTCGATCTGTTTCGATAAGGCATGAGAAAGCGGGCTTTGATTACGTACATTTTCATGACGACAGTAGCCATGGATGGGCAGTCGGAACCACCATGCAAGCACTGGCGACTCCCACAGATGCATGCGCTGGCGTCACCGATGCTTTGTCTATCATACAGGAATATATGCAAACATGAATTGATTCAGTCGAGACCCGGTCGACGTACCAGAATTGATGCCATCCAATGCAAGGCGACATGACATGACAACATCATCCCACATATCATGATACAAGAGGGCGTGCAGGTGCTCATGCAATAGTTTAAACCTATAGCAATCCTAAAAAGCAGAAACTACCAACGTAATGGCTGGGGCTTGCGCAACCAGCGGTACCAAAAGCGAACCTCAATTTTCTATTTTATCAACGACGAAGACTCAGTTGCGTGCACGATCAGACAACAAGCATTTTACTTTGGTCTGTGCATGGCTAATGGCTGCAATGTTCTCGTTATTGACTTTTGACAAGATTAGATAAGCAAAGAGTAAGCAAAGACTTAGGTGCGAGGCGCTCTCAAGAAAGACTCTTGACTAAACACCTAGAGACCTTCCACAGAAGCGGCACGCTAATGGAGGGATCGAAGGAGCAACCAGGAGTTGCGCCCCATCCCTTTCAATTAAACGATCCAACCCCAACGGGACACCTATGCAGAAGGCGCTACTGTCCAATCTTCGGTGAGAGAAGATGTTGAATTCATCTGGAACAGCATGCTGACACCGTCAGCGAGTACCTGCCAGCCGCATTGCCACAGGTCCCGAAACTGCCCCCGCATAGTTGCGCTCCCTTGCGAGTGGACCACCTTCGCCCTCACCTAGACCTGATCCCCTCGATCCAACGTGTCCGAACACCGTGAGCTAGCACACCAGCTCCCCAGAACCTGCAACGACCTACACCAGTACAGACCGCCCGTCCCAATATTCACACATGCCAGTCGCCTCGGTTCTGCCGGAGCCGCTCCGTCTTGTGCATCTGCCGGTACGCTCGAATTGCCCTCTGACCCGCTCCCCGCACGTGCCTTATCGCCTCCCCCTTTCAGAATCCCCTTCCGTGGCTGTTGTTCATCGTTCCGGTTCCGTGTGCTCTAGCTAGTAAGGGCGGTACAGTGGTTGCCGGATGTCGCGGCCCCGCAGCGGCCCGAACTCACTCCCTAACGACTCCGAGGGACTCGCAAACGCGGCGCCAGCTAAATGCGGGGGCCCCAGGTCCCTGTCCCTTTCCTTGGGAATGGTCGGCCGGGGCTCCGCCACTTTGATCTCTCCTATATCGTAACCTGCACCAGAGGGGGGAGACCCTTTCACCCTGAATCCTCCGGACGAGTGGCGAGCGCGCGGACGGTCACCAGGGGTGTCCGACCGGCCTTTCGATGGAGGGGGAGGGGCGAGGCTCCGCTACCTTGATCTCGCCAATGTCGATACCTGCAGAGAACCCCAGTGACGGGCTCAGAACGTGCAGAGCCCTGATGGACGAGGACAGGAGAAGAAAGACAAAAGGGGCGTATGAAATAAAACTCGTCATCCTTAGCAGGTGGAGTCCACCTGCATGAACAGAGGGCACCTTAGAAACTTCAGATACAACAAGCAGACTTTGAGACGGTAGGACCACGATAAGAAGCGCCGAGGGAGTACGAGACGAAGCGCCAATTGGAAGTCAGTATCGAGTTTAGGACCCCATCCATATACAATTGGAAGTCAATTCGGTCCTTCTATTTGCGCTCAAAGATACGGCCCCGAGGGATTGCCTTGTTCAGGAAACCAATCCAGAAACTCTCCGGGCTACCCAGACAAGATGCAGCTGTGTGCTTCCTCAATCTGTTCTCCAACGAGAGTCAAGTCGTTGACACAAACGGGAAGTCGTGACAGAACATTCTGAGTTCCAAGAGCAAAAGCTGGAAAAAAACTGGGATAAAAACCCTTTCCCTTTGCCTCGTGGTGCTCAGGCCCTTCAGAAACGGTGTGGTGTGATTCCCTTGAGCTCAGATTCGAGTGCGAAATTCCGCTGATAAATACGCTTTTCGATGGTCTCCAGTCAACGACGCAAGGGCACGGCGTTTACCTGCTATTGTCCGGGAGCTCCGGGCAGCGGCGTTCTCTGCGGCCCTTCGTGTCTCGAATCTAACGAAGCAGAAGCCCCTCCGGCGGTCGCTGCCCTTCACCAGCGGGAAGTAAACGTCCTCTACCCGACCGTACCTACAGCAAGCAATGCTGTCAGCAGTCACGATTCCACAACATTCTGATGCAATCATGCCGGCTTTCACATGCAAGTTTCAAACGATTTTGCAACCAGAGTCAAGGCAATCGTGATGACTTTGACGTACAGGATAAAGAGGATTTTGCAAGTACTGACTGAAGGGTACACAGGACGAACAACCGCAGTACAGCAATAGTAAACAGAAGGATCAACCTGAAAAGAGGCAGAAGACTGAGAGTTCGCCAGAGGCAGTCGCAAAGAGAGAGAAGAAACAACGGGTATGCAACCATCTGTCGAAGGACAGGCAGGATGCTGGGCATAAGCACCAGCTCTGAAAAATGGGTAGCCATGCTAACCTTTCGAAGTGAGCCTTCATCTGCGCTTCCGTAATCTGGTCTGGCACCCCCCCAACGAAGATTCGGTGCCCCTTCCCGTCACTGGAACCAGAGCCCTCCGCATACTGCCGCTCCGCTGATCCGCCCCTTCCGCCCCGAGGAATAGGCCAATCAGGGTCAGTCAGCTGCTCCGCTAGAAGGAGCTGGGGGTCTAATCTAGAAGAGCGGAGGCCTTCGCGAATGGCGGGGCTAAGGGCGGCTAATGCTGCCGGGTTGTTCAGGCCAGCGGGGTAATCCAGGGGGGGAGTGTGTAGGCGCTCGAGCGCAGGGCTAAGCCGGCTGATAGCCCCTCTGCTTCTATCATAGGGGGTTGCTACGTCCATAGGGTCATACGGCGAGACCTGAGGCGAATCCAGAGGCTGGCGCATCTCCACTTCTCGGCTGTACACTGCACTCAGGTCTCCGCTGCTGCGCACCCCCGGAGAGTCGAGTAGGACTGGGTTCCCGTAACGGTCGATGGCGCCCACTCGTATTCTCTCCCCCGCCAATCCCTCAATGCCTGCGTAGTACTGCTGCCCATTCCCCGCGACCCCGTTGCCACTCTCCCTATACGGTGACATGCCCCCCCCGTCCCGATACCCGACGCTCCCCTCGCGGTACCCCGCAGCTTCCAGAGTGCTTCCGCTACCTTGCCTGGCGCCCAAATCCAGGCTCCGGATCCCCGCGCTCGCCTCCTCTCTGGCCCCATTCACACTCTCCCGGTCCCGTAAGCTGGAAGGGCTTGGACTTCCAGCTCCTGCATTGGCCCCGCCCGCGCCACCATTACCGCCCCCCGGCGGCATGCGCAGGCTCCCCTCCCAGCTGTGCCGCAGCGCATTTTCCGCGCTCCGGAAGCCGATCGGGCCCAGCTCCTGACCCCTGAGGCGGTCATTTCCCCGGAAGACGGGATCCGCACTCGGGCGGAACGACCCCTCCAGCGCCTGGTGCGGCGGCAGGGCACCGTCGTAGCTGCTCCGCAGCAGATCCATCCGTGCCCGCTCGTCCAGCATTCTCGCGCGCCCCACCACCTCCGGACTGCCCCGGAACGGACTCTCCTGGAGGGGGGGAGGACGCAGCCCTGAATCGGCCCCCAGGAAAGCCGGATCCTGTGCTGCGAGCGCTAAGCCCTGCGAGCGCCGGAGGGCCAGCTCGTGCGCTCGGCCGAGGCGGAAAGCCGATGCGGGGTCCATATTGTAGATTTGGTCTGCGCTGAGGCGAGCCAGGTTTGCGCCCGGGCTGGGGAGGCCCTCGAGGCTGCTTCGGAGGGATTGGCGGCGGTCGAAGGAGGGGCTGTCAGCGGGGGAGTCGGAGGGGCGGGCATCGGCGCGGGCGACCGGGATGTTCTGGCCCTCGATGCGGTGGATCTGCTCTTGTAACTGCAGGGTCATGAGATCACTCGATCAGCATTAGCGTCACCCTGCAGCTTGTAAGAAGGACCATAGACCAAGTGAAATTGAGAATGAGAAGCATAGCACGAGAGAAATTGACGTAAGGATCCAGGATCATGTGTCTGTAGAAAATCTCAGCAACAATGCAGACTGCTTTCACTGCATAAATGTTGAAAGCTAGAAGTAGAGCAAAAACGGCCAAAGTACTTTGCAAATCAAGGACAGACAAGGGTGCTTGCTCATCCTAACCAGGTTCGATCATTGCAGATGCTTGTCAGGTGGATAAGAATCATTTTGGATCAGACTTGTGACCTTAGGTACACAGTGATGAAGTGGCAAGCAACTCGGAATGCAGAACGTTTTATCGCAGTAGCAAAAAAATCTGACGCTGAGACCGCACAAGGCCGCAATCTACTACGGAACATATCAGACAATCACATTGCAAGAGCACAGTAACCCTCTGCTCACAAAACCGCTCTGATCCACACCTACCTGTACAGCTAACAGTCCTTTCACGCATGCACGCTAGTAATGCAGAATTAAACACGAGTCGCTGTTTTTGTCCACAACTCGATCAAGACAAGGCATCGAGCGAAATCAACAGAAATTTGTGGAAAACTGTTAAGTCACAGTTTCCAGCACACATATGTAACTGCGCTAAACTGGATTAGCAAATTTGGCGAACAATGTGGTCAAATTGGTCTCAATGACTCTTAAATTGACATATTGCAGCTCTTGCTCCCAGCGATCAAACAATACCGGCACATACAGATTGACTCATCAAAATCTCAATCATAAGCCCTTCCTTAAACCATCTGTCCTGCGCCGAATTGGAGACCAACCGTGCCAAAAGTCGAGAGGAAGGAGAGAATCAGGAGGACAACTTCAGTGGACAGAAGAAGCTTGTTCCAAACCGGAAAATCGTGCGAGAGACCCCCAAAATGCTGTGTCCAAAATGCTGTCCTTAAGTTCATTTGCATATTTTAAAGCATCGACCATATGCAACTGCCGACCTGTGCATGCACAAGCACCCTATGCAAACAAACGCAGGCATCTAAGCATTTTTTGTGCTCAAGCATCCGGACCTAACTGTCACTGTCTGCTGCCGAGGTCAGTTTGAGGCAACAAAAACCCTTGACACTGACACGCAACTTTGAACGGAGAATCCGCTTGATCCGCTTCAAGAAAGGCTACGAGGCGATAAGTCTCATACCAGTCAGGATGTCGGAGAGCTGCCTTCCTCACAATCTGACCATCTAAGAAAATGCAAATGCTGACAAAAACCTTCACAACAGGCTACAGGAAACATGATCCTGCAACATAAGCAAGTCTGGGGCACGTCTGTAGATCATTCGAACTAGGATATCTGAATGAACATTGTCAGGCTGGGGTGCAAAAGCGGGTCGCCGTTTGCACCTTGACGGTAATTTGGCCAATCTGCTTTGAACATAAGTTCATCACAGAGTCCGTCCAAAACCAGCATTGTGTAGAATGCCAACATGAAGCTCCGTGGCGCCTCAGCATTGTGATGTGGAAGTAAAGTTGTTTCGAACCTGCTTTCACCATTTTATAAGCATCCACGATCCGCTTGGCAAGGTGGGAGCTTCAAAACCTACTGGCAGATCTCCATAAGCAACAAACCACACCAACTTTATTTGCAGAAGGCAGCTGACAAACATGAATTGTACAGGGTGCTGACAAAGGCACACCCTCCGGAGCACGAAGTGATAGCAGAGATCACCATTACCAGCCTCTGTCTTTCCTCAAAGACTTGGAGATGGATGATGGAGAACGTCACTTGCTGGTCCAACCCGCTGCATGCCATCTGCTTAAGGTGCTATCTCTCTTTTCAGCCTCTATCAACGTACTATACGTCGAAAGAATGATGCGCTACTCAAACCGACATCCTACACAATTTCTAGATAATCAAGAAAGATATATGACACATATATCGCGGGTGAGACGAAACAGCAAGCTCCTTACCGCTCTGGTCAGTGGGAGCTCCTCCGAGAAGGACACAAACGCAAACCCCTTTGGTTGCCGCGTCACCGGGTCTTTTGGGATGTACACATCTACCACGGGACCGAAGCGCTGATAAAATCCCCGCAATACATCCTCCGTGAGATTTGGCCCAATCCCGCTACGTAGAAAAAGGCGGTGCCGCCTATTTGCCATGATTGGAACTTCTTGCTTCTAGTTTGCCCCTGCCTGCCTAAGTCATCCTCAGTGACCGACGATGCGCCGGCAAATCGGCAACCTGTGAACAGCTCGTATCCTAGGCCATTGCATTCATCTCTGTCAAGCGAGCGCCCCGCAATGTATGGCACACTAAGCTAAGCTCCAAGACAAGGGCCACATACGCCTTGCGAAAGCATGCACTCCTTCACCATATTTAAGTTCCGCCGATCCTTTACTTCTTCTTCTCAGAGGCGGCAGCACGCTTCCTCCTCCGCCGCGTCACTCCGGCCACCATGAAGCAACCACAAATGCCAATGAGCTATCCCCTTGAGCGGCCATGGCTGCACGCCGCGCTACACGCAGATTGCAGTGCACTGGACATCGTTGTTGGAGCAGGGCAGGGCGAGATTCTGCACAATAAACTTTAACGAATGGAATATATAAATTAAGGCTGCTTGCACGAACATAAGCATCCGCCGACCTTGGAGTTACACTGGTGGTTAGAATTGGTCAAGGCATCCGCAGCGCTTAGAATCTGGGTTGGGATTCATGAGTAAATGTAGTTAATCGGGTGTCACTATTCTCGATACGCAGCCCTAATATTCCTGAGGCCTACCTGGGTCCTGATCGAACCTAGCCGAGTACACTTTGTACGTGCAAGATGGTACCTAGCTAGGTAGTAAATCTTCGAAGTTGATGGATATCATACCATATCATACCGTGTCATGATCTGGCACCAATTAAATTCACACGCTGTAGTACAGTATGTACCGTATGTCGGCCTGATTTCAATGCTTTGATGTTGGGCTAGGTTTACCATTTGCCCGCTGGCGGCCGCCTGGACTCGGGCCGCCCGCCCGGGCCCGCGGTACCGTGACATACTTTGCCACTTACCGCCGGCCACGTGGACGAAATTGACACGGTCACAGTGCGTCAGGCGGTGCCGTCAGCTACCCGGATCGTATACCTACCGTACCCTCGAGTTTTGTGACATGGCACTTCGGTGACATGAGCGAGGAATGAGAGCCACCATGCACTTTCCGGCCGCGTCTGATGTACAAGTCGCAAAGCAGCCATGATGCAATTATCTAGGGAGAGCACAATCTTTCTTGGCATCAGATCATCCTCGGTCTTTCGACTGTTCAACGCACATGCATGTACATTCCAACTTCACCCAAAAACTTGGAGCCTGAAACAATAGTGTTGCCAACGTTGAGAATGGGACAAGAGGAGTGAGCGGAAAGGCCGTTTAGCCCGATAAGCATGTTAACACTTTAACCTACAGGGTGACTCGCTGGCCCTCTCCTCCCACTCCATGAACTCCTTTTCAAATGGTGGCCTCTCGACATAAAACGCCTTTGTAAGCAGAGGATTCAATGCTGGTTCCTTCACGGGTGCAAACGTTTGTAATGCTGAGTATACCCTTAAACTGTGTAGCATGTAATCATAGACACGCTCCATACTCAAGCTACTTTCTATGAAGTGGGCAGCCGCTTCTCCAATAGATGTTGCTTGTTGCAGATGCTTGTCACCCCACCAAACCGCCATCTGCAAAGCATACTGACTCTCTCGCACGTTGAAAGTTGATCAAGAGCAAAAACGCTGCAGTTCAGACCAAGTCGTACAAATCTCTGACGTCCATCGTCCCAAGCAGAGGTTGAATCCGGAAGGAGATCGCCAGCGCAAAAACATTCTAGTTAAGAAGAGCTTCGAAAACCCATCAAATCAGCTGAGGTTTGAGCACTATCGAGATGTGAAAGTGAAAGCAGGCTTTCTTACCTTGAAGAAACAAGAATGGAACCAGTCCGCATGATTTCAAACCGACTCGATTGAGAGGCACGAGGCATCAAATAGTCCTTCTGGTTATGCGGCCAAAACGTGAGTAAGAGCGGCTTCAGAACATGACCTGTGCGGACGAGACGAACTACGAGGGACACTTCAGACAACACAGAAGCACCACGACATTGTTTACTGGAACCCACTTCTCGTCTCAGGAAAGGGCAGCAAAAGTCAGGTACGCTGACTGTCTCGTGTCTCTCTTGACTTAGCAGAAGCGAAGAGCGCCTACCTCCAGTCTGTCGCACATGTTGTCCCCCCTCTCAATTGGGATGAAGTCCCGGAACGGCTCCAAGCCCCGGCTGTAAAAGTCCCAGTACACGGGGTCGATGACCAGCGCCGCCGAGGCGCACGCCAGGGCGTATTTAAGACTGCACGACCACGTGTTGCCCTCCGCGTAGATGCGATACCTGGAACAGATGGCTCGAGCGATTATTTGGAGTGATCGAATTTTGCGTTAGTGATCGGATTTGGCGTTTCAAATCAAAGTTTTTTGACATGGTGGGTGTTGCGGCCCGCTCATGCGGATCAGCACTGAGTCGAAGAAGGATGCGGATCAGTTCGAGTTGCTAATCTCGTGGGCCACAGCGTTTAGTAGAGATGGGTGGTGCTGCGGATTCGATAGCAGCAGAAAGAGATGGCCACTACGATTCAAGGTAACTGCTCACAAGGTGTGGCTTTTCAGTTGTCAGGCGTTCGTCCCCAACCTCAATATTGATTCCGTCCTGGGTGATTGATAAAAGCAGTCTCGTGACTGCACCTCAGTGGATGCATCCCACTCCTGCTCTTTCCTCCATCGAGTGAGCGGACTCTCAGAAATCATTAGGCCATCCTCACATGCATCCCGTTTGATGGAACAAGGCCTCGCACAGAAGCTTCGAACAACGATCCTCCCAACTAGTGATGCGCTTCCAACACGGACAAGCTACCAGCACATGCCCTCCTCAGATACTTACGTCACCCACGCCCCACGGATCCATCACTTGTCGGTCTAAGGAAGTACGTGCAGAGGCCCATGCCGGGCCCCCCGATGATCGTCAACAATTCAATGAAGAAACCGAGATGAAACTAAGCTCCGACTTCAAGTATCCAAACAGGGTCCGCACCCCAGCCAAACGAACCCCAAACCGAACTCTACCCATCCCAAGGCGGTTGCATAAACGAGAAGCTTCGCTCATCATTGTCGTTCTCGAGATCGATGGGCCCCCCACCTGTGGTCGCACTGCTCCTCCAGCCTCGTCTCCGTCTTGTTGATCTCGTCATCCCAAAAAATGTTCACCGCCTCGATGCCGTTCTCGTATCCGGGGGGTTCCGAGCACCCCACGAGCTGCTGCCGCAGGCCCTGGTTGGGCCCCCTCCCCGTGAACGCGTTACCCTTCCAAAACGCCCGGGGCTCCCGCTTTCCCAACGGCGTGCGGCGCCCTTTCCCGCCCAGGATCTGCGCGCTCTTGGTGCGCCACTCAGGAATGCGCAGCTCCGGCCTGCAAATGAGGAAATTGAATACGTCAGCACACTCTGGCTCGGTCGTGCGCTTTGACCAGTTTCAGAATGAAGAGCATATTACCACCTTGCCCCAGACAAGGACTCCTCGAAGCGGGGCCGGTAGGTATGCAAGCCAACACCACGACGTGAGCGTCTCATCTGACTTACCAAGGGCACGTTCAAGTCAGAAGTGGAACGGCGGACTCGGCTGTCTACGGTCGTTGAAAGCTTTCGAACCTCAAAGTCTCCTTGACAGGAACTCAGAGGCATTGGAGCCCAGGCCCTTCCTCAATCAACTGTTCTTACATTGCCTCTGTCATTGTTTTTGAGAGCGCGGTAGCTCCCTCTCGATTGTGTCTATGGAGGCAAGCAACGGAACTTCGAGCAGACTCTCAATGGACTGGATTCGGAGAGCCTGGTGCTCCAAACAACACAAAGCAAAGGGACCCAAAGTTGCGCAGCAATATCTCCGTCAAGGCACGCACCCCTACCTAATATAATAACACCCCCACGAAGCTTCGCTGTTGATTCCTCCCCCCTAGATTCCATAATTTCACAAGACTCTTTCTGCGCGGAGGAACTTCGCGAATACGCGGATCAAAGGGACTGAACAAACGCGCACGCTCACCAGCCCCAGAAAGACCAGTCAGGCCAGACGAGGTCCAAGTGGTCCTCGCTGCTGCACATGGAAAAGATGGGCGGGATGGCGCTCGCGTTGTTGGCCCACTTTTCTGCGGGCACCGCCGGGTCGTCGTGGCAGCACACGTTGAACAGCACGTCAGGAACCTGCGGGATGCGAGCAGATTAGAATTTTCAAAGTGCATACGCGAACGTTTGTAATGTTCTACTGTTTACCATTATATTTGGAAGCATGATCCTCGAGCGGGCTGTGTTACAAAGCAATCGCGACCGACATGAACGCAGCCCGAGCACCCGTTTGCTTTTGAAATACTTCGTAATATAAGCGACCGACCAGTACAGAGAGGCGTGTGTTCCATTTGTACTTTTTCCGACGGACACTGCAAAGTCCAGGGGATCTTTGGAACAGACTGCGAGATGCTGTGAAGGGACGCCCTGGAAACGTAATCATGATGGACTGATGCAGACGAGGTATCGAGAGAACGGCTCCTCTTCCAAAGTGGGCAGGTGAAGAAGAGAGGCGGTAGACTGAAGCAACAAGACATTTGGCTTTCCAAAACCTTCAATGCTTCGACAACTGTTAACTGCTAGGACAGCCTCTCGTAGAAGAAAAAGCCCACTCCACCTTATTTTATCCTCGTTTCGGCCTTCCAAACGGACGAACTCTCTGGCGTTTGGCCTCTAACGGGTCCCTCAAAGTTACATCTCCGGCCGGCGATCCTTTGACCACCGCATACTCGAAAAGAAACGCCCTATTCTGACAACCGACAGTCTGGCGTTCAATAGAAGCGGCAATACCCCTGTTGTTTGGCTACTGGAGGACCGGGTCAAAGAGTCCTAGAAGATACAAGACCAAGGTCGAGCACGCTGTTGAAACGGGCGCCATGGCGAGCTTTGATAAACCCTGGCCTTGGCATCGTACGGCCAAGCTCTGATCGAAAAGGGCCCTCCGAATTCCGAACCCTCGTCAAGTCATTGCTTCCAACAACGTGGTCTCGAAGAAATCCGTCTCCTTGACCCTGCTCTAGAGCACGTGAACACGACGCCTAGGCAGCTTCCGTAGCCCGAGAAAGTCGTCTGCAAGCGCACCTGGCCCGGATAGCGCTCGAGCAGCATCATTATGGCCCACAGAGTAAACGACGTGCGCGTGAAGCTGCAGCCTCCCGTCCATCGCCAGTACAGAGTGCCGTTCAGGATCTGCAGGGGGGCCCACAGCGCGAGTGAGCTGCCGGGCTAGGCATGAGGTGGGCGCAGAAAAGAATTGAGTGAACCAGGGCCGGGAGCAGAAAGAGTATGCTTTGGTGGTCGGCTCGAGTCTAAACTATCTGGCTGTAAGCCCCACAGCACGCCTACAGCCAAGGTCGTTTGACCGCAATTTTCTCTGGCAATCGCCGCACATCGAGGCTGGCTCAGAGAGACAACCGAGTGCCCGCTCTGTCCACATCTTCATACTTTTGAACTTACGACACACGCTCCTAGCCTGTCTTCATTCTTTTGTTGCTTGAAAAGATTCCTCATAGATTATACACGGTTAGGAAACCAAGACTTCTGCCTTGCCTGAATCTTCATGGTGACAGCCTCCGGGTCCGCGTTGATGTCCTCCATTGTGATGCCCCCCTTTGCGAACCAGGGCTCCAGATCATCAAAGATGTTGCAGAAGTATGCGGGGCACTCATCGGACTTGGGCGCGCGCCCAAAGAAGCTCGTGGCTCCGGAGAAGTAGGACCCCTGGCCCGCCAAAAGACTGCTGGCTTCGAAGCCAAGTAACTGTGGGGCCAGAAAGGAAAAAACAAGAGTCAGAAGTGACTCATATTTGGCTGTTGTTTCCCAGAGGACGTTTGTATTTTTCCGTGTCAGCCGGAGCGTAGCTTCTACCACCGGAAGCTGGTTGGCTCATTGGCAGATTGATACCCTTACCTTGAGAAGAAAGCGCTGTGATTGACTCACGACTACAGTCAATAAAGATAACTGGTTACTAAGATGGTCCGGGTTGCTTTCTGTCTTTCATGGAGGGATCCCTGGGCTGGGTGTATGTCGGCCGGTCATCTTTGACATTGCGAGCGGCTTCATAGGACACAGGAGAGGAGGTTCACTTCGACTTTGAATTACGGAGAGACCGGACAAGGCAGAGAGAAGTGTCATTCAGACTGGCTGATAAACAACCACAGTATGCGCCGTTTCAGACATTTAGACGGCTGAAAACAGCAATCAGCTTAGCCCCATCAAGCTGCCTTCTATGTATGCTTTGTCCTGTCACTTATAGTATCCATCAAAGCTCACTCCTTCCTCAGTGCTGTCCTGAAAGGGAACAAACGATCAAGTGTACTGACATCGTGTTCCAAGACCAACTAGCAGTGAGTGAAAGTTGTTTCCTTTCCTTCAGAGAAGGCGTTCAATGGTCCGCATCCATTTCTGACCCTAAGGGCCCTCTTAGTGCTCTACTTTTAAAATGCTTTCAGCTAGTGGGCTTGCAAAGGAACATTATCTAGGCCAAGCTGATGGCAGCTTGTTCCTCTTTTTGGAACCACTTTTTCCATCCTTGCCAAGAGCACCACAAGTGACCTTGCCCTCAAACCTCACCTTCGAAGCTTAATGATCAATCACTGGCCAATGATCAGGTGGCATCGAAAGTTCTCACGAACAATCATCGACTGCTACAGCCATATTAGCGTTCTTACTCATTTCAGCAGCAGAAAGAGAATGCACAGCTCTCACCAGGGTCAGGAAGGCGAGCATGTAGATGTATGGAGTGCAGAGCAGGTCCAGCAGCCAGGAGCGCGCCATCTTCTGCATCACATCACATCACCAACTCACTCGCTTTGCTTCCCACTTGAAAGACAATTGGGGCCAGCGATCCAGGAGGGGGGAGTACTGCTCATTACGGTGCTTGCATTGATGCAGGCCAACTCCTCCAACCTCCTTGAGGGAATGCTTGAGCAGCTGCCTATAGACAGGAAGTAAGAGAAGGCTAATCATCTATTGATTTAAACTGCAAAAAGCACCTAGGACCCCCATTCTGTGCGTCCTGTTTGAAATGTTCAAAGCGTCAAGGATCATGCTTTGAACTTTCAAGCTGGAACTTTACATAGTGGAGTCCTCATTGACATCAGTCTTGTAGGCAAGCTGGGTTGACCCTTGGTTATGGCTGAATCGGCCGCTAAACCAGGCATAAATGCAAGTTAACGAACGGGTTTCGAGGTTTGCTCCCAGGTGCAATTGTTTTTCAAGCTCTTGAAAACAAGCTGCTCAAGAACGAACTGCTCGATTGCTCAAGAAGCGCTCAATTGCCAGCAAAAGACGCACGAAAAATCACAACCCTCCAACACCAGTGCTTTACTTTCAGTTTTAGCTTGAGCCGGAGGTGTTCTCTACGTGCCTGATTGTTGGAATTCCAGGATGGCCCCGAAAGCGAAAGCAGGGGCATCAGGGGGGAAAGCGGCAGCAGGAAAAGGGGGAGGCGATAGTGGCAAGGGGAAAGGGAAGGGCAGCAAAGAAGGACTAGGGACATGTACTTATGTGAAAGGTATGCAGCATTGCTCCACTACAAAGGACCTTGCTGAATTAGTGTTTGATACGAAAGTTGAAAATCAGTGGTGCGTGGAAGACGTTTGTTTTAATGCATCACATAATACTTGCAAGACATGCTTGGTTTTGCGGGTGATAGTGGCACTCTGTTTAAGGAACAAAGGGTGCAGTAAAATGCTGCACCACCCCAGAACGCGCCACCAAGGATCTGAGCCCCATACAAGAACATCGCTGATCGCTTTCCCTTTTCTTTCCCTCCCAAGATTCCTCACGATGTTTTCTAAAACTCTGTATCGTCTTTGAGAGCTCAATGCTGTCAAACTGAATCTGACCTCACTTTGCTATTTTGTGAAGTGCTCCAATTGTCTTTTAAAAGCCTACTGATGTCAACCCGCTGATGACAATGACAAGATGTTTGTTAGAAGGCTTAAAAAACGGCATGACAAGATTTACAATTGATGTTTGTATCTCCCAACCTTCTACTGCAGCTAGACACATTCTCTGTGAAAAGCAGGGGAAAATCCAAGAAGCGTACAAGAAGCTGCAAGAAGGTCAGTCTGGCCGACCACTCTTCCTGCGTTTCTGATGTTTACTTCTTAACATTTGTGGTCAGCTCACCCTCTTACAGCCTGGACTCTAATGAGGCCGATGCTTGCCCTCAGCAGCTTAATACCCTGATTGCCTTCTTCAAGGCAACTTATCTTTCCACTTCCCTTCCGTTATGCAAGGCACCTTTGTCTTGCAGCTTATAGGTTGAGCTGTGAGAATTGGATTGGGGCACAAAGTCGTTCGACTAGTTTCAAGACACTCAAGAAAGACAAAGGCCACCTGGATGCTTTATGGTGTTATGAGAGGCATCTTATATCCTCACAGCCTGGCTCATGACGAGGAAAGCAGGTTCTGTCGTAACCACCTGTGTCGTCTACGTTGTCTACGTTGTTACATGTTTACGTCTCTTAGCACAGTTTGTCTTCCCTCCTAGTTTGGTGAGATGGGACTGAGCCGGGTGCCGGGCCTATGAGTGTTGGGATCAGATATTTGTCTGTTTGCATGTTGACACTCTAGCTTTTTTGGGTACGCTGCAGGCTGGTTGAACGCTGGGGACAAAGTACCACCTGCAGAATTCGGCAAGGTGAGGTCGTGGAGGTTTCAGAATGTTCTGATAGAAGCGCTTGCATCTAGACTACCTGCTTGTTGTTGAGTATTAAGAATACCCTGGTCTCTGTGTCAAGATACAGCCGCCTGTTTTTCAGATTTTACTTCTTTAGTTGTTCTCAAAGGATTAGAGGAGCCTTGTTTTACCAGCGATCTCTAGCTCGGGTTTTTGCAGCTAGCGATGGAGTATTCGGAATGTCCTTCGGGCAAGAAAGGGGGCGACCTCGGCTGGTTCCCACGGGGTAAAATGGCAGGACCGTTCCAAGAAGTCGCTTTTGCAACACCAATTGGCGAACTCGCTCCTCCTTTCAAATCGACGTAAGTTGGCAACCCGTTGATTGTCTTCAATTATCATGGCGTATGCATATTTTACGCGCGATGTACATGAAAATGTCGCTTTGTCCGATCCGTCCTTTATCCGCTCGACCGGGGTGTTGAGAAATGGTGCTAATGACTCCAAAGTTCTGCTGGTGGTTCTAATTTGAGAAGATGAAAGTAAACATTCGTCTCAATCATGTCCTTCAAGTAAACATTGCTTGTGTTTTTGACAAAGCTATTGTTTCTTTCAATGCAGGCACGGCTATCACATGATAGTCGTGGAGGGTCGACGGAACTGACTGTACTGCCGGCTTTGGAAAGCCTTTCGAAAGCTCCGTATTCAACAGGTCACAGTCCCAATCCTGACGGATTAAGGTTGAACCTCTCAATGCGTTGTCGTGATGCTACATGTCGTGTCAATAACGTCTCGGGTCCTATGACCATGCGCAATCTAATGTGCTCGAAATGAAAAACTACCGCGGCTAATCCGCGCAATCAATCCTAGCATGCTGATGTAGTCGTAGTCATGCAGAAAACGTAGTAATCCATGGTACTAAGTGCAAGGAGAGAGGTGAATGCCGAGTAGACTAAAAGGATGCAAGCATGGCCACCATGTCAAAGCGCCAAGAGCTCCTCACGAGAGTCTACTCGCGAGAAGAATGGTCTCCTAGCGAGATGTCTCTGCCTAATGTATGGCGTGGTCTGAGGCTAACCGTAAGACTAGCCTATCGAATCGAATACTAGCAGACTGAGCTGTGGCTCAAGTCATAACGACTGCGAACGTGAACTAGAGTCTGCGATAACCTGCTAAGGTAACCGCGTCTCTGCAATCTAGCTCGTAAGCTATGCAACGTCTCATAAGCTATGCAATAACAAGCAAATCATGCAATACGCTATGCAACCGATGCTCTGCTATGCCGATGTCATACAGCGTGACAGCTGTCGTGATGCTACATGTCGTGTCAGTAACGTCTCGGGTCCTATGACCATGCGCAATCTAATGTGCTCGAAATGAAAAACTACCGCGGCTAATCCGCGCAATCAATTTTAGCATGCTGATGTAGTCGTAGTCATGCAGAAAACGTAGTAATCCATGGTACTCCCCCCCAGCTTGCCGAAGTCGTCCCGACGTAGCCTCCTGAAGTCCCGGAAGTAGCCCGAATAAGGTAGTCGTAGTAGTCGTCTAGTCATCGTCGTCGTTGACAGGGCACCTCGGGCAGAACCAATTGCCCTTTGGCATGCGCTTCACTGGCGGGGTCAGGCAGTGCATGTGCCAGCCCTCGTCGCAGTTGTCGCACAGCAGCATCTTCGGTGCGCCTGTTGTCTTATGGCAGACTTGGCATGCCTGGTCCCGGTCTGCTTCGGTGAACACAGGGTTCTGCCAGAGGTCGATGTTCGGGTCGTGGCACGGAGCGCAGTTCTCGACGTGCTCAGTAATCGTCTTCTGGTCACGGCCTTCCAAAAGGACTCGGCCCGTTCCCTTCAGTTCCTTGACGCGCCGGAATCAGGCGGCCGACTTTGGGGTCCAGGGAGTCAGCAGGCTGGCGGCGCAGGTAAACCAGATCGCCCACTTCGTACCGACGCAGTTTCGGCTTGAAGTCTCCTGACCGGGTGTGCGCGTAGCGCAGGATGTCCCGGTGCTGAGCGATGGCGAGATTGTCGAACGCCATGGGTACGATCTCTTTGAACAGCTCAGCGCGGTCGTGTAAGAACTTCGCGCACAGGATGGGATCGTCCAGATCCACTGGCTCCTGGAGAACGTCGCGGACCTTGCTCCCGACGATTGGGTGTCGGCCGAAGAGCATGTAGTAGGGTGAATACCCCCACAGGGACGCCTGTCGGCTCATTCGGTACCCCAAGGCAATCCATTGGAGGAACCGGTCCCAGTGCCGCTTGTTGAACAGCAGGCCGTACTTGCGCATCGCCTTCTTGACGACTTGTACTATGCGCTCGGCCAGACCATCGGTCTGCGGGTGATTCCGCGAGGACCAGATGTGGTCAATGTACAGGGCAAACATGAGCTCATCGAACTCGCCCTCAAACTCGCGGCCCTGGTCGGTCACGACCTCCGCGGGCGCTCCAAATCGGATCAGAACATCCCGAAAGGCGGCTGCGACGTGCTTGGCCTCCTTGGCCGGAATCGCACGGAGCTCAATCCATTTCGTAAAGTGCTCGACCATCACGACGACGTAGCGGTTGCCGTCGTCGGAATTCTGTGGCATCTTGCACAGGTCTACGCCCCATCGGTAGAACATGCCCATGATAGGCAGGGGCTTGAGCTCGGGGTCCTTGACGTCGAAGGTCGCCTTGACCCGATCGCAGACGGTGCAGGCAGCTACCTCGTGCTGGACCTGACCGTACATCCGGACCCACCAGTAAGTGGGGCTCAGCAGTGAGTACGTCTTCAGAACGCCGTAGTGGCCGACATCCTGGTGCACGCGGCGAATCAGGTTCGCGCGCAGCTCTGGACGGGGGACAATCTTTGTCGCGCTGTCAACGAGGCGTTTTCTCAGGACGCCGTCCTTCAACTGATAGCTCTGGGCTCGGTGCCAGATGCGATCCTTCTGCTTCGGTGTCACGCCGTTTGCGTACACGCCAGCCTCCAGGTACGCCATTACGGGGGCGTCCTCCCAAATCTCGCGGTCAAATCGGACCGGCAAGTCAACATCGTCATCGGCGGCCTCACGCAGGGGCGCCACGATTGCAAGTGCCTGCGCGTCTGCAGGGCTTTCTGCCTGCGGCTGTGCAGGGCGTTCTGCCTGCGCTTCGGCAGAGCTTTCTGCTGGCGTGTCTGCCAGGCTTCTCTCTGGTGCCTGAATGTCGTCAGGGCTTAGTAGGCGCGTCAGCTCTGGGTCCTCGGGCTCGCTCAGGGTGCCGGCCAGGATGGCAAGGCATGCCGAGACGGCAGGTAAGTCCAGACCGACGTGGTCCATTCGGGCATCTGTCCAGTCATCATCCTCTGGGAGCGGGTTCCTCGAGAGCCCATCTGCATCCAGATTCTTGACTCCACTGCGGTGCACAATCGTCAGATCGTACTCCTGCAGGATGTTTGCCCAGCGGGCGTGCATGCCCGTCAGCTTCGTGTTTGTCATCAGCCACTGCAACGGCTCGTGGTCTGTGATCAGCGTGAACTGCCTCTCGTACAGGTACACGCGGAAGTAGCAAAGTAGCAAACTCCCCAGACGGCAGCTAAGCACTCTCCATGGTAGCTGGAGTAGTTTCGCTCCGTTCGATTGTTGCTGCGTGACGCGTAAGCGACCACGTACTCTTTCCCTTCCTCGTCATGCTGTGCGAGAACAGCGCCCAGCCCAGTGGCACTCCAGTCGGTGTGCAGCTCAGAGGGTCTGGTGAAGTCGGGGCGCCGTAAGACCGGCGCTTCAGTCAGCTTGAGCTTGAGCAGCTCGAAAGCTTTCTGCTCGTCAGTAACCCAGTTCCAGACAACGACGTTCTGAAGCAGGCGGTTCAGGGGTGCGGCGATGCGCGCATAGTTCTGGACGTATCTCCGGTAGTAACCGCAGGTGCCTAAGAAGGCTCGCAGCTCCGAGATGTCCCGAGGCGGAACCATCCGTACGATGGCTTCCACCTTCACGTCCTGCGGCGCTGTCCCGCCAGGAACGATAAAGTGGCCCAGGTAGGGCACTGTGCGAACGGCCAGCCGCATCTTCTTAGGGTGGCACTTAATCCGCTTCGCGCGCAGCCGCTCAAAAACGGCGCGCAGATGTATCAGGTGCTCGTCGAACGACTTGCTGTGAATGATCACGTCGTCGATGTAACAGCGGCAGAACTCGCGCTGCGCACTTAGTGTGGTGTCCATCAGCCTCCGAAAGAAGGCAGGGGCGTTTTTCAGCTCCCGAAGGGCATAACAACCCACTCGTAGAGACCGTCGTGGCCCCAGAACGCTGTTTTGCAGATGTCCTCTTCTGCAATGGCTACCTGGTGGTAACCCCAGCGCAGGTCAAGCGTGGTAAACCACGTCGAACCCGCCAGCTCATCGAATATCTCCTCTGGAGTCGGCAGCTGATAGTGGTCAGGGATGCTGACCTTGTTCAGTCCTCGATAGTCACCGCATGGTCGCTTCAACGTCCAATTGCCGTGCTCATCCTTCTTCGGCGGCATGGTTGTAGGCGAGGCCCATGGGGACACTGAACCGGCGAAAAAAGCCGCACTTCAGGCGCTCTTCGACCTGGTCCTTCAGAATGTCTTTCTCGGCGTAAGCGAGCCGGTACTGGTGTTTGAAAATCGGTGTATCATCCGTAACCGGAATCTTGAACCTCTTCCCGATGATTGTGGACATTTCGGACATATCGGCTGCTTGCACGTCACGAAATTCGTCCATCAAGTCCTCAAGAGCTTGCTTCTGCTCAGGCGTAAGATCGCCTCGCCCCCCTAAGCCCCAGTCGAGCTTCTCGGACTCTTCCTCGGACGGCAGTAAGTCCGGGAGGTCCGGGGGATCCCCCTCTGGCTGTTCCTTGCCAGGATCTTTCTGCGGTGTGCCAATCTGGCCTCTCCCCCCCCCAGCCGCTGCTGGCGGTCGACTCGACGCTGTGCCAGGCGGCTGTGTCTGAGGCGGGAGTACAACTCCGAAACTTACGCTGCGGGAGAAGACCAGCGCGCACAAATGCTGCCGCGTGATGCGGCGCCACCAAGTTGGGCTCTCCTGAAGCATCAGGTGCCATCAGGCCCGACCACCCGCTGGCGGTGGGCCGCATGAATTGTCAATCTGAGAAGAACGCGAACTGGTAGCACTTGATGCTGCTGACCAGGAAGGTCAAGGCATGCATGTCCATCGTGCTTCCCAGCAAGCGCCGGCGGTCCGACTCAGTGATCGGTGGCCCAGCCTGAGTGCTGTTCTCCAGAAAACCCATAGCGCGCTCGCGCTCTAGGGCGGTCGGCTCTTCCTGCTCGCCATTGGCGGCTAAAATCATGCTGTGGCTCCCGACGCGGTAAGCGTGGGACCCGCGCAGAGAGACGAAAGTGGAAAGAGCCCGAAGTGGCTGTCCTGTCTCATTCACGCGGTGTCGACCCGGCGCACCAGAGTGCTTGACTCGCTGCGCGGTCCTGCCAGGTTCCAGAATGTCCTGAACTCGGCGAAAATCGGGGCGCTGCTTGAAGCGCTTCTCAACCATCTCAGTAATGAGCGGGCTGGGGACTAGGTTGGTCCACCAGCGACGGTTGCGGTGGGCGAGCGAGCCCGCGGCAACTGCGTCAAATGCAAAGCCTGGTCCAAGGACCCCCTTGACGACGTCATTAAACTCGTCGCGAACGTCCGCCTGCGGGTGATCGCTGGCGTCGACGTTTTCAAACAGGTAGGCGCAAGGTCCGTGGACACTGGTCACAGTGTGCACTACCCGAATGGCCTCCGTAAACAGCTTGGTGCGCGGGTCGCGCAACCCTTTGGCCTCGCTGGCCGCTCTCGAAAATCCCTGACACGGAAATCTTGCAACGATCAAGTCGGGCTTCTCCAGGCCTTCAATATGGCCTCGTGTCACATCCTGAATGTTGTCAGGGAGCGCGCCGTGGACGTTTGAGAACGCCTCGGTGCTCAGCAGGCCGGGTTACATCTCCTGAAGTTTCCCCAGCCGGAATTCGGCCACCTTCTGTGCCTTCTTGTCCAGCTCGCAAGCGTAGACCTTCCGAACCTTCAGGCCACTGCGCACCAGCGCCTCTGTGGTGGCCATCACGCCGGTGAATAGCTCAATGACTACCAGCCCCGGTCCAGCGACGTCCAGGACGGCCCGTTTGTCGATCAGGCTCTGGTCCAGGGGTCGGATGTGCTGGAAAGCGGGGTTTCTAATAGGCCGCGGCGGGGCAGCCGGCATAGCCAGCGCGCGCACGCTGCGGTCGAAGATATCTGTCGTGACTGTCATCAGTTCGGTGTTGTACTGATCAAGTGGGCGTCGAGCTGTCTCAGCTTCCAGACGCGAAATCGGTGTCTTGATGTGCAAGGGCATAACTGCCCCAACGTAGCCGCGAAGCACTGCTGTGTAAGCATGCAGCGGGGAGCGGCCGTACTCGATCGGGAATTCACACCGAAGGTAGGCGCTGCGCTCGCTGTCTGTGTTCGGGTTCACATAATACTTCGCCCGCTGCTTGCGGGGGTTCGGAATAATGCTGGCCGGTCCCATGACACTCATCCCAATCAGTGTGTCAGGCAGAACGGTGGGATGCAATCACCACGTGCGCCATAACAGTGACTACGTCGGGGGTGCCTGGGTTCAGCTCGAAGCTGACCGGCTCAAGTGTTCGATCCAAGCGGTCGGACAGCTGTCCTGTTGCACCGCGGATCACAATCGCTCTGCGGCGAATCATGTCAGGGGTAATCCCCATTGCCTTGGCACCTGAGGGGCCAGTGATGACGGCCTCAGCGCCAGAATCCAGAATCAGGTTCGGCACCACGCGCCCGTTCACTAGGAGGGCAGGCTGCGGGCCGGAGTTATCAATCCGAGGTGACCTATGGAACCCCGCGGTCGGGTCACTGTGGTACGCCCCTGGCAGCTTCCCTAAGAGCGCTCCAATTCGGGGGTTCTCTGGGTCATAGATGTTATCAGCAGCCGGCTCTGGGGGCGGACCTAAGGCAGCTGGTGCCTGGTCGGCCTCCTGCAGTGCGGGCGCAGTGTCCACTGGGGCGGTAGGCCCATAAATGACTCCCTGGCGGCGTGGATCGTCCGACGGCAGCTCCTGAAAGCCCTGAGGCAGAATCCATGTTCTGGTGGTCCCTGGGCTGCGCTCTTAGCAGCGTCTTCTGGTGCAGTCTTTTTATGCTTTCCCTTGGCCAGCGCGGTAACTTCCAGCGCGGCTGTCTGGGCAAAATCCGGCTCTGCTCTGCAGGCTCGGGTCTGGTCGGACTGGAAGTCCGAATGAAGTCCTTGGGTAGAAAGCCCAGCGGCATGTCAGCGAGACGGCCGCGACGTCGTTCGTTCTTAGGGGCCTGTCGTGTGAGGCCACTGTGCAGCTTGGGCGCGGCTTGGCGTGAGGCGGCTGACCTACTGATTGGCTGCTGCTTGCCCGTTCTGGTTGCGGCGCGCACTGACATCACGCAGGCGCC